GAATTGGCACCGAGTCTGCAGCGCAGATGGAGCATTATACGGCTGCATGACGCAAATCATGATGCACTTCTCTCCAGCCGTGCTCGAGAGACCGTCCCGTTTCCTCAAAAGTGCGTTTCAACGAATTTCAAGCCGAGTGCGTTCACATTATTTTTTTGGGCGACCTTTTTTTTCGCTCAAATGTCGTTGCTACCTCATTTTTTAGTCGCAACAGAGCACAATTATGGGTGTTTCCCGCCCTGGATGTGAGAATTTGATAACACGCCAAGGATAAAGTGTCTTTTGAAAGCTGCTGCAATTCGAAAAATCTCTTTTATCCTCTTCCATCGTTTTGAATGAAAGTGAACAGACCGTTCTCTCAAGAGCCGGTTTATTTCAAGCCAAAGGCGCTGTTTTCAATCCCTTTCGTCCATTGTTTGATTAAAGGGATAAAAATAGTTCACAAAACGGATTTTGTATTCTCAAAACTGGATCAGATAAACAAGCATTTTTACTACGTTGGTAGTCAATAATTTGGATAAAAGTGATTGTTTCGAAAATTCCATTGTTGTATGAAATGAATTTGAAAAGTTTCAAACTACATCCCGGGCTAATTTCTTGAATTGTGTAATTTTTTTGCGAAGACATTTGACAACTCTCGCGTCTCTGAAAGGATCTAGCAGGTCAGTGACGTCAGTGGTGTACGGTGACCTGCCGACGGATGGTGCAACCCGGCGTAGTCGCATCTCGTCGTCACCCACTCGCGATCTCGAGTCGCCTCTAAATGGCATCAGGCCGCAATTAAAAGGCACAGCCATCCGTTTTCCGCCAACGTGCGAAAACTGTTTTTTTTCCCAGTCGCGACCGTTGATTTGCTCGATCGGTTTTCGAAGGGCCAAGGTTCGTTCTTCGCCAGCCTTTGGTGACCTCCGAATTCGAGATTTATTTTTACTCATTTATAAATGCCGACTGGGCTTAAAATAAATTAAATTATTCACTCTTTTGATTTAGAGGGTTGACTTTTATTGCTGTTTTTATTATTATTCGCACTTAAACGAAATTAAAAATAATATCAATATGGGCAGAGTTTTCTGTGTATCATATTTGGTTGTGAGAATAGAAAACATATAAAATCAATTATTTTAATTAAATTGCATTTTCTAGAAATTTTAAAATATTGAAACTTTTTTATGTTTGAAAATATTTAAAATTAAATGATTATTTCTTAATTTTAATCGCTTTTTATTAAGTGACTTCATTTTATACAATTTTTCATGCAATAAATAATCTAAAATTTAATTGTCCTTCTCCATTTAATTTCAAAAAGCACTGCAATCATTTTATTTTTCTGCTCAATCTCTGACTCACCTGCTGCAGGTAAAAATTTCCAATGAAGGAAAGTATAATTCACGAAAGATAATAACAGGATAAAGCAATAAAATTAATAATTCAACCCAAGAGATAATCACTCACTTTCAAGAGGAAACGAAATAATCACCATTTTATATTGTTCTTCAATATAATTATTATTCTCAGAACAAAAATTAATAATTCCGGCTGCATGTGATGGTGACACAATTTCCCTTTTTCTTACTTCAGGCCTAATTTCGTCCAGCCTGACGTGCAGAACAAACGGAAAAAAAATGTTCCTGATGCAAATCGAGCGCCACCCTATATTGCACTTGATAATTACTTCCCGCCGGGGCGTAATCAATTAGCTCCGTCGCGTGATTCGATATTCAAATGAGACGAGCGCGAGTGCACTGCTCTTTGACCTGCCCAACTTATTTTTAAACCAGGCTTTTTATCGATCGGTCTGCGCCGTCGGGCCAACCGTGTTCGCTCTCGTGCAAAACGAGCTGAAAGAGACTCGCGGTTAAACTAATAAGGCAAATTTGCATGGCGTGTTTGGTGAGGGTTTTTATTTCCTTAATCAATTTGGCTGAAAGTTTTATTAACTTTATTTAAAAGGGTAAACTTTTAATTGGCCACATATGATGGAAAAAGATTAGATTTTTCGGTAATTTTCTTTTCCTCGATTTCCAATTAATGATGGAGATAAATTTTTTAATTTGTTTTAATAATTTGAAATTAGGAAATAAACACTTGATGTGTATTTTATAAAAATAAATAAAATTCATATATATAATTAATTTAATTATTTAATCATTTTTGGAGATGAGGTACTGTTTAATTATTTTTCAACAAGTTTAACTTGTGTTTATCTAACTTTTTTGATATTTTATGATAAAAATTAAATAATCATGGAAAATTATTAAAAAAAGACTGATACATGTAAAATATTTCTGAACTTTTGTTTATTTTTAAGCAGTCAAATAAATTATTATATAATTCTTCTGCAAAAGAATTCAAACGAAGCCATATGTACGGTTTCTGCGTCGACGATGAAATACGAAACGGCGCAAAGAAATAAAATGACTAGACGAGGGAGGAATTCATTTCGGTGCGGAATTACTCTCCCACGCAATTTACTAACTGGAAAGTCGGGCTAACCTCGCGGGAGGTGAAGTAGATCGAATTTCTTGTTCGAGTGTCCGAATTCGAGCACGTTTAATTTACTTTTTTAATCAAGATTTAAATCCCCACTGACACCGTTTCGAATTAAATCCGGTCTTGACAATTCAATTAATTAATATTCCGGCCGCTGGTGCGCTTTTTACGGGCGTCTAATCGACCATTATGTTTATTCAAAACGAAGAAAGAAATAATATAAAAAAAGTTCCGACTCGAGATTGCATATCATCGTTTTCCGCCCAGGTGATTGTTTGTTGTCGATGGACGAATGTTGCTTTTTCTTTCTCACGCAACCTTGAGTGGATTCGCCACACACTTTTTTGGAGATGAACCTTCTTCGAGGTCACACAACATTACGTGCTGCAAGTGTAAACTCAAACGGTGGCGTTTTATTTCCACGCGTCTATTTTCGGGTGTTTGCCAATTAAGTCGCCGGCCGATCAAAATTATTATCCGCGCGCAAATCGTTTGATCTCACGGACGTACAGACAGCTTTTCTGGCTCGTTTATCGCCCGTTAATTATCTCGCGGTGATCGATAAAGCGGTTCGTCGCCACCTGTTTCTGCGCAATTTATATTCAAATGGGCGGATTTCACGCAATGGTGTTAATCTGCAGCTTCAAATTTTACACACAGAGAGCCAATCAAATTTTTGCTTAATTTAAAAGTCCCAAAACTTAATTGTTATTGAATATTTGCGCCTAATAAATTAAAAATTTTAAAAAAAATGCATTGTTCCTTCAAATTTTGTAATCTTTTTCTTTCAAGACTCGATTTGTGAAGAATAAACAAACAATAAAAAATAAACTTTGTTATATTTTTTTATCTTTATTTTGATTTTGTCAAGACTCATTTGTGTAAAATTAGATCATCTTTAAGAGCTAAACTTTTTTTAAATTATAAAATTTATTCCATGTCTAAGAAAAATTATTCAATTACTTAAATAGATTCTTCAGTTTTATAAGAATTTCAAATCAGCTTCTCTGAACAGAAAAAATATTAAAGTTGTTGATTAAACTCTAGTTTTCTTTCTTTTGCTTACTTTAATCTCTAAACTAGTCAACATTTGACAAAATTAATGTTTTATTTAAAACAAAGGCTGCGCATCCCAAAATTATGTTGGTACACGGCTGCCGTCAGAGCCATGGGGCCTTATGGCTCGGGCGGAAGACATGTTTTTTTTTGGCCAACATAATAGAGCTGATGCTCGGCCTTTGATTTAAAATTAAATAAAATTCAAGCGTTAAATTTAATAAAATTAATTTCAACTCTTATGAAAATTAAATTTATTTAACTAATACTTCAATAAACAAAAATGTAATGGGTTCCCAGTTTTTTCCTCATTTCGCATCATTTTCGCTTCACTGTGTGTCAATCACAAATTCAATCTCCTTCTTTTCTTTGGCCTTTGCAAATCCATAATGTGGCGGAAAAACGGCCATGCAATGATGCAATTCCAGAGAATTGCATTCTTCACGCCGAGTCCATTCGAGTTTGACAGGCAAATTATGCGATAATGACACCGTCCGTGCACATACAATGCAAAATGCATCACGTAACCGCGCACTGATTGTTCATAGCTCTTTTCCCATTCGTGCACAATAACTTTTTGCCCGAGTTTGTTGCGAAAGTGGAACTAAAAGAAAATTGCAGCCAGCCCAAGGCTGTCGATTACTCTGCACGGATAATTCGCGAGAACTCCCGCGTCAATTTTCGTCATAACTTTGGCCGCGCCTTGTTATCGCATCGAGTGACATAAACATTCAAAATAATTAATGCAATATTTAAATTAATAAAATAAAAATAGTTACGTGCTTTAAATTCATAAGTTTGGTTTTGTTTTCAACAATTGTATACAATTTAATGTAACAATTTGGACAAATAAACAATAATAATAATAATAATAATAACATTTCAATTAATAAATTTTGTTTTTAAACTTGTTTATTTAAAGGGTCAAAGAGAAATCATTTTGGCTTTGATAATGGCAAAAAAATTATGACTGCATTTTAAATTACTTAATTTGGTGCTTAATTTATCTTTAGTTTATCTTTTGAATTATTTCAGCAAATATATCCGCAATAGTAAATTTATCTTATTGGCTCTTTACTAATCAAACAGCAGACAATTATTATTTTTATTTTTAATTAATTGTTTAAACTTTCATTAATTGTGGATTGAGTTATTTCCGTTTTAAATTCAACCTTGTTTCTCTCAGAGTTATTTTGAGAAAATCCCTCCGCAATAATAAACACAGTTTTTGTGCACGTCACACTGCCTCGATCATTATTTTGCGAGAGAGAATCGGCTCTCTTGAAAATAGCCTATTCATACGCTAAAATTACACCGGGCCGGCTGTTTTCTAATGTCACCTGCTGCTCTGGTGTGTGTGTGCGTTGAGCGCCCCTCGCTTATAATTAGTGGTACAAACCCATTCGCCTCCTGCGTGTGCAGAAACTAACAGGAATTTGCTATTTGTGTTTCAGCAACTGATTCGGCTCATCACAATGGTGGACTACTACCGAGTACTCGAACTCCAGAGGACAGCGTCCACGGCTGAAATTAAGAAAGCGTGAGTCATCCCTTTTAATTCAAGATTAATAATTACCTAAAATATTTGTTGTATGCCCCAGAGAAACAAACTAAAAAGAAAATTTAACGTGGATTCAGAAACTGAGCGAGAAAAACAATGCTCGGAAAACGAATAAAAATGTCCAAATTTCAACTTTTAACTGTAAATTTTAATTCATTTTAATACAGATTTGGATTTCTGTTTCTTAAAAATTATTGTTTTATTTTGAAAACTAAAAAATTAAGACAAATTGAAATGGAAAAAATAATATTTTTGGAAATCTGAATCTGTTTGGAAAAGAATTTAAAAATTTCCTATTTAAAGTTCAAATTTGGATATTTAAATTCGTTTTTCAAGCAACGGTTTTTTCACTGTTTCTGAGTAAAAAAAAAAAAAAAAAAAAACACAAACAGATAAACAAATTATAAAAAAAGTGGGCAAAGAATAAAAAAGTATGATCATTAAAGCATTTTTTTTTTTCAAAACTAAGTAATTTTGAAAACTAAAATCATATTTTTAAATTTAATTATTTTTGCTTTTTGAAATTAAAAAAATTACACACAAAAAGAAAGTCTGACTATTTTTAAAAACTGATTCGACGTAAGGCTGAAAATAGTGAAATTCATTTCACACGCAATTTTATTGTGCAGACAATTATTTTTTTAATAAAACAATGGATGTAATTCGAACAAAAAATCTCTTTTAATGCATGCAACTTTGAGTGGGACGGTCGGGGGTATCAAAAGAAGTGTGTGCACGGAATAACCAACGCGTTTCCTGGCCGCGTCCCGCGCATGTTGATTGAGATAAAAAAAAGTCCATTGTGCGCCGCAGACAACAGAAATAATAAAACAAGTGATTACACTGCTTAAGAAAATTGAAAAAGCGCATTGTCTGTCGAGCTGCGAGATAAATAAGAAAGAAATGAAGAAAGTCATGGGGTTTACTTTTTTTAATCCTTTTTAATGCATGTTTCCAGATACAAGAGATTAGCCTTGAAATGGCATCCAGACAAAAACCAGAACAACATCGAGGAGGCTACCAAGAAGTTCAAAGAGATCTCAGAGGCCTACGAAGTCCTTGTCGACGGTAAACTATCAATATTTTTCTTCATTTCCTCTGCAAAAATCTCTCGATACTTTTAAATAATATAATTTCAATTAAGGTCTCAATTAAAAATCTGTGAATAATCACAATAAATAATAAGGTTTGGAGATTTTTGCCATTGAAATTGATCAAATTTTATCATATTTTTTTTTAATACACCGTAGATTAGAACACAAGCAATAAATTTAGAAATTGCGCACTCTGCTGCACGCGAGATGTCTCTGTCTCACTCTTTAGCTGTTTCTCTCTTTCTCTATCGATATGAATGTCGTCACGTCTCTTTCGATCTGTAAAACTCCTTGTCTCTTTCTCTTGATAGAGGATAAGCGGCGCTTGTATGACCAACGACACCAGAAGCCCTCGTACACCAGACCCACCCGTAGCTTCAACGCCAGGAGCTTTTTTGAGTCGCCCTTCCACCGTTTCTTTGGTATTTTCTCCACCACCCTGACTGCCGCTGCTGCTGCATAGTCGGCGCTTGCCTGCTTTTTTTAGAAAAAAAAAAAAACACTAATCCTGACCGATTAATGCCAATTTGTTCATTTAATCGTTTTTTGTTTAGTTTAGAGCAGCCTAAAAAGTTTGCCCATTAACAAAATTCGCTCCACAGGACAAAACAAGACAAACAGACTTTGACGGCCACACAACCCAAATCACTCCGCTTAAACAATTATTTTTTCCCCCCCGGCTGGAATTGGCTTTTGTTCAATTTTAGTTTGCTTTTCTTTGTGCTTATTTTATTGTGGCAAAAGCCAGCTTCAGCCTTGGTTTGTTTTCTTCCAAACTTTCCAACTAACAAGAGGTGGAAATATTTTTAAAATATAAATTTAATCAACACTTCACTACTTTGGAGCTCGCAAAATATTTCCATTTCCTTTTTGTTAGAGCTTGTGGTTAATGAGAAAAATTTTCCTCTGCATTCACCGCCCTAATTTTGCGATTTTTATTTTCAGACAAGAAGCGTAGGGTTTACGACCAGTATGGCAAGGAGGGTCTGAACGGCGGCAGCGCCACCCGCAGGAGTAGATACGAGGATGACTTTGGCTTCGGCTACCCCCACTTCACCTTCAGAGACCCCGAGGAGGTGTTCAGAGAGTTCTTCGGACACAGCTTCCCTAGCTTCTTTGGTAAAAATGTCAAATCAAACCTTATATTTTTTTGTAATAAAAACGTGTATTTTCGAAACAGGTCCTCCGAGGAGGGGTCAGTCTCAGAGTCTGAACAGCTTCGACCCATTCGGCTTTGCCTTCGGCGGAATGGGCATGAGCATGTCACCGTTCGACGACCTCATGAGCCCCTCGAGCTTCACCTCTTTCTCCACCATCAACAGCAGTTTCAGCAACAGTCCCAGGTCGGGCTCCAACGTCAAGAGGACTTGCCACACCACCAGATTCATCAACAACAAAAAGATCTCTACCACAAAGTAAAACATTTTTTTATTCAAATGGACTCAAATTTCTTGTTTTTAAAGTTTTTTTTTCTTTTTAATAATAAATTTTAATATTGTTTTGATTTCAGAACAACTGAAAATGGGAAGGAAACGATAATGGTGTTTGAAAACGACGTTCTCAAATCGAAGACTGTCAACGGTGTGCCACAGTCGATCACCTACAGCTAAGCATTCCAGCCACGCGCGCCGCCGGGACCAAAAGACTTTTGAGTAGCCGTGTCCTTGCGCGCCAAGTGTCCGACAAACCGTGTACATTGTTATAGTTTAAGTCTCGATCAACAACCAGCAGGTGGAAAACAAAGATGAAGCTTTTTTCTCGATGCCAACGCCTGCTCCTCTTGCAACACTTTATCAGCCCGCAGACAACCAATGTGATAAAACCCAGAAATTAATGAATTAACCCCTTCAATCTAATATATTTAAACAAACATGCATATTATGTCTGAGGATGTACTGAAACGGAGCAAGAAAAGAAAAGGGAGGGAAAATTATTCATGTAATATGAAATGTACGGTGCAAAAACGCCCAAACTTATTAGAAATTTCCTGTCCCTTGCCAATTTATTTGACTGATATTTTGTCATTGGCTTTGCGTGAATCTGCTAATGTTTCTGCTCAACCAACTCAAGAAATAGTGTTGTCTCGACCCAACTGGGACCTTTTTCCCATTTATGCTTTAGCCCATGATGTTAAAAGTGCAGATACATATAATTATATCGACGTTTACCTGAATATTTGTATATTGGATAAATTTAAATGTTTCCAAAATGCTCCAGAGAGACTCTTTAGCAGCACAAATTATTTCGGAGCCTTCGAGTAGGGATCAAATTCCATTTCTGTTGCTAGAAGTTTAGGTCAAAAAAGCTTTAAAAAAAAATTCAAATTTCTCTCTCGTTGCAATCATAATTCTATTGTAGGATAATTATCAAATAACTGTTATACAAATTTCACTCATCTTTAAATTATTGTCGAAGAAAAATTATAAATGTATTGTGCAGAGCAACAGGGATGGAGCTGGTGCGCAGGTGCCCAGCTCTGATTGATAGGAAGCAATTAATTAAACATTTAATGTTGTAGGAGATGAGCATATGGTGGATTTACAAAGTCCTCTGCCTGTTAAAAAGAACTATTGCAATTTTTGTGGTTAGGTGGGTGGACAGTGCTGTCTATTTAAAACACGCTCATTTGGAAAATCACCAAATAGACAAAATGTAAAATCCGACAGTTTTGAATTAATTCACGTAACTTATGTGTTCGTACTGTTAAGTTATTTCAACGAATGCCAAAATGGCAGTCTCACGCACCCACAAATGCTCTTTATTTTTTTTTGTCTTCACATAAATTTATTTTGACGAAAACTGTACTGTATTTTTGTTTGCATCGAATCGCATTACAGTGAGTGAATACTAAATGAATAAAAGTAGAAAACAAATTAATTGTTGGATAATACTACAATTACTTATCTGCAGTTTTATTTTCAATACAAAACACATTCATACAAATTTCTTCCCCTTCTTGAATTTCTTCACCGTCTTAATCAACGGCTTCTTTTTTTCTTTCATTAGCACGTCCTCCTTCATTGGCTCGATTTTCTGCCCAGCGTGTGTGATGACTCGAGAAGCAATCATTTGCCTGTGTGCAGTTTCTGGCACCCAATTTCGGCCAACAGGCGCCCTTAAACTGGCTTCAAACTCCTTCACACTTGTGAACGGATGTGGCAATTCATTAACCTGCAAGAAAAAAAATTTAATCTAAACCACCGAATTTTTTAATAATTTCATAATTTACCTGGTGCTGAGAAATTCCAGAGTCTTTTTCCTCATTAATGATGACGTTCCTCAAATTTCTATCCCTCCTCGGCGCTTCCACTTTGGGCTTAAGAATGAACCGTTTTCTCTTCCGAGTGGACACCTGCGTGTTGCTTCCGCCCCACTCACCCCAGCCAGGAAGAGTCATGTCGATTTCTTTGGGCTTGCTGGCCGCTTCCAACTCTTCCTTTTCCTTTTGGAACTCGTCAACCACGTCGTCATCGGCAAAAAGCTCCGCCAGCATTGCCTTTTGCTTTTCAGAAAATCTGTCTTCGTCCAAATTTTCTCCTCCAATCACAATCATCTCTCCCTGCCGAGATTTCAAGGGCTTTGGATTGAGGAATTTAGTCGGGTCGATGTTCTCATCTTCTGTTTCCACAGGTCTGTCCAGAGAGTTTTTCAAAAGATTTCTCTTCTCGTTGGCCGAACCTTCTCGAGAAGTGCCCTCGGTGTTTGAAATTTCGATGGCAGATTTTGGTCTTTCTGTTTGTCGCAGGCTTTCCACTGACCAAGGATGAAACTCTTCCCTTGCTGCCTTTTTCTTCTTTCCTTTCTTGCCTTTTCGAGAATTTTCCTCCTCCTCTCCATCGTCAACTGTGATAATTTCCTCAGCTGCCTTCTTCATCTTTTGAAGAGATTTCTCCACCAGCCTCCCTTGCTCTTCTTCCAACTTGTCAAAAAGGTCTATCACGTTGGTATTATTTCTGTCTTCGATCACCATCCACGATCCGCTCTTGCTTTTCTTCCTTTCCTTCACTTTAAGTCCCTTATTTGACCTTTTCGTTTCATTTTTCCCAGTCTGATTATTCTCAAACTTCTCCTGGTCTTTCCTGATCTCGAGCAAATCCTCCATCAACTCCAAACGCTCGTCCTCCTCAACTTCAGTGCCGACATCAGGCAAAGTGGGCTCCATTATTTGCGGAGGCTCTAGTTCTTCTCCTTCCTCAGCTTCAAGAGCTTTTTCACCCTTGCTCTTATTCTGCTCCTCCCAGAATTTTCTATATCCACTGACAAAATTGGAAATCTCATCTTTCTTTCCATCTTTATTGCTTCCCTCCGACCACATCAAATCTGGATGGGGGAGAGCAGACCCAGCATCAGAATCATCTTCATCAGAAGATTCGTCACCAGGTTTTTTGATTTTCTGAGTCAACTCTCTGCTCAGCTCAATTTGTTTGGACAAAACTTGACGGACCTAAAAAATAAGGATTTATTTCCAATGATAATTTTAAATGAAAATTTAAGGAAAATTACCTCTTTATTATATTTGGCTCGGACTTGCTGATTTTTAGCCCACGAACCAGTATTCTTGTGCCTCAGCAAGGCTCTTTCCTCGGCTCGAGACCTTTCGATGGCATCAAGTCTCTTCAAAGCCTCCTCTGGATTTTTCTCCTTCAGAGCCTCAAACTCTTTGATTTGCTGCCGCATTTTTTCTCGCCTCAGAATTCGGTGGAACTTCTTGCTCTTGATTTTGTTCTGCCTCCAGGTTTTCATTTGCTGCTGGATGGACTTTCTTTTTAAGTCACCGAACTCCCTTCGCTTGGCCAGAACTTCCTCCAAAGTCAGAGGATACTCGTCAACCTCAGGCTCCTGTTTAAGAAATTTTTATTTAAATTTCTTTTCAATAAACTCACAATCCAACCTGTGCTTGGGGAGCAATGTACCCACTCTGCTCCAGCATACTGTAGACCTTTTTCTCCAAATCAGTTTTCGGAGCAGTCACAGAAGACATGATGTTGGTCTCGAAAACTTTAACATCCTGGTTTTTGGCAGGAAACTCGAGTTTGTCAGCTACTCGATTACTCTCAACAACGTCATCCCACCTTGACAGCACTGCCTTAACTTTCTCGTAACCCTCCTTTCTTTGAACCTGTTGAAAAATCTCAATTGAATAAAAAGGACAAAAATAATTACGATTTTATAACCTTGTCGGCAAAGATTTTCTCCAAAGGTTTCGGAAGCGTCGCTGGTTTCTTTTGCAACTCCTGGAATTTCCTGCGAATTTTCACTGTCGACGAGGTCTTCAGGGCGTCTGCCAATTCGGACACATCAACTCCACTCTTGCCCTTGGACCTCCTGACCTTGGCCAGGTGAAATTCGGACACTTGGTGGCTCGGTTCTTTCCTTTTGGCTGGTTTAATTCTGCTCACAGAACGGGGTGATTAAAAAAATTTGGAGAATAAAAATAAATTTAAAAAAAAAATACCTCTCTGTGTAGTCAAGTTTGGAGATCGCCGAAAGCAACTTGGAATGGCTTTTTGGATTTTCTACGTCCGAATCGTCCGACATGATTTCCTCGTCCATGTTGTTCTTTTACAAGTAACTCGAAAAATTAAATGATGTAAACTAACTAGAGTAAGATTGGTTAAGCTTTTGTTGCCAAAAATTTTGCCGAAGATGGGAAAATTCAGAAAACACGTGTTTTTATGGTGGGTTTAACAGGCAGGCATGAAATTAATTGACCAATGGTGATCAAGACAACAAGAGAAGATAACCAAGAGCCAATCAGAGCTCGGTATTCCGGTTTAAAACGCCATCATCGGACAAAATTGCAAACAATGTGGTAAACAAAACCGGCAGAACGCAGAACCTCACGTGGGCACGATTTTGAGAATGAGAGCTTTGAAAAACGATCTCAGAACGTTGTCATTTTTTTGTATTAATTGATATTTTTGGAAGAATGTAAGAATTAATTTTTAAAATTGGAAGATTTTTATATATGACTCATTTCATTTCAGATCGGCATGAAAGTTAAAAATCGACCCTCAGGCCGAGGCGGCCGAGCAGGATCTCGAGGTCCACCTGGAAAGCGGAAAAATGCTCCGAAAACCAGGCGAGATTTGCGGAAAGAAAAACGACAGGCGAAGAAGGTCAAGAAGCAGCAGCACACCCTTAACAAGTCGCATAAAGGCAAAAGGGAAATCCAGCAGCAACCTGTCCAGCCAAACGACAATTCGGATGTGGACAGTGATGAGCTCGAGGAGCCGATGGTAAAGTTGGTTCCCAAAGAAAAGCCGAAAAAATCGGAGGGAAAAATCAAGAAGAAAATTAAAACGGACGAAGAGAAAGACTCAAATGATTTCCGCAAAGAGAAGAACAAACTGGAGGCGGACATGCAGAAACAAAGAGTTCAGCAGCTCTTGGACGCGAATAAGGAGGAAGACAGGAACATCCGAATGCTGGAGAAATTGATGAAAATGAACAAGAGGAAATCAAAGAAACTGCCCAAGTCTTTCGTTGACGAAGGACTTGACTGTAACTAAAATAACATTTTAATCATTTGCTTTCTTATTATGTTTTCATTCTATTTTAGATCTGCTGGAAGTTTGTGATGACGAAAAAATGTCTTCGATGCAGAAAGACCCAACGTTGCTTGAATCTTCCGACTCAGAGTTTGAAAATGACCTGGCTGAAGTCACAGGCAAGAAAAGGCAGAAGCCAATTGTTGATGTGGAAGGAGAAAATTCAGAAGAAAGTGGGGTTGAAGAAGAAGCTGATGAAGAGGAAGATTTACTTGGGGAAGAGGAAGGAAGTTTATTGGGAGACGAAGATGAAGAAAGTATTTTGGGTGACGAGAGTGAGGAAAGTGAGGTTGAAAATCTGGAGGAAGAATTCAAGGAAGAGGACGTAGTTCAGCTATCTGAAGGCAAAAAGGATAAAAACAAAAAGAGGGTCAAATTTGAGGATGATGTAGAGGAAGAAAATGAAATCAAGAAACAAAAAATTGAGGACGAGGATTTTGTCGAAGATGATACCTGGGAGGACATTTACGGCAGAACCCGAGACAAAAAAGGAAATGTTGTTCAAGTAAATTATAAAAAAAAGATGTATAATATAAAAGTTTGAATAAAAAATATATTAAATTGTAAACAGGCCACTGAAGGAAAGTACATTCCTCCAGCATTAAGGGCAACATCGACAAATTCTGTAAAACTGGCGCGATTGAAGCGGCAGATGCAGGGTTTGCTGAACAGGGTGGCCGAAAGCAACATGGCCAGTGTGGCGTCTCAGATGGAGCAGATCATTCAGGCCAACAGCAGAGGGGATGCCAACGAGGTGCTCGGACAGCTTTTGCACGCCTTGGCCCCTGCCGGCTCAATCACTCCGCCACGAATGGTTGCAGAACATGCTTGCCTTCTTGCTTTGCTGCATGCCCACATTGGTGCAGAAATAGGTCAGTTTTTAAATAAACCACTTGAAATTGCTCAATTTCCCAGTCTCTTATATTTAATTTTGAAAAAATATAAATTAAATAATTTCAAACATATACATTTAAAATTAACTTAATTTAAATTTTATCTTGTTCTAGGCGCACCATTTTTGCAGTCTACAGTTGAAAAATTTGACTTGGCCTATGTAAATCACAAGGAGGTTGAAGACAAAACTCTGAACAATTTGCTCCAGATGTTGTGCTTTATGTACTGCTTCAAAGTAAGCTCTAAAATAATTAATTCTGGTTCTTTTATATTTATTTTTTCTCCCAATCAGATTTTCCACTGCACTCTGATGTTTGACATTTTGGAGATGCTGAGTGCGAATTTCGAAGAGAAGGATGTCGAGCTGATTTTGCTGATTCTGAAAACTGTTGGGCCTTCTCTCAGAAAAGACGATCCAGCTGCTCTCAAAAACGTGATTTTGAATTTGCAAAAGCAGGCGTCTTCCAGCAAAGCAGAAAAGTATTATTCAAATACAATTTTTCAGTTAATTTTTACTTATTTTTATTACTTCAGTGCAAGGGTTGCATTCATGCTGGATGTCCTGATGGCTATAAAAAATAACAACATGTCCAAGATTCCCGATTACGACCCTGACTTGGTTGACAGACTGAAGAAATTACTGAGATCTCTATTACGAGCGGGATCTTCAGTGTCCGAGCTGAAGATTTCCATGAAAGACCTTCTGAATGGTATATTTTTATTTTGAAATTTCATTCAATTTCAAATAAATATCGGAATATATTAGCGCAACAGCAAGGAAAGTGGTGGGTTGTGGGTTCAGCGTGGCAAGGAGCAGGTCCTGGCGAAAAGTCTTCCGCCAGCTCTTCAAACTCTTCCCAGTTTAGCCACAAACTTTTGGAGTTGGCCAGAAAGCAGAGAATGAACACGGATCTGCGCAGAAATATATTCTGCATTTTGATGACAGCTGAGGTGATTTATTAATTAACATTGAAACAATTTTAATGAAAGTAATAAAAATATCCGAAATCCAAAACTAGTAATATCTTACAAAAATATAATTAATTTTATATTATTTTATTGATAAAATATTTATAAATTGTTTTATTTAATATAAATTAGGAAAATTTAAAAAATAAATCAAATCAATTGAAATTTACAGGATTTCATAGACGCTTTTGATAAGTTGCTCCACCTCGGCGTGAAAGGTCAGCAAGAACGAGAAATCCCTTATGTTATTCTGGACTGCTGCCTTCAAGAGCAAAATTTCAACCCTTACTATGCACACCTCTCTCAAAAGTTTTGTGATTATGACCGAAAATTTAAAGTAATAGTTTGAGAAATAAAATTGAAGACTTGAGTTTTAAACTGTTATTTTTCAGATGTCCGTTCAGTGCTCAATTTGGGACAAAATTAAGGAGTTGAACACTTTATCAAAGTCCGTGGCAAGGAACTTGGCCTCATTTACTTCATTTTTAGTGTTGAATGGAGGACTGACACTAGCCGTTCTTAAAGTAAGTTTCTTTTATTATTTTTATATATATAAAATTAGATTCGAAAACAAAATTTGTGGAAAAAAATAAATGTTTTTTCTGTCAATAATTTCAATCCTCATTTGACATTTTATTACTTTATTTAATTTAAAATTTTCTTTCTGGCAACCAATTGAGAACATTTTTTATAACCATCGCTTTTTGATCTTTTTCTTTTAAAGAAATGTTAATTTTATTTTTAATTTTTAAGGTGATCGAGTTTTCGGATTTGGATAAGACGCACGTCAGGTTCGTCCGCCAAGTCCTGTTGTCTCTTCTGCTGGCTAAAAAAGAGCAGGAATGCATCGAAGCATTCACTCGAGTGCCAACCTCGGCCCAACTGGGACTCTTTAGAGAAGGCATGCGACTTTTCCTGCACCGCTACATCCTGGACAGCAGCCAGGGCTCGGCAGAGAGCGACCTGTTGAAGGCTAGGGTGGCTCTGGCCGAGAAAACCCTCGTCAATCCGGACAGCAAAATCAAATTCTAAAACTACAAGGTAGGATTTTTTTCGTATTTTCATTTATTCTGGGGACATAAAGCAGATTTTGTTATTCTAAAGACTAGCTAATGTACATTGGTCCTTAACTCACTATCTGATGTGGCTGAACGAGGCGTGTCTGGTGACAATTTTTTTTTCTTTTATTTTAATTAATCTTCTTTTGATTGAAAGCCGATCTAATGATAAATTACATGATGAGGTGAAAAACTCCATTTTCGTTTTAAAATTTGTTCTTCTCTAAATGCATTTGTCTAGGTTTAAAATTATATACTTTTCCTTAGAAAAAATATATACTGTACAGCAAGCAGTGTTGAAATTTTTAGTCAACCAGAGGCGGCTTCAACACCTCTTTTTTTAAGTACTTTTCGGGCTATGAAATATGTACTTTTTTAGCAAAACCTCAAAAAATAGATCCGGAAGTTGTAATCATAGAAATTGCCCGAGTCGGCAAAAACGAGATCAATTATTGAAATACACAATTGTTTTTTTAGAGGGGGTGCTCAACTCCAAAGGCGGCACTTGTGGTGCGGATTCATGGGGCTGCCCACGGGGCACCGAAACGTCCGGGCAAAGTCGTCATTGTTCTGAAGGACGCCCATCGTCCGGTACCGTCCAGGACTGTGCATGTCTCGCGTGTACTGCTCGAAACCCTCTTTGTTTAAGACTTCACACCAAATCTGAGAAGAATAATAAAATTCGATTAATTATAATGGGGCAATAGTTTACCTTATTGCGTATATATGGTGAAACTAACTCTCTTTTAGTAGATTAAAAATTATTTCAAATTTTAGTGCTGTTTCGAAATGATATTTTTAATTGCATATTTTTTCTTCTTTATAACATTTCCATCCTATTTTCTTAAATTAATATCTAATCAATAAGAAAAGGATGCGTTAATTTTTTTTTCCTTTTTTAATACTAATTTAATATTAGAAAACATTGTTCATAACAGTAAAATTACTAAATTAAATAAGTTTTATGTATAAACAAGTTTAAAAACAATGAAAATTTCACAGTAATATTGAATAAAAATAACTAATAATTTTTAAATTCAACAAACTAAATTTTTTGTAGAATCTAATCAAATTGAAAGGTTTATTTTTTTTTTAAATATTCATTTAATATTTGAAAACATTGTCCACAATAGAAAAATAACAAAAATAAATTTTATATAAAAAAAAGAATTATAAAAACAATGAAAATTTTACAATAATAGAAAATGAAAATTGCTTAAATTTTATTTTCAAATTTAATTATAAACTATTGAAAAAGATGGATAATGACTATTGCTTAATTTTTCATACCTGACCGTAATTGATGAAAAAAATTTCGTCCACAGAAAATGGAATTCCAGGTAGACCGTGCTCCGGTTCGTGATCCTGAACCCATTCCTTATAGGCAAGCCAACTATGTTTAAGCCCCGCGTTGTCGCAAATGTTGTCCCCAAGGGTCTCGTTTCCGTCCACCTGATCGCGAATAATTTAGCATATTTCGCTCGAAATTTCCTGTTTTCCCCAAACTCACGTTCTTTCCGACCATCTCAAGAGGAAACTCCGAGTACTGCTCGGCGAAGCAAATTGCCCGGTCGCGAAAACGCGCGGTCATTTCTTCGGTAAACCAGTTTGTCATGTTCCCGTTTTTGTCGTATTTTTTTCCTACGTAAAAGAAAATTTTGAGCAAAGTTTTACTTTTCCGTCGAATTTCTCACCGTGGTTGTCAAAGCCGTGCGTAATTTCGTGTCCGATGACAACGCCGATGTTTGCAAAATTCAAGTACCTAATGAAATTTTTATTAATTTTCGAACGATTTCAATTAAAATATTATACATTGGATAATCCAAGTTAAACATTGGATGGCGCAGAATACCAAGAGGGAAAACTGCAAAAATTAAAATAATGAAAATTTAAAATTTGCGGACAATTTTGCTTTACTTATTTCATTGGTGGTCGGGTTGTGGAAGGCATTGACCGTTAGAGGTTGAATGAGCCATTCTCTGATGGAAAATATATTTTATAAGAGCCATAACATTATTTATTTAAAAAATAATACTTTGCTTTATCGACGGGCCTCGTCAGTTTCCGCAGCTCCTTCCAAACTTCGTGCTTTTTGAGAATCAACATGTTTTGCAAGAAATTTCCATCCGATAAGTTAAGCTTGAGAGAAAATTTAATTTTATAAATTAATTGCCAACGCCAATCGTACCTCTTTATATTCCGCCTCGAGAGCGACTGGGTCTTCAATGTGCTTCGGGTAACCCACTTTGTTGCCCATTGAGTCCAACTAAAATTAAAATTCGGCGTTTCCGGAAAAGGAGAAAATTATTCAATTATTCACCTTTTCAATGACTTCCTTTTTCTTCGCCTCTTCAAGCCAGTCTTCTTCGTTGATTACGCTTCGGAAAGCTTTTTTCAGGTACTTAATCATCTTCAGAGCCTGAAAAAAAAACGCTTTGATTTGATAGTTTGAGCTGGAATTAGTTTCAAACCTTTTTATCCACAGCTTGAAAATAAGGCGATCGAACGTAAAGATTTCCAACTGCGAGTCCGAGGCCTTCATTCACAATATTTGCGCACTGTTTCCATCTAGAAAATTATCAAATTTAATTAGGGTTCAACTTTTCTTGCCAAAAAATTTAAGAAAATTTATATCAAACTGAATGTATAAAAAATAAAGCTGATTTATTGATTTTTTTGGTGGAAAAAAAAATCGAAAAAATGAACCTTTGATTCAACCATTAGGAGTTCAAATTTTTCAATCGTGAACTTGATTTTTGGTGACAATTTCAAGTTTTCCAAACTCAAAAATAAATATTGCTTCCGGGGAGTGTCTTTAATGAAAATAAACTAACCGAGAGAGATAAAGTTTGTCCTCGTTGGCGTCGGGCACGTCTTTGCGGAACTCGATCCAGATCTGCAGGAATTTGTTGCCGAGGTAGGGCATGAACTTGAAGAGGAACCTCCAAATCAGATAGTTGGCCACCGTCCTGTTAAATTTTAGATTTGCGTAGTTTGGGATTTTTAAGGTAAATCAATTTTGCCTCGAGTCGGCGGTTTCCAAAAGCCGAGCCAAATCAGCCAAGTACCCTCGACACCGAAAGGAGATGATCAGTTCTGATAGTGGAACAGGCAGCTCCACGTCCAGACGGTTCAATGTGTGCGTTAACATTGCTGGCCACTCCAACTATAGAAAATATTTTATTGAAAAAAAAGAACCAAAAATCATCTTTTTTTTTTCAAAATTATTGAAAATATGCACTGTTTTATAATCTAAGGTATTTTTATAAGAAAATTTTTTCTTTTTTTCATTTTTCTTTTTTTAAATAATTTATTTTCAAACACCTCTGGCGCCGCTTCCTGCAGTTCAAACAACGTCATTCTTCCGAGCTCGTCTGCATTTGGGTCTTCCGTCCCATTTGCCAAAAGAGGAGCGCACTTGGTGTTTTCGGTCACGTTGGCAAAACTGCTCTCGAACTGCAGAATGTCCTCGGCGTCCTTGAGCGAGTCCTGGTTGCCCTGCGTCAGTAGCAGGACGGACTCGCGCAACAATCGACGGTAGGATCGTAAGTAGCGAACGTAGTCGGGGTTGCTCGCGTTCAAATAATAGGCCGTTTCGATTGCAGGCTGTCCCTTGTAAAACTACACATTCAAAAATATGTAATTAAAATTTTAAAACATTTTTTAATTTCTCTTAGATTGAAGAAAGCATCAGAGAAGCTTGAAATGGAATTTTAAGTAAAAATATCATGAAAAAAACAACAACAATTAACTTTAAAGAAAATAATTATTGCATTACGCCTAAATGAATGCTTTAATCCGAAAAATTTGTAATTATAGATGAAACGTATAAAAAGGGAAGAACGGGAAACAACAATCTAAATTTTTATAAATTAACCTCAAAAAATTTTATTTTATTGAAAGTTAAAACGCCTTTATTATCAGCAACTTCTCAAAAAAATCATATTTTTTCGTAAAAAAAAAAAAAAAATTCAAATAATTAAAAAGTGGCAACTTAAAACAAATTTATCATTGCTATTTTGTATTCTGATTTTCTGACCTGTAACATGTACTGCGAGGCGTTTTTCTCGTCAGGGGTGACGTACATTTCCAAAAGGGTGTGAACCTGGTAAACGGACAGTTCGCCGAGCAGTCTGTGCAACTGGAATTCTTTTGGGTCCCAGGGCGCCTTCCGAAGAAGTGGCCACATTCCCAACTGGCCTGCGGAGAGAAGTGCGAAAACCGGAAGGTCTTCGTATTGTTTGTAGTGCGAAGTTCGGAAATCTAAAATTTGATTCCAAAATTCGTCTTTCACGTTGAATGGTTTTCGAATTGACTTACTACGGTCCATGCAAGAGGCGTAAAGTTTTCTCGCTTTTTTAATCGCTTCGTTCTCGTCGTCAGCAGATGGTTGTTCAATTAGCTCTGTCGAAATTAACAATTCATAAAAAAAATTGCAGTAAATGACTATAAAATTAATCTAATTTTATTGAAAAATGCAAGTTTTTAAATATTCAATAATAAGATTCAAATTAAAATAGTAATTTAGTTGTAGAATTTCACGATCGAGGGTTGATTCATGGTGAGTTGAATTTAAAGTCGGCTTTTCCTCGATGGGTTTTGTGAGTTGTTTATTGTTTAAGAGCAGGATATTGTTTTTCTTAAACAATAAACAACTCACAAAACCCTTCAAGGAAAAGCCGACTTTAAATTCAAATCACCATAAATATAATTTTAATACTACAGAATTTTACTTTTTAAAGGAAATGATTTAGTTTCAGAAGCTTCTTTGTTATGTGCATCCATGAAAATTGTAAAAAATTCTAAAAAATTAATGGAAATTAAAGCATTTGAGGACTCACATTAATTCTGAACATTAAATTTAGCAATTAATTTCATCACTTTGTTCAACAAGGAAATCTCTGATTGATTTTTAGAGCGCTATAAATGAAGCATGCGGAAAAACGTTTTTCCATTCAACAGATAAATAAATTTGTTTATAAAGTCGATCTTACTTTTGATCACGGCGAGCACCTCTTCTTGCATTTCCTGTAGCATGGAGCGGTGGAAGTTGTCGTCAGGCACTTCCTGGCTCCTGAGATAGTTGCCGCACGAAAACTGGTAAAAGTCGTGGCAAGGGTCCGCGTGCAGGTCCATCCGCTGCAGCATTCGGGCCGCGGCCAAAACGCACGCGGGCTGCTCGCACACGCCGCTGCCGTCCTCCTGCTTCGCCCGCCAAATGACTGCGACAAGCAAATTAGGCAACGTGTTAAGCTTTCGTGTCGGGCGGATTGCATAAATTCTAATGCGTTGACAATTTTACTCTTAAATTATTTACTCTTCTCGCAATAAATAAAAAGATGCTATTTTGTTTTTGAAGTTTTTTAAGATAGTTCCAACGTACATAATTTACTAACTTACACAAGGCAATATTCGCAATTATCGCATTGGCGAGGAACACGAGCACGGCGAAAATCAACTTCCTGTTCGTCTTTCTAGAAAAAATTTAAAAAAAGCGACAAACGTTAATGGTTTTAGTTTCATTCCATACCTAAAACATCAGGAAATTCTAAAACTCTAAATTGATAGTTAAATGAATTAAATCAATTTTCCAAGAAGGTAATGAAGTAAATAATTGATAATTATTATTTAAAAAAATTTATTTAGGTTATCATGTAACTGATTGTGGGCATCAACCTTCATAGAACTCTGTTAATTATTCATAAATGAGTCTTAATTTGAATTATGAAATGAAAAATTAAAATCAGTTAAAAGTACAAATAAGTTTGCTTGAATCTATGAGGTAGAATGAACACCAAAAGAAACCATTTGATTCGGCTGCTAAAAAATAACTCAATTTCAAACGTCCCAATTCTATAAAACTCCGACCGGGTTTGCAAAAAAATCAAACTTTTGTTCAGTTTCTTGCAGGCTGTTTTTCTTCGTTTTCTTCTTCAGAAGACACTTTTTAAGCTTAAGAATTGACGAGTTTCTGCAAACCCTGTCAGAGAAGGTTCCGTTAAATTGATAAAGAGCTTTTCAAACTGGCTTAATCCCTTTGCACTAAGTGCCTTTCACAGTTGGACCAACAGGTGAAGCAATCGAGTGGAGGGGTGGCGAACGTTTCCAGCGCAATATTGGCATGTTGTCACGTCGCGCTAACCATTCATCAAAGCCGGGCCGAATTGCCAAAACTTCTCAACTCCATTACGTCCTGGACCGTCGATATCGGGCAGCGAAAAACAGGACGCACTCGTCGCTCGAAAGGGCCATTCGTATCAATTTATTTGGACGCGGAATCGCCGCGGGAATCCGAAATTCGGTCTCGGGCAGGGTGGTTTATTGCTGCGGAGGGGAAGAAGGAAGCTGTGCCACTGGGGCAACCGGCGGAGATAGATCGATCTCACCACGCGTGCTGTTGACTCGCTGGGGGCGGCGTTAATTTTAATCCCGTTGACCCATCTGCGACGCTAAGCAAGTGGGCCGCAGCTCATTTGGAAGCGTGCAAAGCCGACTTAGACCGCCACCCTTGCTCGCTCCGCTGCCCAACTCGCCACCGCCCCTAATTGCTTTTTAATTTTGCAGCCCTTTCGCCGCTGTCATGCAAATATTTGCCTCGCCACCAGGACCGCCACACTTTTATTTATTCAGACAGTAACTTTTCTCTGGTATTTTTTTGCCCGCTAGAATTTGCAACGTTTTCGAAGAGCTTCGTTTAATTATGCATATTTCTTAGTATGTAAATAATTTGACCTAAAATATACTAAATGACAGAATGTAAATTTTCTAATAAAAATTAAATTTTGTATGGAATTTTGAAATGTTATTTTCACGACATTTTGTTAAAATGTCTGTGAAGTACAAATTTATTAATAGTAAAATTTAAACAATAATTTCTTATGGAGCAATCAAGAAAAGGCAAGATATGTCTTAATTGTCAATTTATATAATTAATATTTTTATATTTGGATTGAATTAATTGACGAAAAAAATGGTATTTTGAGCATTACTACTTGGAATATGAATTTTCCCTAAAAATGAAGTGAACTTAATTTTACAAATATAATACAAATTTTTACTCCTCTTCATATAAATCCAATAAATTGAATCAATCTTGGATTAAAACGACTGTTAAATTGTCAACTTTTCAACCTGAAAAAATACGCTTGTACATTAATAATTTTAAATCAATTGAAAAAGCGATAGAAAGAACCCCAACCCCACCCCCTCCAATTAGTTAAATTGCAAAGAAAACAATAAAATTACTATTTGGGCAGAGAATGCCCGGTGATATACATTAACAAACACAATTTGCAACTAAAATTTATTTTCCCTAACAAAAAAATTGTTTATCTTTCAATTTTTATAACAATAAGATAGATAAATAAGCAAAACCATAATATTAAACATGGTTGTGGAAAAAACTTAGATGCGGCACGTCTGAAGACCGCGAAGACCAAGCCTTCAAATTTAACCCTCCCTGTTTTAGTTGCAAATTGTGTTTATTGATATATCGTTTTTGAAATTTATAAAATAGATTTTTATATTATCTCAATATTAAACAGGACGGAAGTTAATTTTAATTTATTCTACATATATTATATGGCTCTTTGACATAGTTAAAATCTCAACACTGAGTCTCAACCCTCAGGTTAAGAAGCTTTCAATTGAAAAATAAATACTCGATGTGGCTGTGAGTGAAAGACTACGAAAATTATACTCTTATTTTACTAGCTGAGACAGCACTCGGGCGGGTTTAACGAGTGACAGAATGAGTAGTGCGAAGTGCCAATCAAAGGGTGATGCAGCTTTGATTGGCCAATCGACAAAGACGAGGTAATTGTGCTACATTGCAAACGCATTAATTCGTCCAGCCTTCACCCTTATACATCTCTCGGGCGCTTTTCGCGGCCAGCACTAGTTGCTCGCAATTTATCTCGCGTGCAGCCTCTTCGCTCTCGATTTATTGCCTGCGGGGAGCTGAATAATGGACGCTCTCTCGCAGATTATTTCAAACAAGATATGTGCAGTAACCTCTCTCTAGGTGCCCCCTGCACTCTCTGGCTCTCGCACACAACGCACTTCTCGTCCTTTGTGCTTTCTTTCTTCGCCCTTTGTCCGCCAATAATGGCGTCTGTCCGCGGTTATTGCATATGAAGGCACTGGAAATTTCATCATGGAGAAGCGACACTCACTCTGATGAATTTCCTTTTCGCGGAAGATACCCCTGGGAATATATTTAACAAGAATTAATATACGTTTGGAAAAGTACATATTCAACTTAATTGTAAATTTAAAAAGAAAAATATTTCCGAAAATAAAAATTGCATGTTATTAGAAATTAGAACGAATTTTCAAGTTGGTTATTTCGTTATATATTTAAACCTTCTTTTTCATTTCTTTCAATGAGGTTAAACCCAGTTTCAATTTTTCATGACATCCATCTTAAGTGTCAACTTTCAATTTGGAAATTGAAATTCAGACGATGTTGAAAGTAAAACATTTACTGATAATTTTTATTCTTCGCTATTGAATTTAACTAAAAAATAAACAGTGTAAAACCAGACAACAAGTTGCTCAGTTTCTCAAGAACTAGAGGTCTGCCCTCTATTTGCCCTGTACCAGCCTTTATATTTTACCATATTTTTTTTTACTTACAATGGAAGCACAAAAATTAGTCAGAAAAAAATGGATTACAGTAACAAAATTCTTTCTCTTAAATGTTGTATTTTGACAACGATGCTTTCGAAATTATTTTAAAGAAAAAAATAATTATTATTGTGCGTTGGCACCTGGATGAATTTATTTAAAACCATATAAGATAAGAAAATTTTAAAAAATTCGTCAGCTTTGGCTGTTGGGGTTTGAAGTAAAATAAAGCTCCACATTTGTTTCCAAAAATAAAGATTAACTTTTTCAATCTGAATCAACTTGAATATCCATGATTTCAAGATCAAATCAATTTTCTACCTCCATCGATCATCTCTCCTTCGACCCCTTTTTGCTTTTTATTCTCACTCCATTGCATAAATAATTAACATGTCGATCCGCAAAGTTGGACTAGTCATAATTTAGCAAGCGAGGCTGCTCTTTCGCGTCAAATTGCCAATTCCGAGGCTCAACCGCGCCAACGTCAATTTGATTCGCTAATCAAATCCCCTGCCTGCCTGTGCGCCGGGGCGTGTTAATAATTTAAAAGACTCTGCTCTCGCTGACTGAGAGTGTCATCTCCCTCCGTCCAATTATAATTCACCCAAGGCGTCGTAAATTCGCTCGGCTTAACGGGCGCGCGTGCAAGACGGGAGTCCAGATGAGCCGCCTGATTTCCCTGGTGCGCAAATAAAACATAAAAAATCCTGTGGTGTTGAGAAAAAAAATTCATTGATTTTTTTTTTAAATGAAGTATAAAAAAATAAGCCATATGTCGAATTTAATTTCATTTACGATCAAGTTTTAAAATTTATCTTTTCTCCTTGAGAAAAATTTCATTTGGAAAAACATTTTCTTAAAATTTTTATGGTATGGTATATATTTAACTTTATATTTGCTGAAATTTCTTTCAAATTTTCTTGCTTTCCTATCAGATAAGGTTGCATAGTTAAAATAGAACTTGCTGCGATAGTCTCTCATCGAAATTTTGATGGTTTAGAAAATTTTAAGCCTGACTTGTCCTTCAAATTTGTTTGCAAAAATTAAAATTTCTTTTGAACATAAGGAAATATAACAAAAATCCTTATTTTGTACCTCATAACAAAAAATTATCAGAGTCCAAGGCGCCTTTTCAAAATGACATTTTTGAGCAAAAGTAAGATGAATTTCCTTCTTCTCGGTCAAATGTCAGTACGTTATTTCCGTTGCGTCTCCAAATGGAACATTTCCGCACGCACAAAAGCCTCTTGGCAAACTCAGCACGTAAGCACTAGAAAACTTTGTGTCGCGTCAAAACTTTGTCTTCGCTAATATGAAAGAGAATTATGAATTCGGTTGTCGTCGCAGAAACGAGCTTTAAGATTAAAGAGCTGGCAGAGAGAACGTCTCTCTGGAAAACGATGAGAGATAAAAGGCCAGAGCGCGGCTGTCGCGAACTCTCGGCTCATTATGTGTAAATGCTGAGACACCCAACAAGTGTTCCTGGATCCATTTCTTTCGAGGGCCAACAAGCAGGCGGATTATTTTTGAAAATAAACTCAGCTGAAAATTGATGCCAGCAGGTGGTGCGGAGCTTTTTTTTTAAATACATTTCAACATCAAAGAAAAAGCGCTCTTACATGTTGCCATGGTCACTTCTCTGCTTCTTTTGCAGAAATAATTTGTCCTAAAAAAATAAAACTATAAAAATCCCACAAATTCATTATGAAAAGTCTTCCTTCTAAAAACTAATAACAAATGATTCAATCAATTTCGTGAAAAAGTTAAAAATTTCATGTTCCAGATCAATCTGGTTGAAAAAACTGTAGGTTTAGGTCTAATTGTAAGAAAAAAAATTATCGCTGGTCGTTTCAAGTAAAAATTATGCGTAATTTAGTAACTGAAATCAAAATAAAAACGAAATCATAAGAACAAGTAATTCAAAAGAATAATTATGTTGTTGTTTACATTTTGGAAATATTAATTTTATAATATAAGTAAAAACAAAAAAATTCAATTGAAAATTTGTTGTCTTAAATTTGATAAAAAATCAATTTGATGAAAAATTAAACGAGAGACGATGACTCTTTGCTATTAACTATGAAAGGTCAACTGGCTGCAATCAAGTGACTGACCGTAGCTTTTGGTGGCTCGGCTGGACGTGCTCCTCGTCGGGTAATTCGTCGTCGGGGGCGGTCGAGACGGCGGCCACGAGCAGGCCGAGCCTCGAGTTCTGGCTGCGCACCGAGCTCTGCTGCTCGGAGGCGGCCGGCGCGGCCTGGCCCACAGGAGCGTCCTTCATGGCTGCATGCCCAGGCCGACCCTGCGGACTGAGCGGTGCTCGCTCGCGACGGTCACACACTCGCACCCGTGAAGATTATTTTGCGCCGGCGCTGCGATGGATGCGGCACAGCATCCCGGCAGGCGCACGACACAATACGAGAGAGATTACGCGAGGCGGGCGGGCGATCATCCAGCGGCCGCGCGCACCTGCATCCCATCGATTTTGCAAACAGGCGTAAATTGTGTCAGCCCTTCTTGTAAGCTATAAATAGCGCCCTTTTTCTTAATCAAGCCGATAATATTTCTTTCAACCACAATCAGCATCAGTTATTTTATGAAATTAGAGTCTTGCTGTGATAAATAAACTTAAATTTCAAAGATCTAGATTAGATGAGAAGCAATATTTTAATAAGTTTAAAACCAAACACGCTAGTCGAGTTTTGCTGTGTTAAAATGAGCATAAATTTAAAAAATCTCGATTAAATGAGAAGGATTGATTAAGCCAGTTTAAACCTAAAGACGCTAGTCGAGTTTTGCTGTGTTAAAATGAATATAAATTTCAAAAATCTCGACTAAATGAGTAGGATAATTTTAACCAGTTTAAACCTAAAGACGCTAGTCGAGTTTTGCTGTGTTAAAATGAGCATAAATTTCAAAAATCTCGATTAAATGAGAAGGATTAATTAAGCCAGTTTAAACCTAAAGACGCTAGTCGAGTTTTGCTGTGTTAAAATGAATTTAAATATAAAAAATATCGACTAAATGAGAAGGATTATTTTAACCAGTTTAAACCGTAAGACGCTAGACGAGTTTTGCTTTGTGAAAATGAATATAAATTTAAAAAATCTCGACTAGATGAGAAGGATTATTTTAACCAGTTTAAACCAAAAGTCGCTAGACGAGTTTTGCTGTGGTAGAATAAACTTCATTTATTTTCAAAATTCTCGATTAAACGAGAATATAACCAATTTAAACCTAAAGATGCTAGACGAGTTTAACTGTGTTAAAATGAACATAAATTTAAAAAATCTCGAATATGAGAAGGATTAATTAAACCAGTTTAAACCTAGAGACGCTAGACGAGTTTTGCTGTGTTAAAATGAACATAGATGTTGCCGCACACCTTCCACCAGGCTCCCCCTGACGAAACTCGAGAAAAATGTATTCTGGTGTGGTCTGCACTTGGACACCGTCCATCCATTCCCCATGAAAGTTTTCTTCCAGAACTGGCGTGTTGTGTTTTGCTTGGAGGAAAGGTGTGGCACTGTGCGAGATTTTTCTTGGTAGTATGTGTCTCTCCGATGCAGGAACTTGGTGGACCACTGCAATTTTTAATACATTTAATTATAAATATATATTCTTAATTGAAACACACATTTACAATGTCGTTTAATTGTTAATTTTATATGTGCACTTACCTACACCAAGTAAGTCGAAGGCAGGAACAGTCTCATCAAACGAAATCTGCTTTGGCAGCATATTCCATGTTCTTCAAGCTTCGACATTAAGTTTTGGTCAGATGAGAACTTGGGGAAAGTGAAGTCAGCAATGAACACATCTCTTGCTAACAAGAGTTTTCTGTGCAGTTGGCCTGGGCACTAAAAAATTTAAGCTTCATAAAAGGTTATTACTGAGCATATTCAATTTTTACATGTTCCTCAGGGCAATTCTCGGTGGGCAGCAAGTTCCCAGTGAAGTGCCCCAGCTCTGCCGGAGTCACGTGCGGAGGCAGGCCGAAATAAGCTTCTTTCCTGGGGCACGAGGTGCATTCTTCGACTCGCTGGAGTACTGTCTCCATTCTGAAGACTTCAAGAGCCCACTGGGAGACTAGATTCCACTCGTTATCCTTGATAGGCCCAAGGCTGGAAAATTTAATTTCCACACATTGAAATTGTATAATGCATTTTTAATTATTTTATACATACTACTTGACCACAGTCTGTTGCCACAGACTTTGGATCTCGAGGCTGTATTTTCCAGAACTACTGTAAAGGTCGTAGAGTAGATCACGGAGTGGGCCTGCTTTGCACTTCCACATCAATTGGTTAAAAGATCTATACAACTAAAATAAAAAACAACTTTAATATGCAACCAAAATTAATTATTAAAACGCAGAGTACTGACCCTTTTATGTGCCATCAGAAGTAAAGCATGGAGTAAGCAGTTCAGTGAGGAGACATCATTTTGATGCCTTCAGGAGGTGGGACTAGTCCCGGCATGGAACAACATACATTACTGAATAATGTTTGCTTCTGGTTATCCCTGTAGACAACTGTAAAAGGAGTCAATTATAATTAATGAGATGAAAAATAACTTTAGATATGTCTTACATGTTGTAATACAATCTCTCTCAGGGCCTTTCAATTCTGGAATGAAGTCAACTACAATAACAAAAAATAATATTAGGATAACAGAATGATATGTAAGGCGTGTCCGAAAAAATATTTTACCAAGCACGTTAGCGATGAGGACATTTTCCAGGTCAGTCACATCACCAGATGCCATTCGAGGCAATAACAGTGCTCTGGCCTTATGATTCAAGTGCCAATTGAATTTATGGATGGTATTGCGAAGGTCTTGAGAAACTATTTTATGAGAAATATTGAATTAAAAAATATAAAACATAAATTTTAAGTTACCTGCTACAATATTATCTACAAAGTTTGGGATGATGGTGTGCCCTCGAGCCATGAACCGCCTCGTTTCCTCTCTTTTCAGTAGGTACCTTAACTCTTCAAACACCTCAGATTGCTCATCAGGTTGGACAGGGCTCAAAATACTTTTTACGGTTTTTCTGGTGGTCCGCAATTCAATGTCCAGTGCGTCAAAAGGACAGTTCAGTGTGTATTGGGATCTCGTCGCACCCGCTACAAAGGTGACGTATGCGTCAAACTTTTTGAAATTTGCCACGGTTCTGAAAATTTGTGATAATTATAGGTTAGTTGTAAAAAAAATACTTGGGGATCATGCATCCTAATGGAGCTAGCATTAAATTTTGGCCACGATTTTTGCGGCGTTTGGTCAGGATTTATAAAAAAAAAATTAATTTTAGAACGTTCCCCCGTGTCCTGAGATGTAATATGTCAAAAGTGACAATAAAAGTTAGATGGATCAGGGAAAGAAGTTTATAAAAAAAAAAAACACACACACACACATACTTCTATGTGCGAAAACTTTATCACATTAATATTATACTTATAAAAATTCTATGCAAAAAATGCGTTGTTGCAAGAAATAACCATTTTCAATATTTTTATTTCAGCAAATTTTAGAAAAAAGATCGAGGATAGGGAAACCTCTATGATACTTACAGGATAAAGGCGTTGATGTTCTGGTTGTTGTTGATGTTGTCATTTCCAATTGCCTCACCATCGTTATTGTCGTCAGCAATTTCAAAATGAGAAAATGTGGGATATTATCCTTTCGAAAGGGCAAGATGCACATTTACAAGCTCTGTAAACAATATTAAACCTTCACTATAACATAATCCTTCAATCAGATTGGAGGTGCATGATGGAAAATCGTAAAAACTTAATAATTAATCTTCGCAAGGAAAAATTACATAAATATTCAATAAATATCTCTTTGATATGATCATATGCGAACATTAAAGAACTCATACACATTAATTATAACATATATCATGCCTTTTAAATTTTAATTAAAAAAATAGCACAAGAATTTGATCATCTATAAGTTTGTGAACACATTTTTTTAAAATATTTTGACAGTTGGAAGTTGATTCTATAGAATCATCGTTGAAAAGAATATAAAATGAACTATTTAAGGGGCCCGCAAACGGACGAGATATTTTTGTTAACTCCTTATTTTATGCAACCTGCGTGACAACCCTCTGTGGTGAAGGGCGGTCCCAATTTTAGTTCCGGGTATCTGTAGGTGGAGGTGTTACTGAGTCTTATGTTACAGCGACCAAAACAGATTTTCTCGCTTAATTACCTCTCGGGAGTGAGATTTTTTTAAAAGCATGGTCAACTGCACTGTCAATGCAACGTCACACAATAGAAAGAAAGAATTAGGAGGGTAGCGGCGCGGTCAGGGTTTTTATTGTTGTGAGTAAAGAATTCAGTCATCTGGCAAAAAAAAAAAAAAAAATGTGCAGGTAGAAAAACAACACATTGTCAGTTGAATTTTCACCAGCCGCGTTCACAAACAGATTTAATGAACAATAAATTCGACATACTCTTACCTTTAATAAACACTGGCTTCTGATAACGATTGATGATAAAGCAATTAATTTTAGAATTTTATCATTTGCATTCCAGTTTTTATGTGATTGATATTCACAAATTCTTCTCTAAAGAAAGGTATGAAAAATTGAAATCTCTGAAATTATTTTCAGTTCTTAAAAATTTACAATTATTTTTACTGTTTCTATTAATTTGTCTAAATTGTTTTTCACATTGTTTACATTCAATTGTTGCAAACAATTTATTTGGAAATGAAAGGAATTGTTGGACTAACCGGCACCACCACTAACAAGAATTTTGTAAACACTTCCCAAGATCAAAAAGACCCCATCCGCTGCAGTGAGCCTTAAATTTTAATTTAATGTTTACTTGAATTCAATTCATTTAATTAAATTTCATTATTTATTCCATAAAAATTTTATTTCTCGAAAAAAACCTGGCAAAGAATGTTTTTTCCAATGTAAATTAAAATGACATTCAGGATATCGTGAGCGCACGCGGCTATTATACCGTATTTTTTTCATCTTTCCTTTTGGTTTTGCTTCAAGTTACGTGTTCATTTGATGCGCCACACAATTTATGAGTGATTTATATTAATATTTATAATTGTATTATAATATATTTTTTATTAAAATTCCAGTCAACTGAAATGCATTGAACCATATTTTGCAATTTGAATTATAAATTTATAGAAACCATACAATATTAAATTGTAAATTAATTAGTTTGATATCATATTAGAATTGTTTATATTATTAATTTATTTTATACACTTCAGTAATTTGATGGCGTTTTTAAACTGCCTGCCTGCATAGCATATTTTCATAATTTTTATTTCTTTAAGATAATCATAAAACACATGTCTGCATATATATAATTGTTATTCTGAGAAAATTTCAGTTTTCAAGTTTGAAACTAAAAATAATTTACTCCCAAATAATATTTAAAAATCATGCAGTGGAAGTTGTGCATGAACATGAACATAATTGCGCGGGATGCGCTTATTCACAGGCTCGCTCACTCGTTTCTGTGAAGTGTAAACTCTGCTCAGCAAGAAAAATAAGAACCCTCTCAGCTTGCACGAAACAGGGTGAAAATATTTTTTCTGCCTGCGTACTTTTTAACAATAAAGCACACTTCTGTGTGTTACCTGCAAACGTATCCCTTTTAGGATACCTGGCGAAAGGTAAAGGGGGAGCAAATACGCGTCTGGCCCGTCGCCAGCATGAGGGCGCGCGTTGCAGTGGCCGAGAGAAAACTCTCCTGCTTGAAAACAGGCCCTCAAAATCTTGAAAACTGCTCCAGTAACCGCAAAAAAAAAAATGATTCTTACAATAATCAGAATATTTAAGTTTATATTACATTTGCAATTATCAAGAGTTCCTTTAGGAGTTAATTTTTGTACTTAAACTCCATGGTTACGGAGCTATACTGCTCCAAAGTTACTAGTTTATCTGGGAAAAATTTTCGAAAAACATTTTCGAAAAAATAGAAAAACCAACCTCTTGTTTGTTTCTTTATCTTGCTAACGAGGTATAACTTGTCCCACACACTCAACTAATAAGTTAACAAAATTACGGTTCCCAACGCACTGCGCTGGGGTCTGTGTTAGCTGGCCTCGCTCTTAATTTTGTCGACGATCGTCGTTCGCTTTTTGATCTGATCGCATATTATGCAGATTAGCAGAAAAACCCGCACTTACCGTAAAAAACTCCAGCGGCCGGTGCAAACCATCGGTCAAATCTGGCGAGATATTGTCGGTCGACGGTCGACAAGCGAAAATGCCGAAGTCGATTCAGAGGGATGTCCCGGCCGGGGTTGCAGCCCTTAAGTGCCGAATACTGGAGGTACCAAAGACGAGAAATCCGCCAGTCCGCCACACGCGCAGCTCGAAATGCAGGCACACAGGACTGAGAAAAGACTGGTATCGCGTCCCGAGAAGCTTTTTTTGGCGGCAATAAGGTCGAAGTTTCTGGTCTCGTGTTCTCTGTGATCTCGGTCTTCTCCAATTCCCCCTCTTTACTTCCCTGTTTACCCCTTCAGCGCTGGTATTTCTGCATGCCTGTAGTGTCTCTGCAGGTCTGCATCACAAATCCGTACAAGATACGACACGAAAACACACCGCAATTCCAACTTCCAATCGGCGGAATGTCTCACCTCCCCCGATTTTATGTATTACAAAAGGGTATAAGGCTACCTAGGACAACAGTTGTAAATTTTGAAATGAAAATTTTCTATAGAAAAAGGGGCCAACTGTGATGAGTTTCCAAAAGAAATTTGTGCGCGCAAACGTTCCGAAAGTAAAAAAATCGTGAAATTAAATTTGAAAATTCCCATTGTTATTTGCTATTATGCACAGCACTGAAACTGCGTGTGCGATGCCTGGCGGATGAAAGACGAATTAAAGAGCAAGGACGTCACATTTAAAGGGACGATTTTACGAAAATATCGATTTGTGAAGATATCACGAAAATATTTCCAAAATTAAGGGTGACGGCCAAAAAAGCAGCATAATTTACCGCACAACTTGAAGCTAAAAAAAGAGGATACACTTCAGCTCAGGGTCGCTAGGTACATTAAATCAGATTTTTTTAAATAAAAAGTACAAATATCTATGTTTCTATTGCTTACAAGTCCGTTTGCAGACAACTCCTTTTGTGGGCAACTACGTTGTGGGTTTGCGAGCTTCGGGCTGGAGGCGCGCTCGCCCGAGGACGTGGTGAAGGCCGGCTCCGGGCGGGACAAAAGGGCGGGGATCGTGGGGGGGCTCCTGCGGAGCCCCCCCACGAACACAGCCGCCCTTTTGTCCTCGCCCTCCGCACGGCCTTCCCCACGTCCTCGACCTCGCTGCGCCTCCACCCCTCGCTCGCGGCTTCTGCAAAAATTATTCTTGGGGGTTGCCCAACTCCGAGTTGCCGGTTTGTGGGGTGGTCTGGTTTGTGGTGTGCGTGCAATTTCCCCTCACGTGGGAGTTTTGCAAAAATCAATTAATTCAAAATTCAATCAGGATTGTAGAGTACCCAAAAATATCGCCCTTAAATGCCTTAAATCGATAAAACTGTCCCATTTTTATGCTAGTTCTGACTACATGTGGCGTGACGGTTTTTTAAGAGGAAACTCCCGTCTAGGTGGCGTTTTTACATCTGTATGCATTAAAAGTAGTTAATAAACGCCTAATTTTATTTCAACTCTCATTACTTCCCATTTCATTTGCGCCGGCTTTTCCTTATTGAGAAATGTTCAGCACACTATGAGGAATGTTTTGATATAAAAAAATTTCATATTGACAACTGTTGTCCTCAATGAACTTCTGCCACATGTTCCGCGCTCTCCATTCTCTCACAATAAATTTCACATAGCGCTTTCAACTTCCTCTTTTCTTCTGCGCGTGTACAAAACATAATTTTACAAGTTGCAGCATGAAAAACACTTAAAAGATGGTTGGTTGATGTGTGCATGAGTTACTTTTTACGCTTTTTACTCTCTTCTTTACAGCCGCATGATGCTTTTTATCTTTTGATGAGTGGCGGCGCAGAAACTCAAAACGTAAAATATTTTGCTCTTTGAAAAATAAATCATATTTTTATTGGGTAATATTTATGTCTGTAAGTATATGGTGACGTTTAATTGTAAACACGTATAAAAATTCCTTTTTGTAAATTTTAAAAATTATTTTTAGAAAAAAATAAAAAATGTAGTGTTATATATTAATTTTTATAATTGACGTACAAATTTTAAATAAATTTTAAATTTTCTTAACCGACTTTTGAAATGACCGAAAATTTTTCCGAACTTCTTAACAGTCACCAAACGTGTAGAATCATATCATAATGTTATAAGTCAGTAAAATTTTGACTCAATTAATTTACCTCAATCTTCAAAATGAACGCCATTTTAAAAATTTCAAAGGTGTTTTTATAGGATACAATGCAGCACTTCTAATTTTAAACCAATAAAATGAATTATGAATTTAAGTGGAGCATTATTTTTGTTTTGTCATAGCTCTAGACCTATATGCAAAGCTTTGAAAAACAAAATTGATTTTCACTTGTATGCGCCTCAATTTACAAATTGTTTTTTAAACAAATCTGCATGTATAAAAATAATTCAACTTTATCCTGAAATTTACCATGCCTTTCATGCTAATTACAGTAATTATGTACGTCATTTATACTCGCACACTTAAAATTTCAAAATAGAAAAAAATTCCTGGCTTAATTTTTTGCATCCAAAATAAAATTAACCTATTTAACGTTTTATAATGAATAAAACAATACATTTTGCACCCTCTTTCAAATAAATTCATAAATAAGTTTCTTTCAGGTTTGACGGAAACAAAAATTTAATTTTGCTGGTACAAAACTTTTATTTTTATGCTTAAATCCTCAAGTTTTGCTCCACTGGAACACACCCTCAGTAGGGACATTAAAACCAAAATATCATCAACAACAAATCAAAAGCACACAGGTCACTTCACATTTATCTACAGCACACGACGTAACATTCACTCGGAAAACAACGATAAAAGTCATGCAAAATTTTTATAAAATATGTACAAAGTCTTTTCAAATGACTATCAAGTTTATCAGTACAGGAGGCCAGGAAAAAAATCATGCATCGCTTCTGGCCGACCCTAGTTATAAAATTACAAGGGATCTTCTTAATGTTAGTAGTTCTTCTGCTTTTTCTTCTTTTTGTCGGGGGCAGCAACACTGGGCTCTGCAAAGGCTGCAGTTGGGTTTGCAGCACTTGATGGTTCTGCGTCGTGTATTGTTTTGCAGACGACCGACTGGGTCTGCACCAGTCCGAGTAGCAGAATTAGATGGCTGATGTGGAGAGCGCCAGAGCTCCAATCCGTTGAGGGATACACATTCCAGCACATCTCGATTATGCCCATTATTGCCAATCTGTTGAAAATTTGATAAAATTTATTTGATATATTTTGAAGAATGAGTAATGTCATGGAAAAAGATTGAATTAGTTTGTAAAGAGAGATTTTAATCCTTTAAAAAGTTAATAAATCATTTCCTTTAAAATGCTGTTGATTTTTACCTGGTCCACATTGAGTAGGGAGTGCACCAGAGCAGGTAGGGTAGAGTGTGGTAGTACCAGATGTAGAATTGGTAGTGCAGAGACCTGGCGCAAACCATTCCAATAAAGTTGGCCGCAAACAGAGGGGCCAAAAACAGCTGCGAAGAGCTGCTAGTGTTGAGCATGGCCTTCTCTTTTTTCTTCAACTGAGCCTTCACTTGAGTCTCCAAGCTGCTGAGTCGGGAGTAACTTTTGAAGTATCTGTTGAACAAAATTACGTCATTAGGAAAAATTACGAATTATTCAAAGTCAAGACTAACGTGTGCCAGGTCGGAGCAAAGTAGAGGAGCAGAACGATGTGGCACGCCAGCAGGGCCAAGTGGAAAGATCGGCTGACGAAAAGCTCCTCGGTGATGAATCGCCAATTGACCGTCCACTTGTACAGGAAAATTCTGCCCAAGTTGAAGGCGCCGAGAATGTAGCCAGTCGGATTTGTGAGCAAAAAGGGCGCAGCCAGAAGGGCCTAAACAAAAATATTAAAATTAATCCTATAAATTTATTTTCCCTTCATTTCTGTTCCTTCAGGTCAACATTTTCATTGCTTGATGAATTGTAAAAATTCTCTAAGTTCACATAAAGAGACAAATTACCTGAATAAGGCCACAAATGAAAAGTTGAAGGACTGTTTTCTTGAAGCCAAGAATGGCAATGTAGGCCAAAAGAAGTGCTGGTGCGAACAACAGAATGTTCATTTTGACGGAGACAGCCAAACTGAAAAATATTGTTATTAATTTCACCTCCCTTAGTTAGTAATTTTTCAATTAACCTAAAGAAAATAGATCCAAAGGTCCACATGTCGTCGAGGAAGAGGTTGAGAGAGGCGTAGAGAAGGAGCATAGCAACGGGGTCGTTAAAGAGTCGCAGTGAAAATATCGAATGAACTCGATAGGACGTCAGACAAACAAACACCATGATGAACGGAGGAACCTGAATAAAATGACATTTTAAAAAATTATTCATAATTCAACGCAAAATAAATTAAAACCTTTCTACTTCGTCCATATATTCGAAATACGAGCAACAGGTTAATAATGTAAAGGCCAGCAAAAATGTACTGGGCTAGTCTGATGTTGGTTCCAAAGTCCGTGATGTAGTAGAGACCCATGAAGATGTAGACAAAGCCTGCGGGATAGACAAGCGGTCCAGTGTCCCCCTTGAGCTGCGTGTAATCGAAGGTGCCATTCACCACTCCCTCCACCTCTTGCATGTACGCTTTCCAGTCAATTTCCGTGTCTGAAATTCAATTTTTTGATTAATCAAAAGATTTGCGGAAGCCGGCTGTGCTTTTACATGGTACACGTTGGATGATGAGATAGTTGATGAAAATCTCAAGCAGCACGAAAAGCGGCGCCGTGACGTATAACTGGCGAGGGTCGAACACCAGCGAGAGCAGGTATTGCTTGGAAAAATACTTTTCTAACAACTTGAAGCTGAATTTCTGTTGTTTCGGGCCACGGCTCTGTGGCCCACGTCTGTTTGGCGGAGCCATTTCTCTCAAGTCCGCATTAAATAAAATGCAAAAAGATCCCCTGCAAGAATGCGGCGCTCCGGAGCGCAGCGCAGCTGCTGCTGTTCCTGCGGAACGGCAACTTTATAAAGTTTAAAGTTTTAAAACAAAAATTAATGCTGAAATGATTTTGCTGGACAATTACCCTTGTTTATGAAGTCAAATTTTTGAAAAGCAAAATTTTACAATTTAGTCGCAATCGTTCTATAAAATAATTTGTAAAATCAGAAATCAGGAATTTTTGTAACTTAACCGACAGGTTGGCTAAACTTGCGGTTCTTGACAGCCAAAAAAGGGCGAGGACCTCGAGTTTATTTGCAGAAGACGGACAGCAGAATATTTGTCGCAGAATATAGTGTCGGAAACCCTGAGTCGGTGTCGCATCGAGTGGCCTGCTGGTTCCTGTCACAATTCGGTCTAGTCCGAGACCGCTAGAAGTGTGTTGTGGCGAATCGTGCCGATAAGCAGGGCGGAGGACGGATCGAGGAAGTGGCAGGAGCCGAGATAAGAAAAGAAGGCGTCTACGCTGATCTAAAGCATCTAGGGTTGGCATCATGGTAAATAATTTTCTAAATTTCTTGCAGTTCGCTTTGACAAAATTATAGATTTATTTATTTAAACGCGTGACTCATTTTTGCGCAGACGGAACAGCAGCTGGACTGCGCCCTCGACCTGATGCGGCGGCTGCCGCCTCAGCAGATTGAGAAGAACCTGAGCGACCTGATTGACCTGGTGCCAAGCCTGTGCGAAGATCTGCTGTCGTCGGTCGACCAGCCACTCAAAATCGCACAAGACCGCGAGTCAGGACGAGACTACCTGCTGTGCGACTACAACAGAGATGGTGACTCATACAGGTCCGTACCTACTCGCCCACAGTCTTGTGATCTCTTATAGAAACCCCATGCAGTGTTTAGTCATAATCATGAACATTAGATTCCAAGAATTTATTACAAAATAAGGATATTTTTAAAAATTTTAAAAATTCAAATTAATGCTTTGATAAAATTTTGTAATATAAAACCTATTTCGTATAAATTTTGTCTTTGTACCGGTCAAAGCAAAGAAAAAACAAATTAATTTAATTAATATTTTAATTGTATTTTACCTAATTTTTATTTATACCTCTGATGATTTTGTTACTTGGGATAATTTGAACATTTTGTTTCAATTTTAGATCGCCGTGGAGCAACACCTACGATCCACCTCTTGAAGATGGATCCATGCCCTCAGAGACCCTGAGGAAGCTTGAAATTGATGCCAATCATGCATTTGACCAGTATCGAGACATGTATTTTGAGGGCGGAGTGTCTTCCGTCTATTTGTGGGATTTGGACCACGGTTTTGCTGGTAATTTCTAATACATTTTTAAAGTCATTTGAAAACAAATTTTTTTTCAGGAGTGATTCTTATAAAGAAAGCTGGAGATGGATCCAAGAAAATTAAAGGGTGCTGGGACTCGATACACGTATTCGAAGTCCAGGAGAAGCCTGGAGGCCGTTCGGCGCACTACAAACTTACTTCCACTGCCATGCTCTGGTTGCAAACCAACAAACAAGGATCTGGCACAATGAATCTGGGGGGAAGTCTAACTCGTCAGGTACATCAGTTCAAAAATAATGAGACTGCATTTATTAAAGGAATTCATTTATTCAGGTTGCTCAAGATGCCACTGTGAGCGAAGCGTCGCCTCACATTGCCAACATAGGACGCATGGTCGAAGACATGGAGAACAAAATAAGAAATACCCTGAACGAAATTTACTTTGGCAAGACCAAGGACATTGTCAACGGCCTGCGCTCGGTTCAACCACTCTCGGAGCAGCGCCAGCAGAACGCACTGCGCCAGGAACTAGCAGACGTTATCAAATCGCGCCAAGTCAAAGGAGAGTAACTAACCGGTTAATCCTCATGTTTACTTCAAAAATTGCATAAAGTTGTTTTCATTTTTAATTTGTCCTCCGCTTGGCCTTTTCGAATTGTACATGGCAATATTGGATGCACTGACTGACGACAACTTCCTTGTTACGTTAATACGAAAGAAAGAATACACGCCCTCCTTTTTGTACGGTTTGATAAATTTCAAGTTTAGAATAAGCTGACCATTCGTTAAAAAAATCTTGAAATTTTTAAATCTGATGTTGCCTTCGTTGACCTCTCTCTTCGAGCGCATGTACAGCTGGTTCATTGGTGGTGGTAATCAAAACAGTATTGTGCAAAACCTTTCCATGCCTTCAGTTAGGAGTGCGTTAATCCACTATTGTTTACGTTTGTAAGTTGATAATTATACTTTATAAAAATCTGGCGAGGATGTAATGTTACAGCCAACGACAGTGTAACACTCTGTTCCAGAGCTAACAATAAAGATGAATTTTTATTACCAAACCTTTCCATTTAATTCATCAATGACAACAATCTAAATGGTTTTAAATAATAAAAAGTTATTTTAAATAAATCATATTTTTTTATTACTCTTACTGACGCGTTCAATTCCATGATTAATTTATGTATTGGGAATGATCACAAAAGACGCACTTTGAATTGAAAACACTTAATGAACTACTTTTGCGCACAAGTCCTTTAACTACCACCTATCATCTCGTCTCCTTGGTCTCCTCGAACCAAAATCATCGTCATCATCAAAGCTAATTGAGGGTCGTCGATAGCCTTGCTGCCTCTGCCCCCTGTCGTAGGAGTTGGATCTTGAGACTATAAAAAACAAAAACAATAGTTATGATTCAAATTTCACAAGTTTTTCAATTGAAATTACAACTTGTTCTGCGGTTTGGGCCACCTCTGTATCCACCTTGAGCGCTAGCCATCTGCATCAATTGAGGGTTAACTTCTTGCTTCGCCTCTTGCAAAATGGAAACCAGGTCTTTAGCATGCCTAGCATCGTCAGGGGTGAAGAGGCAGTACGAAGTACCCTTCCGGTTGCAACGACCAGTGCGTCCAATACGATGAATGTAATCTTCGGTGCAGTTAGGGAAGTCGTAGTTAATAACAAATGAGACGTCACTTACATCTGAAACATTGTTTTTCTGTTAATACATACATGTTCTTAATTATTTCCAATCTTTACCAAGGCCTCTGGCTGCAACATCTGTGGCAATCAGGATAGGGTCGTGTCCGGAGCGAAAGCTTCGCAGAACAGAGTCTCGCTGAGACTGTGACTTGTCTCCATGGATGGCACAAGCTCCGAAACTACAATTTATTTCATTTATAATAATATATATGCATTGCAATTCTAGCTTTACCCTGTCCTTTGCAGCTGTCTCGTAAGTTTGTCCACAGTTCGTTTGGTTTGGGCAAAAATAATGCTTTTGTTTTCCTCCTGTTGTCCAATTTCCTCCAGAATCTTTTGCAATCTAAAATGTTTTATTAAAATTTCCAATTTCCAAAATATTATATTTTATTACTTTTCATCCTTCTCATGCTCTTCAACAATATTGATTATTTGCTTGATGTTGTGATTGGCAGCCAGTTCTAGAGAGCCGATGTTGATCTGAATGAAGTCACTCAAAAAATCCCCAGCCAACTCTCTTATTTCTTTTGGCCAGGTTGCGGACCACATAAGAGTTTGACGATCAGGCTGATTTCAACTATTAATTTTTTTCTCTGGAACGTAGACTTACAGAACTTACCCTGACTTGACCTAGAATTTTTCTAATTTGGGGCTCAAAGCCCATGTCCAGCATACGGTCCGCTTCATCCAACACCAAGTAAGTGCACCGCCTAAGATTTGTTTCTTCGCTTTCCAAGAAGTCGATGAGACGCCCAGGAGTTGCGATCAAAATGTCAACTCCGTTGTTGAGTATTCTCCCCTGATATTTTACAATTTTTACTAATTCTTGTGTGAAGTGATCAATTTTACCTGGCTTCCCCTTGCAGCACCACCAAAAACGGCTGTCGACCTTAATCGCGGTGCGAATTCCTTGCACACTTGCAGGATTTGCTGTGCCAGTTCTCTGGTTGGTGCAAGAACAAGGGCAATAGGACCTTCGCCTATCTTCCTCCGAGACTGATTAGCGATGTGAACCATGGCTGGCAGTATGTACGCAAGGGTTTTTCCAGAGCCAGTTTGGGCAATTCCAACCATGTCTCGTCCGCTCAAAGCAATTGGCCAGCCTTGGCACTGTATTTGTGTGGGCTCTTCATACCCTTGGTTCCTGAGGACAAATCACATTTTAAGGGTACTAATCTAAAAAGATCTTAAACATTTCTTACGATAACAATTGCAATATCGTTTCATCAATATTTAGATCTGAAAAGGCCTGGATGGGATTTGGTACGTTTCGCCCTTTTACGGTTATTTCTTTCATAGACCTAAACTTAGAAACTTCTTCTGGTGACCTGCAAAATAAAATTACAAGTCATTTCGAATAAATATAATATTAGCAAATTTTTAACCTGTTTTTTACAGCATCTGATTCAGTGTAAAAATCCTTTTTGCAGTCCTCCATTTGCTCGTCGTTCCATTCAATTTTTCGCAATCCACCTCCAAGATTGGATGAAAATCTGTCCCTGAAGTCATCGCGCCCAAAGGACGAGGAGCTTCGCCCCGAATCGAATTTACGGAAGTTGTTTTGTCGCGCAGGACCTCTTCTCTCTTGAAAATCCTCATCGTCGTCATTTCTGGATCGAGCACGACCCCAGCTTCTGAATATGTCATGGGTACGTTATTTCAAAGGATTTTCTCTGCAAAATTTTAACATACAATTTTGAGTGGTCTTTAGACTCATCATCTGCATTCGGTGCTGTTGAAAACAGGGTCCTGCTAACTGAATGAGTTGAAGTTGAGGATGATGTAACTCTTGACCTTGCGATGCCCAAAACGCGGTTGCAAATCAGTCTTACCGACATCTCTACCTGCGGAAAAGAAAATTATGAATGATGTTAAAAATAATTTTGATCAAAAAAACCATCAATAAATACCAAACTGGCGATTAATAAAAATTTCCTTGCGGAAATAATTTAATCTCTAAATAATGGACATAAAGAAACTACGAGAGAAACAATCCATGCGGTCCGCTGAAGAGATGGAATTTTAACACCCGCGCTACCTACCGGGCAGCTAGCAAAATTAAATTAAATGATCAAAGTGCGCACGCGCATCAGACCTATTTTGAGAGAGGCAAATTTAAATATCAAAACAAGGCCACCCCTCTGGCACAGGACTGCAGCGGAAAAATTATGTAATATTTTTTTCCTCATTATCTCCTCTTTTGCTGCCTTCGATAAAACATTGATCTCATCATTTGGTTATTTAGATCGTACGAATAGAGTGAATTCATTTGTATCCAACGAGCATGAAGCTGTGTTGACCCCTTTGGAGGCCTGCATTGAAGTGTCATCACAACGAGGAGTTGGTGCAATCAACTTTTGTTATGAGAGAGACTGCTGATTGTAAATAATTATAATCCAACACCATGAAGAGGTCATTCGCATTGAAAAACTGCGCCCGCCACATAAATTTGAGGTCACTGTCAACCAGTGTTCCTAGACACGGGCCTCAGGTGTGCGTCATCGGCTCAGGGCCTGCAGGATTCTACGTTACTCAACACATTATTAAGGTAACAGAAAATTTTAGGAGAACAGCCAGATTATTAAATAATATATTATAAATCATTTTAGACCTTGCCTGATGCCAAGGTTGACATTTATGAAAAATTGCCTGTCCCGTTTGGTCTTGTGCGATTTGGAGTGGCTCCGGATCACCCTGAAGTGAAAAATGTCATCAATAGTTTTACAAAAACTGCTCAAAATCCCAGAGTTCGCTTTGTGGGAAATGTCTCTCTTGGCAAGGATATGTCTTTAAAAGACCTGCAAGAACTTTACCATGCTGTGGTTTTGGTAGGTATTACAATTTTCCTATGGTTTTCAATTTCATTTATAAAATCCACATTTAAATATAACTAATTTGGTTATGAATTATTAGACATACGGCGCTGCACAAGATAAAACATTTGGCATTCCTGGTGAAGACCTGGAAAACATTTTATCTGCACGCCGTTTTGTTGGATGGTACAATGGACAGCCTGGAGATGAAAAACTTAATCCTGATTTAAGTGTTGACACTGTGGCTGTTCTCGGCCAAGGAAATGTTGCTCTTGATGTGGCCAGAGTGTTGCTTGCTCCCATCGACCAACTTAAGGTAGCAACTGGATTTAAAATTGAAATTTTCATCTCATAAAAATATTATTTTCATAGTCTTTTGACATAACCCAGCACGCTCTAGAAGCTCTTTCGGAGAGTCGAGTTAAGCGAGTCTTACTTATTGGCAGGAGAGGACCCCTGCAAGCAGCATTCACCATCAAAGAAGCCCGAGAAATGGTGAAATTGGAAAACTGTAAAACAGTATTCCGGTTGGAGGATTTTAAAGGGGTCAAAGAATTTATGCCAAGTAATTTAATTTTTGTCGAACTTGTCATAGTGAGAATATTACATTGCAATTCTAGATGTGTCTCGACCTCGAAAAAGACTGATAGAGTTGCTCACTCAGACTGCAATGGAGCCAAAACTAGAATTGGTCGAGGCATGGAAGAAGGCAGAGAGGAGCTTTGAGCCAATTTTTTACCGCAACCCTGTCGCCTTCCTTCCGAGTGTTTCAACGCCTGGAAAAGTGGGTGCAGTAAAACTGGCTGTTACCAAACTGAATGGAGAAATGAGCGAGACTCAGTCTGTGATAAACACCAATGAATTTGAAGAACTTAAGTGTGGTCTGGCATTGAGGAGCATTGGCTACAAAGCGTTCGCAGCCGACCCAGATATCCCGTTTGATCCGAAGCAGGGAATTATCAAGAATTCCCAAGGCAGGGTGGAGGGTCTCCCAGGTAAAGATGAGATTTATTTTACAAGAGAATGGATTTATTTTATAATTTTTTAAGGAGTCTACTGTGGAGGCTGGGTTGGCACTGGTCCCGTTGGCGTTATTGTCAACACCATGGGAAATGCTTTTGAGCTCGGTAGGGTGATTGAAGGAGACATCAAGGATGGGACGCTTAATTCTAACATCAGAAAGCCTGGGTTTGAGGAAGCTGCAAAAATTTTAGACAATAAAGGTATAATTCTTCTATCACGCTCTATTTTGCAAATTTAATTTATGTGTTGTAATAATTCAGGGGTGCAAGTTGTATCCTTCAAGGATTGGGAGAAGATTGATTCCGAAGAGCAAAACAGAGGTAAGCCTAGTGGGAAACCAAGGGAGAAAATAACAAAGGTTTCTGAAATGTTAAACATTGCCGGGAATTAAACAAATCAGGTTGTTTTCTTGACACTTTTTTTTATTTTGTTTAAATATATTATGCTGTTATAATAAAAGTTTTATTTAAGCTTCAGCTGTAGAGGTTTCCATTCATTGTGTATTTTGATTCACATAATACAGAGGCATATTAAATAAGTTACACTTTACATTTATGCGCAATTCAAACTGATGCATAAAAGGAATGCGGTTTTTACAGTCTTTTAGTACTTAAAGTTAATAAACAGTGTTAAAGATCAAATGACAATCTGAGGTGTGACTATAAAAGAGATTGCTCAAGCAAGATTCTTTCGAAACCAGGGGGTGGAGGGTAACTAAAGTGTTCACTAACAAAGTCCATGATCGCCCCCTCATCAACTGCAAATAACCTAGATTAGCAAGTTTTATCTCAATAAGAGAATTATCCATACCAAATAAAACCGCATAAACTGTTCCCCGAATGCCACTCATAGGAATGTTGAGATTTTTGCCGTTGCAGTAGAAGTTAAGTTCAATGTGGTCGTAGGAAACTCCCTGTCAATAACAACCAAGCTTAATAGAATTTGCTCATAAGTCATCACTTCATTAATCTTACAATGGTGTCGCCTTCTTGAGGAATGTCCGCCAGTTTGTGAATGTCCTGCCCATCGTGTCTAACAACCCCGTCCGAGCAAAGGACCCAAGATTCCTTATCACTTCCACCTGGGGCAGACGAGAGCTGTGACAGTTCCGTGGCGACCCCCACACTCCATATTCCTACACATATTTTTATTTGAGATTGGCTTGCACAAATAAAAATTAATTAGTTTTACCTGACTGTTGCACCTTGGCTTCAAAATAAGACTTGTTCTGCACCAAAGGAGCGCTAGCCAGTGCGCCACCACCACCGCAAATCCTTGTACCATTTTTAACAATGACTACCTCATGTCCTGGGGAGTTTTAAATTTAAATATTTCTCTATTTTTAAGGACCTTAAATTTACCGATGTGATTCGTATCCAAGACTACAGGATGGTTGACTTCAACTCTTTCGTCTCCGGAAAACGAAGCAAATCCATCCATGACGTTGCGACAGAAGCAGCACAAGTAAGCCATTGTGCCTGATTATATTATCTAAAAGAATAAATTTTACTATCGTAGAAATTAATTTGGCCTATTATATGTCATTATAAAAAGTTAAAATTGATAATAATTTATTGAATATGCAGGAGTGTACCTTTTTATCTTTTAATCAAGTTGAATTTTACCTCGCACTTTGCGAGTGCTTTTGTGACACGCAGAGATGTTTTAATCAGATTTAAAGTCCATCTGGTGATTTAGAGAAAGGCGAGAGAGCGTTTAATCCTTTAAGAGGCATTTAGTCAGGCCCCCGAGATCGGATTATACATTTAATGTATTTATTTTGCTTTCTCTGCAGAGTTGTCTTGTGAGGTCAACAACACCTTCTTCAACTTGCCAGCTGGTAAAATTCAAGAAACGTTTTACTTGGAAGTCGATTTAAAATTAAAATACCAATGTAAAAAAGCGTAAAAATCCTGTATTTGACTAAAAAATCTTAAAAAAAAATTAGTTATTTCGATTTTATTTGTTTAATTTTGAATTTACTGTAACAATTTGGCAAAAATAAAATTAAAACAAATGTATTTCTTAATTCTTTCTTTAACACCCCACTTTGATTGGTACCATCCTGGGCCACTTGTGGCGCATGTGATGAAAATTACAGACAGACAGTCGTCAGCCAATCAGCGCTCACCTGTCAACCCGGCCATTTGCCCATCGCCGTGGAAAACATTGATCCTCGTAAAAATCCATGTAAAAAGGGGTGAAATACTTCAAAAAATCTCACCTCCTTTGGTACGCTTCTTTGTTCTAATCATCCTCCGTCGTTTGAGTTCAAAACATTCTTCGTATCCTCTAAAAAAGAGGAGTAATTGGAGTTTGAATTTCAGCACCATAATCGGCCTTCACGGCAGGCAGGCAGACCGCAGACGGCACCTGAAACAACCTTTGCTTAGCAACAACCAGTGCCGGCTTAAATCCGCGTACCTGCATCATGTAAGCCCCAAAATTTATTGACCGGCGAACTTAATCGCTGCAATTACTCGAACCAATTTGCTGAACTTGACCAAATTTTGGTCATTATTTCCATCAAAAAATTTCCGCCATTTTGTGCATTTTGTTAATTTGTGAGGATCCTCTTTCTGCATTGCAAACATTCACATCCACATTTCTGAGATTAGTGAGATTCGTCAAAATGCGTAGGAATGCACAACCTTATACACTGACCTGCATAAAGAATCTGCCACTCTATAAAAAAGCTAATGATACAATATCTACGTCGGAAATTGATTTTAAAATTTACTTGTGTATTATTTCTTTCATGAGCATCTTGCTTATAAATTTCTATCAAACCGTGTAAAAAATAAAAACAAAAGAATAAAAGATCGACGAATTTTTTCTCCGCAGGTATCCAGGAGGCCGAGGAGGTGCGGGCCGTGTGTGGGAACCACGCCACGAATATGTTCCAAGGGGTGGCGGCGGTTTCCACCCTCAGTTCCATCACCAACAACACCACGGGGGTCATACTTTCAATGGTAATGGGAATGGCTCGGGTGCAGGCATGCAACACCTGCAAGCCCTCAAGGTGGGCGAGGGCATCCACCACACAAAGACCTTCAAACCCCAGCAAAACAACATTATGAATAACAACAACATGAGCAAAGCAGGCGAGAAACTGAAGAAGCCTGTCTGGGACGCTAAAGACTTGCCACCCTTTCCTAAAGATTTCTTCACCCCTCCGCAACCTGTATTAGATAGGTAATTTTCCTATTTTCTTCTTCTTGATATCTAATCAATTTCCATCGCCGCACTCGATTTTTCTGCTCATGGTAAAAGCAGTTGCTGCGATCTCCCCTAAATTATACAACTTGCCCTTTGCGGACAGTTTGTTAACGACAAAGCATTTGAATGTTACAGATCAGTTGAAGAGGTCAACACCTTCAGAGCTAACAAACAAATCACTGTGCGGGGCAGCGAAGTGCCCAACCCAACTCAGGACTTTGAAGAAGCAGGCTTCCCCGAGTACATTTACCGCGAAATTATGCGACAAGGATTTGACGAGCCAACTTCAATTCAGTCGCAAGGATGGTCAATTGCTCTCAGCGGCCGTGACATGGTCGGCATTGCGCAGACTGGCTCCGGAAAAACTCTTGCTGTAAGCATTTGAAGACGTTTTTATGATCCTAATCTATATTTTTCAAACATTTCCTTAGTACATTTTGCCAGCGGCCGTTCACATCAACCATCAGGCTCGACTTCAGCGTGGTGAGGGCCCTATTGTATTAGTCTTGGCGCCTACTAGAGAGTTGGCGCAGCAGATCCAGCAAGTGGCCTCCGACTTTGGGTCACCGTCCAGCATCCGCAACACCTGCATCTTCGGCGGAGCTCCCAAGGGTCCTCAGGCCCGCGACTTGGAACGTGGCGTTGAGATTGTCATTGCCACCCCTGGCAGACTCATTGACTTCCTTGAGAGGGGAACAACAAATTTGCGCCGTTGTACTTACTTAGTGTTGGACGAGGCTGACCGCATGTTGGACATGGGCTTTGAACCCCAAATCAGAAAGATCGTTGATCAGATCAGGGTGAGTTTAGGGACGCCATTTATTTGAAATAAAATAGATCCTTCGTTAATAAGCAGTGTAAAGCTATGCATTGTCCGCCAAAAAGTAATGATAACTATGTAAATTTCATTTTTGGGCCCCCTTGTTTAATAATTTCCTGCTTTTAGCCTGACCGTCAAACTTTGATGTGGTCGGCAACTTGGCCGAAAGAAGTTCAGGCTCTTGCTGAAGATTTCCTTAAGAACTACATCCATCTAAACATCGGATCTCTGTCACCAGCTGCTAATCACAACATTCGTCAGATTGTTGATGTCTGCCAAGAGCACGAAAAACCATCAAAGTAAATTTTACAAGTAGGTTTTGACAGTTTCAATCAATGTTTTATGTTAGGTTGTCTGCTTTGTTGAGAGAAATCTGCTCGGAGAGAGAAAGCAAGTGCATCATTTTTGTAGAGACGAAGAAGAAAGTTGATGACATCACAAGAGCCATTAGGCGTGAAGGGTAAGCATTAAAAGATAAAACACGGTAATTTTTAAACAGTTGCAAATTTGCATATTAACAGTTGGCCAGCAATCGCCATTCACGGGGATAAATCCCAGCCAGAACGAGATCATGTTCTGACAGAATTCCGTAATGGAAAGTCCTCGATTTTGGTTGCCACGGATGTTGCTGCCAGAGGCCTTGGTAAAATCTATTAAAATTAACATAATGCAATAATTGTAACCTATACCTTTGTACTTTAGATGTTGAGGATGTCAAGTTTGTCATCAACTTTGACTATCCCAATTCGTCAGAAGATTACATTCATCGCATCGGCCGCACAGGACGGTCCCAGAGGTCAGGCACGGCTTATGCCTTCTTCACTGCCAACAATGCCCGGCAGGCCAGAGATTTGCTGTCTGTCTTGCGTGAGGCCAACCAAGTTATCAACCCTCAACTTGCGGAAATGGCTGCCCAACAAAGGAACAACTTCAGCAGCAGAGGTCAGTTAACTACTCGAATTTGTAAAAAAAAAATCAATGTTTAAGCCAGCCAATTAATCTAATTAATTTGTCTTCAGGCCGTGGCAGATACAGCAACTCTCAAAACGGAGGCATCAACCGCTCGCAGAACACTTACACGCAGAGCAGCAGCACTCCTCAGGCCGTGACCAACGGCGCCCCCCGCTTCAACATGGGCCGTGGCCGTGGTGGCTTTGCCAATGGCATGCAGCAGGGAGGCAGACCCCCATATGTGAATGGAGGTGCTGGCTTCCACCACCCTCACCAGCAGGCTCAGGCTGCACAGCCGTCGGCCCATTATGTGCAGCAGCAGGCACCCCATCCAGGTCACTGGAGCGGCGCAGCCCAACAGCAGGCTGCCCAGCGCGCCCACCAACAGCAACAGGCTCAGTTTTACGGCAGCCTGCCGCAGCACACGGAGCTGCAGGCGCTGCTCAACAGCAAATTCTTCCAGTGCACTCCGCCGCCCTGCGGAGGCAACCAACAGCAACAGCAAACCTACTTCCAGCCGTATGTGTACGGCTACGGGCAAACGGCCGCCGTCCAGCAGTAGACAGGTGGACCATAATTGATTTCCCACTTGGTTGCATGCACAGGAGGCATCTTAATTTACAGCTTATAGACCCTTTAAACCACAATGGTTGGAAATGTGGATGTTGATTTAAAATTGGCCTTTCTCTTGTGGGGCTAGTCCAACAATTCCAGGGTAAATGTTCTGATGAAACGGCTGCATTGCGAATGTTCAATATTTCTCACCTTTTTTAATTCATGGTGGTCTTCCCTCATCCTCTAATTCTTGATTCCATATTAATGATATGGGGGGAGGTTGCAATGAATTAAAAATCGGTAGGAAGTTTTAAATATTTGCAAATCAGTCTGATTTTTATCCAAAAATGTTTAACTTGAAATTATTGGAATACTCTTGTCAGTGGCAAGCCAGTTTTAAATCAAATTCCACATTTCTTAGCCAAGGTTTGAATGTGTTTCAAGTTTGAATTTTTTCTACAGGGTTTTTCGTTTGAAACGAGACAGTCGTCGCAGTACTAATCGATTTCGGCCTCCAGTATATTCCTTAGAGAGACCGAAACGTTAAAATCAATGATTCATTTGACCTCTGTGCTTGTAACTGTTACTTTAAATTGCTTATTATTTTCATTTTTTTTCCTCCGTTTGATTGATTTAGAGTTAAGGAGTACGCGAAAGAAACGAATTTTTCGTGGTTATTTTCAAATATATTATAATATTCATGCGGTTTGGTAGGTGGATAATAACTAATTCATTTAATTACTATAAATATTAGTATTGTGCTTCGTAGGACTATGCATGATAAAAGTAGCACGCTTTACACAGTAGCGTTTCGAGCACCCTCCGTCGCCATGTCCTTAAACAGGCGGAGGGTGCATTTCACAAATAAAAGGGGACGAGAGACACGAACTTGACCAAAGTCCATTGACAATTGACTTGGGGCCGAGTAAAAAATTAAATGACGTCCCCTTTTTAGCAGTGCTATTAGGATGCTCATATTGAAAAAAAAACGAAAGAAAAAATTATGTCGTCAAATAATGATGTAACAATATTCACCTTGTATAATAATTAACTATGTCCTTTCGAGTTTTTCATTATTTTTTTTTGTCAAAGTTAGATTGAGACGATAAGTCATGACCACTCAATGTCACTCAATTACATATTTATTTCTTTGTCATTTTTACACGCTAAGGTTTTATATACACATAAGGCAAATCACATTTGTTGTCATCGGACATCTGCTATAATATGATTGAAAATGAAAAACACACACACACTGTTTGTTGTTCCTCTGTAATAATGTAATATGCCTAGGAAATTTTGCATTCTTCCCCAAGTGAAGAATTATTTAAGTTAAAGCTGAAAGCGACGATCTCTTTGCGCACGGGGCCATTTCCAGGGATGAAACATAAAAAAAAACGTGAAAAATAACCTTCCGCCCATTTGAAATCATGCAAGTGGATCCGCGCTGAGCTTAATGATATAAAAATATATTTCATGGTATCCTAAATAAGAATAATAACTCGAGATTTTGTACGAAATGCCAACTGAGATCGGGGGAATTTCCAAGTAGGTGGCTGAACACTGACAAACAAACAAACACACACGAGATGATGAACACGTCTAAACTAAACACACACAACTTTTGGGGGTAACTGCGATGATTTCTCTCACACCGGTACGAAAACAAATTCAGTTTTCACTTTTTTCAGAAAAAATGTAAAATAAAACACGCCGAACGCAGCAAGAAAGGTTAGACAAACACACAAACACACTGTGCAATGCATTTTGGTGTTCTTTGTTGAATTTTTCAAAGCGTGGAAAAGTAACTGTTAAAAAGTAAGAAACGAACATGAGGCCAACCACTGAAAGAATGTGTCGTAGGCGAACAGGCTTAATCTTGGGCTTGCAGCGACAATTAAAAACAAATTACCAGCGTACATTTATGAAGGAAAGTGTGAAATAATTTTTGCTCCGCGCCCTGAAACTAGTTGATATAAAAAGGAATACAATATACGAAATGCTGCCAAAAGTAAGAAGTACTCTCATCAGTGAAAAGCCTTGTTGATTATATTAATTATGTATTCAATCGCTGCGCACACTTTTTGATCTCCGCCGTATGTAATATTCAATGATAATTTTCTGTCTGTTGGGCGCCGAGCCGCAACAGGCTCACTTAAGCAAATGGCAAAAGCAAACCTGGTCGCATCCGATTTTGCAAAACCACGATGCAACTTGTTAAATACTAAAATAGTATTACGATAAAAGGAAACATTTTTACTGCCGCGATTCTGGCTCGTCATGTGAACTACTTTTTTATCGATTATTTTTGTTTGGAACAAAGTATAAAATATTATAATGAATCCATTTTTAAATGTGCAGGCTCCGAGACGGTGGTAATTGATATAAAAAAACCCGAAACGCTCAACTAGCAGACGTGTGAGCCTGGTACAAGACATAAAAATCAAATTCATGAAAAGCAGCAGCGCGTTTTTAGCCTCTTCACGAATGGTTTTCTTAGCTGTGATACCTAATCAATGATCTGAGAGACTGGCTATCCGCTCCCGGCTGGCTCCGGGTCACACACTATGATAAAAAAAAATGCGATGTGTTTTGGTTTCATTCGCCACTATATGCTTCTTTTTGTTCAGAACTCTCCTTGTTTAAAGCAGGGTGTTGTTAGGGAAAATCAATCAAACGATCGATTACACTGACGAGAGCGAATAATTATTACGATGATAGGTTTTTCGAGCAAGGAATTTTTATGCGAAGCCTCTTCTTTATAATCAAAGAAAACAACTTGTGATATTAAGACATTCATTCATAAAGGGTACATCGAACTGTTTGATTGTAGTGATCGTTTATATAATTATTATTATTATTTTTTCTTACAAGTAACTCTTTTTAATTGATCGCGATTGTGTTGTTCCAGATTTACATAAGTTAGTAGTGTTCATATTTGTTTGTTAATCTGCACGCAGGAAATAATGCGAAGTCGTTTATTCCATTTATACTCCGTAGTTTTCCTCTATACTTAGGTCTGACTGCATTATTCAAACGTTCTGTCTTTCCTTCCCCACCTTGCAGATAAATTTAAATTTTCTCGAGACGAAAATCGTTCCTTTTTCGTCCAAATGAGTAGCTATAAATTATAACTTTGAGCAAAAATATAAAACTCCCGAGCACGCAGTGGACATTTGAAATATTTTCACACAAGACTGATATCAAAGCTTTAAACCAAGAGAACAACAACTTTGTCGTTAACATAACGAGAAAAGCATGCACGCACGCGGAATATAGTGCAATCGATAATTTAAAGAGTAAGCGGAATTGATGCAAATTACGGGAAAAAGAAGAAGAAGTGCTAACGACGAAACAGTTTGTGAAACCCTTAACAAAGAATGTTTATTTTATAATAACAAGTTGGTTCTGACTAAATTATTATGCGATTATTTATTTCCATACATATAAAAATAGATTATTAAAAGTAGGAGAAACATTGAAAGAAGAAGAAAAGGCGCGCCAATTTTATGTGTTGTTGTGTTTTCCTTGACGATAAAAATGATGATATAATAATTAAAAAGTGGAAATCGAGATGAGTCGCCAAGCGACTAGCCAGTGGAATTGCCCTCATGTTGCTAATCTTCATGCGAAAATCGTGAAATTGCATAGGCGAACTATTACTTTGTCCAATCTTATACGGTAAATTAATGATTTTTGTTTGATTAATTTCTTTAGAATGACGAAAAAGAGAGAGAAAAATAAATTCACTTAGGTAAATGATGTAAAATTGATGCTTGTTTTTCTGCTATGATTTGTATTTATCATTATCGAGAGTATAAAAAGAAATAAAAACGCCAGTACGAGATAGTGTAATTGATTAATTGCAGAAGTAATACTATTGTATTCAGTGAATGGAGAACCCTTGACACATTTCAAAGACTACTTAGTAAAAAAGCCTTGATGCCAACTCAATTGAAAGAAACAAATTATTCACAACATGTGTAAGTGTGTAAAAAAAGGTGAATATTTTTCAGCGCATAATGCAGTGAAATAAAATAATAATGAAAAAAATTGAGAACAGTTATGCCTTGACAGTACAAAAAGAGACACAAAATAATTTCACCTCCTGTCAAATGAAAAACGAAAATGTGATCAGTTTTTTGTTGATTGAAAAACGCGATTTTGTTGATAAAGGCGAACCAAGCCTGACTCTATTCTAATCTGTCTTGAATAAAAAAAAACGATATTCTCTAAAACAAAAATCTCGGAAATCGCGGCATTGAAATTGGGTACGAATTAATTACTTGGGGTAAAGTAGGGTTAAAGCGAGTGCATTGTACACAATCAATAATAACAAGCAGAGTTACAAAACAATAATTAAGCTGCGCTCCTATCTAGTCAGCTTAAGCAAACGAGATGTTGTGAAATAAGAGTTAAAATTTAAAAACCAACGGTACCATGACATTTTTTCCTTCTTGTTGCTAAATTATGTGTTAAAAAAGCGTTTGATTTCTCTATATTATTGTGAAGAAAAGTAAAAGAAAGTCCGAATCTCTTTCTTTCCTCTTGCTCCTATTTTTCGCCCACATTTTGTAGGTTCCGGACCTTCTTTCGGTTCGTGAGAACTGCTTAAATGAGGGGCTCAAGCTATAACTTAAAAAAAAGCCTTATGCCCAATTATAGAAAAGCGCAAAATTCGATTGCGTTTTTCTCTCCCTTGTCAGTTGCGACACAAAAGAATAGTCAAATTAAATGATTACACTTGCATTCCTTAGTCTTCTTGTTTAACAGAAAATAATATTGATTGTTTAATTCTATTTAATGTTTACGAAGAACAATGGCCAGGTGAAAAATGCTTACAGAATAATTACTGATAAATATACACGAAAAATTGAATTGCGTTTGTCTTTAATTAAACAAAGAGTGATCTATATCTTGAGTTCAGTATTTAAAGAAACATCAAAAAATGTGTAAAGTGGCATGACTAAAAAAATTCAAAAACCAAAAGTCTTCGAATTGAAGAAATTAAACACTGTGGAAAAAAATGAAGTCCTTTTATTCAAACTTTCTGTGTGGAATATGTTGTAAAAAAACAGTTCAAATAAAAAATGGTTACAATTTATCACCAAATAAATTTGATTGTTTTTTTCCTTTCAGCGTTTTTACAAACCTTGAAATTTTTTAACAACAATAATAGGCAAGTAATATCTTAATTTAATTACAATATTTTAGAAAATAAAAATTATATAAATAACTTTAATTAAGCTTAATATGTTGCATTTGAAAATGTTGACAAACGCGACACCACCGTTTTTTTCTAAGATTTCTAGGCTTTTTTTTAATTTCTAATAGTAACCAGCGATGATTCAGGAAGTGTGTGCTGCAGATTGAAGATGTAAATTTGCTAACTTTGATTTCGTTTCATTAATCAACGTGAAAGTCTCATGACGACTATTTATTATGCACCAAAATCAATTCGTTTTGAATGACGAAATGAAAAGTAAGTAAGTATAAAGTAGAATCTGCTTTGGAATTAAATTTGAAACGTTGAAATTAAATAAATAAGATGTAAGAATGCAGGATGGGCTCCAATTCTGTATGAGAACTTGACCATTCTATTCTATTTCAGTCTTACAGGATTGGAGCTTGCCTTCTGCAAAGCTCACAAAAGGGCAAAGGTCTGACCAAAGAAAGTCTGGAAAATGCACACAATTAATTTTTTGAAATATTTTATAATTTATGGGAATAAGAATGAAATGTTTCTGTTCAATCACACTTCAAATTCAAAGTTGGATAAGCGATATACAGCGGCCAGGGATTTCGTATAAATTTTTACTACTTAAATTTAATTTTTTATTGAATAAATGGTATAAATTAATAAAAGATCACCGCACTCTTGGCTGCTGTTGCGGGGATCAGCCTGCTATTTGGTGTAAAACGGAGTGGGGGTAGGTATATAAACCTGCATGCAGACATTGCAGACCACAGATCTTTGCCACTCACGCCGTCACCCTGTTAAGGCTGTGTAGAAGAACTTTGAGCAACAGCGAGAGCCGCGAGAGGTATGTATTAAATTTGTATCATTATTTATATTATAGTTGTTTCGGTTTTTTAAAACTTATTGTAATTATGTATAATTAAATTATAATTATAAAAACAAAAGAAACACATAACAAAGGTAAATCTTGATCCTCGATCTCAAAATAAATTCATCCGTATTAATATTTTTTTTCGTTTGAAATTCATTTGATGATCGGATTTAATTTAATAATAATTGCAGTAAAAAAACTTATTTGAAGACAAAAACCTCCACAGTGTTTACACAGGTGTACACTAATAAAAAGCGCAGGAATTTGATATTTTTATATTTTCCTATAGAGAAAGCGTGATTGTCTTACTCAGAGAAAAAATAAATTAAATGAAAATAATGTAGAAAAATTAACATCAAATCGTGTCCTTTATTAGGTGGTTGGATGTTATTAAAATTTTAGCAATGCAGAGCCTGCGAGCAGAACGTCGTGTGTAAAATGTTTTGAAGTATATTTTTATCTTCTGTACGATTCTGAACTACTTTCTCGTGCACCACCACCAGATTCTCTTCGTGGGTGGCGCGTGGCGCGGCTTGCGAAAGGCGCTTGCGGAATGTAGCACTTTTCGTGTCTTCGACACAAAACAGGTAGGCATTTTCTTGTTAGCAATATGCAAGGATAAAAATTCCGTAAATGGTTTTGATTTCGGTGGCTACTTTTTTTACAACGTTCATGTGTATAGGAATGCGAGTGCTGATGTCATCACCTGTCCTACTCTTTGTACTTTTGGTCTCGAGTGCTAGGCTCCGTCCATCATTTCATTTTACATTGATCGTTCAAAAATCTCGCCAACGAAATAATCTACCTGTGTATTTTCTTTATTTTTTTTTTATTTATAAAGCAGCTTTTAAATTTTGAATCATTTTATTGATGTCAAAATTTTTCTTAAATAATTATCTATGGATATACTTCTGTAAAATTATTTTTGTATATATACTGTTTCCGTTTACATTTTCCACATTTTCTCAATATCATAATTTTTATTTTTCACTAATTACAAAATTTTAGGTAATTGCCTAATATTTTAGAATTACATTTAATTCGTTCCCTATAATTCCTATGACCTTTATTAAGTTATATTTAATGCAAAACTCTAAATTAATTGCGAATAAAACGTCCACTCTCCTTCTCTCTGACTGGCTTTTGCCTCTTGCAGACAGGAATGATTTTTATTACATTTTTATTTTAATGAATTCAAATTACTGTAATACATTTATTTAGAAACTTTTTTAAGCTGATTTATTTTTGGTAACTAATTATGTAGCCAGGATGCGTTATTTATTGAAATTCTGTCCTTCAGGCTCATGATGCATATATGAACATGAAAATTTTACAAAAAAAAAATCATGCAGTGACAAAAATATTGAATGTTAAAAAGAAAACTATCATGTACGTGATATTTCCAGATGAAACAGTTGAAGGAACGCAGTTAGAAGGGAAAGACAACAGCAGCCAGAAGACTACAACACGGTTGTCTCTCGTCCGAAAAATCAGTGAAATCAATCTAGACGAAAGCAGCTTTACCTGCGTGGAACCCAATTCACCACCGAACGAGCAGCTTGTGAGCCGAAAGTTGAAAATGAAATTGTCGAAGCTAATGGTAAATTAAAATGATTTATTTGTGAATTGCCTAAATTAAAAGAAGATCTTGTCTGAAAATATTATTATGTTACAAAATTTAGTGAAATATTAATTGCCAGAGTAAAATATAAAATTATTAAAAAATAGCGTTTATTAAAAAAACATAAATTACTTAAAGCCACAAGAAATTATTAATCATAAAATCTTTCCTTTTATACAATTTAATCTATTTTTAAACTGAAATTTCATGATTCGATAACTAAATTAAAAAGTTGAATTATGCAAAAGCGTGCACTTACAATCAATAAGCGGCAGAATTTGGTGCCTTCAGCTCTAACATTCTCCATCTGATGTGAACAAAATTTATTTAAAAGATACGTATAATATCATTGTAAAAATAATGCGGAGTAAAATGTATGCATTCTTGTTGGGTAGCTGCCAACGTTCACCTGAGTAGAACCCGATTCAAGCAAACTTAGTGTGAGCCGAACAAAATTCCGCCCAGCGATTGATCGTGGGTGCCTTTCGTGTGTGCGCCGTGTGTTTGCTTGACTTTAAACTTTGCATACGCACACACCGGAATTCTCGAATTTGTCAAATGTTTTTCTCTGTAACGGAAAAAATTCCAATCGAATATAACAGAATATAACCTTGACAATTATTGCAAGCGAGAAGAATTTTTAACTTACGCACATAGAATTTGATATTCAATTTTGTGAGTGACATTGATTTATTTTATTATGGTTTTCTTCTTACTAATTCAAAGTTTAATTTGAAGGGGGTTATATTATAACTCTAATTCATCATCATAAAGTTGTTGATAAGTTAAATATTTAGTTTCTTTCAATTCCATGCTCTTTTTTAATTATTGATGCGCACAGCGGGAAGACGCATATTAAAGGGAATTTAATGAAATGGGCCCGGTGTGGTCCATTGAGGTCCCACCTTAAAATGCAATAGCCAGCGCAGATAATAATTAACACACACGTAGAGAGGACGATAAAGACAGCTGCATGTTCTGTTATTTTGTTTTATATGCCACTCGCCAATGGAATTGAATTTTAAATAAATTATTTGCACCCTTTTTTAACACTTAAAATTTGTTTGATTTTTTCAGGTTTCCTGGTCAAGGCCACAAGACCTTTTGCTGCTGTCGCCCCTGAAGAGCTGTCCTTTGAGGCTGGTGAAAAATGTATGTATATGAAAGGTTAAAATTTATCTTTCCTCTTAAAAGTTACAATTTAAATATTGCAGTGATGGTCTATGAGACACCAAACCCTCGATGGTGGAAAGCAGCATCTGCACAACACCCTACCACAGTTGGTCTTATACCCGCATCATTCGAAGAAATTGATTATCAAGTGAAAGAGGATTCCGTTTACAGCCGCCTGGATGAATCAATAATTGTTGTGGACGGTAAAATATTGTTTGCTAAAATTTTTTTAAAGTAAATTAAGATTTAAAATTTGTATTTTATAACAAGATAAAAATGCTTCAATCTCAATTTGCTCTTAGTTTACATTATCAATGTTTTTAATTCTAGCTCTGGATGTTTATAAGCATTTGAATCCTGCCATTCCCTGTGATATGATTGAAGAGAAGTTGTCCCTGCAGCATAATGAACATTCAAGTGAAACGCCAGCAAAAGGCGCAAGCGGCAATCAGCACCTTACCGCAGACGATACTGACATTGCGATACTGTAAGATTTTATTATATTTAAAGTACACTTTTCCAATTTAAAATTTTAATTACTACTTTTCTCTCTTAGATTCGCATCACCGAATATTATCCAACATATAAGGAGGACGTCATTATACAGAAGGAGCTGCTTGTCCTTGTTGGTGATGGTTTAGATGGAACTGAAAGGTATGTGAACAGCAAAACGTTTCATCTTGATTTATGAAAATTAATAAATTTCCATCCCCGATTGATTTTAATTTAGGAAAAATGATGTGAATGTGGGATACGCTGCTTCGAAAGGGCAGTTCATCAAAATCAGGGCTCTTTATGACTTCAAGGCCGAGGAAGAAGGGGAGCTATCATTGAGTAAAGGCCAGATTTGTAAGTATCATCATTTTTTGTTTGGTGCAAAATGATACATTTCCTAAATGACATATAATTTAATTGACAGTATTTGCAACTGGCTTGGACCATAAGAGTTGGTGGCAAGGCCACACAATGAATGGCAAATACGGCCTTTTTCCTTCTAATCTGTTCATGCAAATTGACGCCACGGCTGAATCAAGGGACGCTCCTTTCACAATGAGCACCAGCTGCCAAACCTCTTTCATATCGAAAGTAATAGGATCAAAGGTAATTTTTTTTTTATGGAAAATTCAAAATTTTTTAACTATATTATCATATGTTTTACACAGACGCATCTGGATATTGGAGTTTTTTTGGAGACGGGCCGTCTTCATTTGGCTATCAATGAAAGTTCCAAGAGCTCGTCGTCAATTTCCTCCGTGTATTATTTGGATGCCGAATGCTCTGCTCCTCACAGTTATCAGACAGAAGACGTCCAGGCTGCAGCAAGGGGAAGTGCTTGACCAATTGGACGTACACGCGTCCTGAGATACGGTAAAAATGAAATTAGAATAAAAAATTAAAATAAAAAAACTTTCAAATTTTAGAATTCCTGGTAAGTTATCTGGAAAGCGATGAAGGAGTTGAAAAGTTTGGTGAATGTCTAGCTCCCACTTTGGAAGACATTGAGCGCGAGGCCTCACAATTGTGCCACTCAGAGAGGCGAAACTGTGGCCTGGCCCTGAAGCTGTACGAAGCTGAACAAGCAAAGGCCAATAAGTTGGTAATTTTAGAACGTGAAGATATTTAAAGTGTTTACGTGGGAATTATTTTAGGAAAAAGAAGAAGTGTGCTAACGACGAAACAGTTTGTGAAACCGTTAACAAAGAATGTTTATTTTATAATAACCAGTGGGTTCTGACTTAATTATTATGCGATTGTTTGTTTCCATACATATAAAAATAGATTATTAAAAGTAGGAGAAACATTGAAAGAAGAAGAAAAGGTGCGCCAATTTTATGTGTTGTTGTGTTTTCCATGGCGATAAAAATGATGATATATTAATTAAAAAGTGGAAATCGAGATCAGTCGCCAAGCGACTAGCCAGTGGAATTGCCCTCATGTTGCTAATCTTCATGCGAAAATCGTGAAATTGCATAGGCGAACTATTACTTTGTCCAATCTTATACGGTAAATTAATGATTTTTGTTTGATTAATTTCTATAGAATGTCGAAAAAGAGAGAGAATAATAAATTCACTTAGATAAATGATGTAAATTTGATGCTTGTTTTTCTGCTATGATTTGTATTTATTATTATCGAGAGTATAAAAAGAAATAAAAACGCCAGTACGAGATAGTGTAATTGATTAATTGCACAAGTAATACTATTGTATTCAGTGAATGGAGAAACCTTGGCACATTTCAAAGACTACTTAGTAAAAAAGCCTTGATGCCAACTCAATTGAAAGAAACAAATTATTCACAACATGTGTAAGTGTGTAAAAAAAGGTGAATATTTTTCAGCGCATAATGCAGTGAAATAAAATAATAGTAAAAAAAATTGAGAACAGTTATGCCTTGATATTTTAGTTGAATGAGCAATTTTCATGGTGCTCCATATTTTAACTGTTGCACAAAAGTTCAAGTTTTCTTATAGATTTGCGTTAAGTAGTCTGAGAAGAGATTCTTAGAACTATTTTCAGCGCATAGATGTGGCGATGACACTTTTGGCAGGTTGTTTAGAAATTTAATAATATTAACGTCTATTATATGTGTTTTAGTCGAGGGAGCAATTTTCAAGGTGCTCCATATTTTATCAGTTGCACAAAACTTCAAGTATTCTTTTAGTTTCGCGTTAAGTAGGCCGAGAAGTGATTTTTAGAACTATTTTTAGCGCATAGATGTGGCGATGACACTTTTGGCAGGTTGTTTAGAAATTTAATAATATTAACGTCTATATGTGTTTTAGTCGAGTTAGCAATTTTCAAGGTGCTCCATATTTTAACAGTTGCACAAAACTTCAAGTATTCTTTTAGTTTTGCGTTAAGTATTCTGAGAAGAGATTCTTAGAACTATTTTCAGCGCATAGATGTGGCGATGACACTTTTGGCAGGTTGTTTAGAAATTTAATAATATTAATCTTTAATTTTCAATTATGCAAATTTTCTGAATTGATTCACAATGAATATGTTAATTTTAATTTTCTCCGAATTCTCAATGATCTGAAATTAAGATGTTTTGTAAAATTCTGATTATTTCTATTTGCAAATACCAAGCCAATGTTGGCCACATTAATTAACATTCGAACAACAAATTAATTTTTCTATCCAACCAAATTTCATTCCAACCAAACTCAAATAGTCAAACCAAATAAATAAAATGTATTTTTATTTCAATGGGATATTAATTTTTGTAAATATTTTTCAGTTCGGATTAAACCACAAAAAACAACTGACTTGTTTTTCTCCTCTTGAACAACCCTTTTCTGTGGCCTGGAAGCCACACACTCGAGATCGCTTTGGTGCTTCGATGCGTCGGCCACCGAGAATTCTACCCTCAAGGGTTCCTTTTCCAGAAAAGATTAAGAGAGCTCAAAAGGTTTGTAGTACATAAAATATTATAAATTTTTTGTTTAAATTTTCTGTGTACGAGCAATTCCTTTTTAATTCCATATCTTGAATTAAAAATAGGGTTAAATTTAATAAGGAATTGACAGAATTGCTACATATATCAAAATTTCAATTCTTAAAAGATCACACACACAAAAACGGACAAAACAAGGATCTTTCAATTATATGATAAAGTATAATAAATAATATAAAAGATCCTTAATTGGGACATAAGACAAAATCTAAATCAAATTGCGCCCCCAATAACAATTAAACAACACAATACGTTGCCCATGGTTCAGTCTCTGTCCGCACAGTTTTGCACTTCAAATGACGATCGCATTGCGCAGAACTGTCAAATATTTTCTCCAATCCCGCTAATTTTTTGCGAATGGCCGGCTGCCTCTTTTCGAGGTAAACAATTAAGAATTATCACTATATGATAACCAAAATCGCTTTGTTCTCGCTACCTAAACGTGTTTCAAACTTTCGTAAGTCAGTTAAAATTTTCATTTAGCTAAAAAAATTGTATTTTGCAGGCGAAATCAATTGATTTCTGTACTCCTCACTGGACCTCCTGCGGTCCCAAGGTTGAGAAATGAAGAGCTTGAAACACTATTTTTCCTCGCCGAATGCGGCCAGCAAAGAGCAAGTCGATTCGTCAAAGGAGCCTCTTCACGATGTCAGTGAAAATTCCAACTTGAAACCTGCTCCAGGATCGAAAATCAACACCACCAACAAATCCAAAAAGACGGATGATTCGAGTGAGAAGAGGAAAAAGGAACGGAAATCCATATCTGTACCGAAGGTTAAGAAGAGTAAAGAGTCTGAAGATGACGTGATTGAGTGCTCCGAAGAGAAGAAAGTGAATGGTGCCAAAGACGAGGAGGTCCAAGTCAACGGACACAAGCCACTTGCTGACAAAATAGACTCTCCGTCCACTCCTCAGGTGACACCAAAACCAAACGCTTTCCAAATGATTATGAGCCAAAAGAAACACGCCAACTCTGATTCTGAGAGTGAAAAGAAAAAGAAAGAACCCCGAAAAGAAGACAAGAAAAGGTCAGAAGCAAAAGTAAATCCGTCTTTAGAAAAGGAAGCAGTCGTTGACCTTCTCGAAGACGGAGATGGCAAAAAAAATGATGAATCTGTAGGGCCTCGGTCTCGTCGAAGAAGACAGGCAAAAGAAAAAACCAAGTCTTTTTTAGACTCCGATGAAGATGATGTGTTTGAATCAAAGGCAAAACCGTCCGGGAGAAGTAAAAAGTCTGAAAAAACTGGTTCGAAGGATGTGATAGAAGATGAAATCAAAGTGGTAGAAGCAGAGGATTCCGACGACGATATTTTCAAATCCGACAAGAAGAAACCGTCGAGGAAAAGAACGCGAGGGAGTGATGAAGAAGTAAAGCCTAAAGCTAACCTGCCTGCAGAGAAACCAAAGGAGAAAAAATTGAATAAAAAAAGTTCTCCTGAAGTTGAGCTGAAAAAGATGGAAGAAAATAAGAAGCCCAATGCACTTGAGAAACTCATGTCCACAAAAAAGCCAGAGGTTGACTCTGAGGAGGAGTTTTTTGTCTCAAAGAAAGGCAACAAACGTAAACGGGAGAGTGGTGACGAGACGCCTCTGTCCTCACCGCAGAAAACTGCACCCAAAGTTCAGAAAAAATCCTCCATTGCTGGCTACTTCACTCCCATATCTAGAGACGAAGCTTTGAAAAGGGCGGCAGAGGCCTTTGAAGCTCCCAAGGTGCAAACCGTCACAGCCGATGTCCACCCGGAACCACCCAACGCCCGGACCAGGCGGTCTATGGGTCCTGCTGGTCGGCAGGTCAGCTCCAAGAGTCCCAAAGAGGACGAAACCATCGAGGTCCTGGACGTGACTGAGGAAGCAACAATAAAGCAGGATTCGTTTGAAACGCCCAAGAAGAAAATGGGCACGATGAAGAAAAAGAGGCTCTGGGAGTTGCGGGTGCGGCTCCTCAGCCCTGCCAAAACTGTCAGTGAGGCTTCCAACAGTGGGTGGAGCAGCACGAGCTCCGAGTCAGGTGAATTATTATAATGAAATTTATTTTTTGTTAGTTGACAAAGGAATAAGTATAATGTGAGAAGCAAAGGAGTGATTTGCTTGAAAGTCGAGTCACCGTGTTGATTCCTTTTGTGCTCACTGTGATTGTAACACTTTGATCGCTGACCAAAACATTTATATAATTCATTTGTCCCTTCCATTATTTTAATTCCATTCAAGATTTTTTGTTTTCTTTCAGATTCTGAGGTTGAATTGATAAGTCCTGCTAAAAAGCAAATCAGCAGGTCCCTTGGATGGGGAGCAGGAGGAAGTAAGAGCCGTAGGAATGTTAATTTGATATAGCATTTAATTTTTTCCAATTCTCAGAGCTGGCTCCAATTTTCCTGTTGCGAAACCGCACTGCTGCTGCCGCTGTCAGTCCTCTAGTGCCCAGTTCAAAAAAAGCATTCCAAAATTCACCAATGCCACAAATTAGAGCTGCCCCCACAGAACACACTATTGGATTGTAAGTTTGAACTAATAAACCAAAATTTACACCATTTTCTCAATTGTTTTTGTTTATTGCAGTGCTGATGAAGATCCTGAAGCTCCAATTCAAACCCTCTTCCCACCGATCAGTCACATTTGCCACTTTGAGGAAAAGATAGAGCAGGACGAGGAGACCAAAAGACTTTTGAGCCTCTCGTCCTGTGAGGATAACAAGGAAAACTTTGAGCCGCCACCTTTCCACCTGGCACCAGTAGGAACAGCAAAGGCTTTTGTCAATTTCAAGCCCTTCGAAGGCAAGATTGACGGTGATGGCGAGTCTTGGTGTGAAAAGTACAAACCAAAGTTGGCTGACGCAGTGGCTGGAAATGAGCAGAGTGTCAACAGGCTTCGTTCCTGGCTGGAAAGGTGGACGGACAACAGCAGGTCTTCTGGTCTCAGAGTGGCTAATATTGAATCTGGTAGATTTTCCCTTAAAAATATTAAAATATCTTCAGCTCAATTTACCACTTTTCTATTTTAAGAATCAGAATCAGATAGTATGGACGACTTTATTGTGTCCGATGATGACGATGACTCAAATCAGGGGAAGAAGAAAAAGAAGAGGAAGAGGGCAGCAAACACTGTCTTGTTAGTTGGGCCAAGTGGATCGGGAAAAACGGCATCTGTTTATGCAATTGCAGAGGAATTGGGTTTCAAAGTATAATTTTATTCACAATTTTGAACCTTTCATTTATTTTAAGATGTTATAGGTTCTTGAAGTCAATGCATCTTCAAAGCGAAGTGGGAAGAAAATTCTATTGGAACTTCGAGAGGCAACTCAGTCGCACCAAGTTCAAAGTGGAGCAGTAGATCCAGATTCTATCCATTCCTTCTTTGGAAAAGGTTCTTAAAAATTAAGATGAACACAAAAAAAATTTTATTGAATAATATTTCTAGGCAGAAGCCAGAACACTGATTCGCAGCAGTCTTCACAAACTCTCTCTTTGATCCTAGTCGAAGATGTAAGTCTTTGCTAGTTACTAGGAAATTTAATTATTTTCTTTTATGTAGGTTGACATTGTATTTGAAGATCAAGATGAAGGTTTTATGGCTGCACTTAACTCCCTGGCAGAGAATTCTAAAAGGCCTTTAATTTTAATCAGCAATGATCCGAACTGTTCACTCGTCTTGACCAGACAGCATCGCATTCACTTCCAGTACGAGAGGGTGCCTGTCAGCAAGGGTGGTTAGTAAATTTAAAATACAATCTTTCCTCTCCCACTGATGAATGTTTCATTTATGCAGTTGACATTATTGAGGACATCTGTCAGATGGAGGGCGAAGAGACTGATCGGGACAACATGAAGCAACTTGTCGTGAGCAACAAAGGTGATCTGCGCTCATCTCTCCTTTCTGCTCAATTCCTTACCCTCTCAGGCGGCTTTCCCAAGAAGTTTACAAGTCAAATGAATTTTCCGCTCAATCTTGAGGAATTGGCTCTGCGACTTCAAACCAAACCATTCTCATTTAAAATGTAATTAATCAAGTTTTCATAATTTATTAATTGTTATTTTATTCATTTAATTATTATAACAGATTTGAGACTGAGTTAGATGACAGCAAAACTGCACAACACGTGGGGCAACAACTCGAATTCTGACAATATCATTTTGAAATCTTGTGAAAAAAACCGAAAGTCTCAAAAAGAAAGTTTGATGTGCCACCAAAGAAAATTCTGATGATGTGGAGGTTGAAAAGGTTGTAGTGACATTGGAAGAAATCAAATTGCTTTTGAAGCGCGCAGACTGTTTGACAAATTTAGATATCCTACAGGGTTTTGAATATTATCTTTAAATCTGGCTTTTTACTAATGCAGAGAAATTAATAAAGGGTCGATTTGGTGGCTAACTGAGGAATAATTTGCTGCCCGGATTGAGTGACCAATAAGCTATTGAGTTGCCTCCAGATTTAATCGGACCGCAAATCCGATGTGAACTAGCTCAATGGTGAATTTCTTCAGACAGGATATTTTGGGAACGGAACATTGGGAGTCGAACCAAAGGTAAATTACTGTTAAAATTCTTAAAATAAACTTAATTTAACTATGTTTAATTTGCAAGGTGGTTGACGACCCACTCCAGAATAGACAAAACTATGTCAGAAATGCTTCCAATCAACAACCAACTGGATCACCAAGGAGTGTCACTCGACTATCTACCTATTCTCCGGAAACTAGGCAAGTGCGAACAAACCTCATCCAGGTCTTCTCGGAGGAGCTCCATAAACTGTTTGCAGAGCATAGGAATGCAACCTGACCTGTTTGTCATAGAGGCGCTTCCTTTTGCACTTTCATGAGTGTATCAATATCATATCTTGAGCTGTGCCTGATTTATTTTAATAATTGTGGACAACTGGACAATTAACTTCTTTTAACAAGTAAAGATTTAATGATATTAACATTAAAAGATCCACTGGTTTACCTTAAAACTGAAAGTACAATTTTTTTGTCAAACTCAGTGAGTTAATGTTTTAATTAATATACATCTCTTCATTTACTAAGTAAAGTGGGGGAATCAACAATTATTTTAATATCTACAATTTGCCGGGGAAGCGGTCTTCAGCCACCTGAGTGTCCCACTTCTCAATCCAGGCGTTTGGGCTTATGCTCCTGTACACCTTTCTGAAGTACTAGCACGGGGCGTAGTCCTCACCTGGCCTTCACTCGCCTCTGCAACGGTGGAAGTCTACATAGCTTTGGTAGCAGCTTAAGAACTATCAAAACAAAAAAGACAATTTAATTATCGAAACTTGGCTTTAAACTTATACAAAATTATATTGCAATTGTTTCAAAATTCCACAGATTGGTTTTAAGAAAGAAAAAAGAATTTATATACTCTAATTTAATGTTAAAATATACATACATAGTGGTGGGTCGTGTGGGTATTTTCTATTAAAAAACGGTCGAAATGAGGGATTTTTGATCGAAAAACGAGAGAAAACTTTGGGCAAAGTATGTAGCAGCAGGCTTAGTTTCAAGATTAAATTTAAAATTAGGGCGCTTATAGACGCTTACCTAAAAATAAAAATAGTAAGTGAATACACCGCACAACGAAATTCAATCCAACTATTTATTGAGCTGCAGGAATGGGAGGAATGTTCAAGCGGTTAATGAGCAGAGTCTGTAGTTGATGTTTTGCTGAAATTCAATAATTTTGTTATTTCTTAAGAGGAAAATATTTTTTTAGCTTACGCATGTCAACTTCGGCGGCCAGGATGTTGAGCCTCACCGCTAATACGACCATGAATTTTCTCGGAACAGCGCCGAACCGGCGCTCCATCAAAGGTGCGTAAAGCGGATCTACTTCGTAGTCCCAATATTTCAATTGGTCTACGTTGTCACGTTTAGACCTAAGCATCAAAACAAATGCTTGCTCGGCTAAGGATTGGATGTTATTTAGGAGACCCCTGTTCGCTACAGAAAAAGAAATTCTTAAAAACAAATATATTAAACAAATATTTTATAAAACCTCCTCTAAAGGTAACTTGATTTACTGCACAGATTAATCCAATTTCTTCCCCAGAGGCAACCGCTCTCAACTCGTCGAAATCCCTCGTTGCCAATGCAGAAGTCGTTTCTCGGGACATCCCAAAAGGCACAAGAAATGTCCTCGTGAAGAAACCAAATGTGGATTGCAGCGCAGGATTCAGCGGAGGTAAACCAACGTTTTGCTGCTGAGGAGGGATCAGCATGTTCAGGTACCTGTTCGCGAGAGCGATGCCACCTCCAGCAAGCAAGCATTCTGCAGAGCTTATGATCAATGTGGCTGTGATTGCTCCTAGAATGGCCCATAGTGATTCCTCTTCGGAACCGGCCCAAAAAAGGTTTTTGAAACGAGACCAGAGCCATCCGGCGATGTCTTCTTGTGATCTACTGATGACCACCAAGGTCCCGATCCCGGCGAAGTACGAAAGAAGAAAAAAAAGTACGAAATTCATGACGATTTTTCCTAATATTCAAGTCCACAACAAATGATCGAAATTCACGACAATTCAGTCGCCAACCGCGCAGTTTCGCGCTTCAAATGACGATCGCGTTGCCGTAGCCGATGATTTTCCCCAATCCCGCCAATTTGTTGCGAATGGCCGGCTGCTGACTCGGAATTCTTCTTTTCGAGGTAAACAATTAAGAATTATCACTATATGATAACCAAAATCGCTTTGTTCTCGCTACCTAAACGTGTTTCAAACTTTCGTAAGTCAGTTAAAATTTTCATTTAGCTAAAAAAATTGTATTTTGCAGGCGAAATCAATTTATTTCTGTACTCCTCACTGGACCTCCTGCGGTCCCAAGGTTTTGAGAAATGAAGAGCTTGAAACACTATTTTTCCTCGCCGAATGCGGCCAGCAAAGAGCAAGTCGATTCGTCAAAGGAGCCTCTTCACGATGTCAGTGAAAATTCCAACTTGAAACCTGCTCCAGGATCGAAAATCAACACCACCAACAAATCCAAAAAGACGGATGATTCGAGTGAGAAGAGGAAAAAGGAACGGAAATCCATATCTGTACCGAAGGTTAAGAAGAGTAAAGAGTCTGAAGATGACGTGATTGAGTGCTCCGAAGAGAAGAAAGTGAATGGTGCCAAAGACGAGGAGGTCCAAGTCAACGGACACAAGCCACTTGCTGACAAAATAGACTCTCCGTCCACTCCTCAGGTGACACCAAAACCAAACGCTTTCCAAATGATTATGAGCCAAAAGAAGTACGCAAACTCTGATTCTGAGAGTGAAAGGAAAAAGAAAGAACCCCGAAAAAAAGACAAGAAAAGGTCAGAAGCAAAAGTAAATCCGTCTTTAGAAAAGGAAGCAGTCGTTGACCTTCTCGAAGACGGAGATGGCAAAAAAAATGATGAATCTGTAGGGCCTCGGTCTCGTCGAAGAAGACAGGCAAAAGAAAAAACCAAGTCTTTTTTAGACTCCGATGAAGATGATGTGTTTGAATCAAAGGCAAAACCGTCCGGGAGAAGTAAAAAGTCTGAAAAATCTGGTTCGAAGGATGTGATAGAAGATGAAATCAAAGTGGTAGAAGCAGAGGATTCCGACGACGATATTTTCAAATCCGACAAGAAGAAACCGTCGAGGAAAAGAACGCGAGGGAGTGATGAAGAAGTAAAGCCTAAAGCTAACCTGCCTGCAGAGAAACCAAAGGAGAAAAAATTGAATAAAAAAAGTTCTCCTGAAGTTGAGCTGAAAAAGATGGAAGAAAATAAGAAGCCCAATGCACTTGAGAAACTCATGTCCACAAAAAAGCCAGAGGTTGACTCTGAGGAGGAGTTTTTTGTCTCAAAGAAAGGCAACAAACGTAAACGGGAGAGTGGTGACGAGACGCCTCTGTCCTCACCGCAGAAAACTGCACCCAAAGTTCAGAAAAAATCCTCCATTGCTGGCTACTTCACTCCCATATCTAGAGACGAAGCTTTGAAAAGGGCGGCAGAGGCCTTTGAAGCTCCCAAGGTGCAAACCGTCACAGCCGATGTCCACCCGGAACCACCCAACGCCCGGACCAGGCGGTCTATGGGTCCTGCTGGTCGGCAGGTCAGCTCCAAGAGTCCCAAAGAGGACGAAACCATCGAGGTCCTGGACGTGACTGAGGAAGCAACAATAAAGCAGGATTCGTTTGAAACGCCCAAGAAGAAAATGGGCACGATGAAGAAAAAGAGGCTCTGGGAGTTGCGGGTGCGGCTCCTCAGTCCTGCCAAAACTGTCAGTGAGGCTTCCAACAGTGGGTGGAGCAGCACGAGCTCCGAGTCAGGTGAATTATTATAATGAAATTTATTTTTTGCTAGTTGACAAAGGAATGATTATAATGTGAGAAGCAAAGGAGTGATTTGCTTGAAAGTCGAGTTACCGTGTTGATTCCTTTTGTGCTCACTGTGACTGTAACACTTTGATCGCTGACCAAAACATTTATATAATTCATTTGTCCCTTCCATTATTTTAATTCCATTCAAGATTTTTTGTTTTCTTTCAGATTCTGAGGTTGAATTGATAAGGCCTGCTAAAAAGCAAATCAGCAAGTCACTTGGATTGGGAGCAGGAGGTAGTAAGAGCCAAAGTAAATATTAATTGGATATAATAGTATTGAATTTTTTACAATTTTCAGAGCTGGCTCCAATTTTCCTGTTGCGAAACCGCAATGTTGCTGCTGCTGTCAGTCCTCTAGTGCCCAGTTCAAAAAAAGCATTCCAAAATTCACCCATGCCACAAATTAGAGCTGCCCCCACAGAACACACTATTGGATTGTAAGTTTGAACTAATAAACCAAAATTTACACCATTTTCTCAATTGTTTTTGTTTATTGCAGTGCTGATGAAGATCCTGAAGCTCCAATTCAAACCCTCTTCCCACCGATAAGTCACATTGGCCACTTTGAGGAAAAGATAGAGCAGGAAGAGGAGACCAAAAGACTTTTGAGCCTCTCGTCCTGTGAGGATAACAAGGAAAACTTTGAGCCGCCACCTTTCCACCTGGCACCAGTAGGAACAGCAAAGGCTTTTGTCAATTTCAAGCCCTTCGAAGGCAAGATTGACGGTGATGGCGAGTCTTGGTGTGAAAAGTACAAACCAAAGTTGGCTGACGCAGTGGTTGGAAATGAGCAGAGTGTCAACAGGCTTCGTTCGTGGCTGGAAAGGTGGACGGACAACAGCAGGTCTTCTGGTCTCAGAGTGGCTAGTATTGAATCTGGTAGATTTTCCCTTAAAAATATTAAAATATCTTCAGCTCAATTTACCACTTTTCTATTTTAAGAATCGGAATCAGATAGTATGGACGACTTTATTGTGTCCGATGATGACGATGACTCAAATCAGGGGAAGAAGAAAAAGAAGAGGAAGAGGGCAGCAAACACTGTCTTGTTAGTTGGGCCAAGTGGATCGGGAAAAACGGCATCTGTTTATGCAATTGCAGAGGAATTGGGTTTCAAAGTATAATTTTATTCACAATTTTGAACCTTTCATTTATTTTAAGATGTTATAGGTTCTTGAAGTCAATGCATCTTCAAAGCGAAGTGGGAAGAAAATTCTATTGGAACTTCGAGAGGCAACTCAGTCGCACCAAGTTCGAAGTGGAGCAGTAGATCCAGATTCTATCCATTCCTTCTTTGGAAAAGGTTCTTAAAAATTAAGATGAACACAAAAAAAATTTTATTGAATAATATTTCTAGGCAGAAGCCAGAACACTGATTCGCAGCAGTCTTCACAAACTCTCTCTTTGATCCTAGTCGAAGATGTAAGTCTTTGCTAGTTACTAGGAAATTTAATTATTTTCTTTTATGTAGGTTGACATTGTATTTGAAGATCAAGATGAAGGTTTTATGGCTGCACTTAACTCCCTGGCAGAGAATTCTAAAAGGCCTTTAATTTTAATCAGCAATGATCCAAACTGTTCACTCGTCTTGACCAGACAGCATCGCATTCACTTCCAGTACGAGAGGGTGCCTGTCAGCAAGGGTGGTTAGTAAATTTAAAATACAATCTTTCCTCTCCCACTGATGAATGTTTCATTTATGCAGTTGACATTATTGAGGACATCTGTCAGATGGAGGGCGAAGAGACTGATCGGGACAACATGAAGCAACTTGTCGTGAGCAACAAAGGTGATCTGCGCTCATCTCTCCTTTCTGCTCAATTCCTTACCCTCTCAGGCGGCTTTCCCAAGAAGTTTACGAGTCAATTGAATTTTCCCCTCAATCTGGAGCAAGTTGCTCTGCGACTTCAAACCAAACCGTTCTCATTTATAATGTAATTAATCAAATTTTCATTATTTATAAATTGTTACTATTCATTATTTATTTTAACAGATCAGAGACTGAGTTAGATGACAGCAAAGCTGAAGAGAAAACAAAGCTGAACAGCACGTGGGGCAACGACTCGGATTCTGACAATATCATTTTGAAATCTTGCGAAACAAAACCCAAAGTATCAAAAAGGAAGCCCCTATGTGCCACCAAAGAAAATTCTGTAGATGTCGAGGTTGAAAAAGTTGCAGTGACCTTGGAAGAAATCGAATCGCTTTCGAAGCGCGCAGACTGTTTTGCAAATTTAGATATCCTACAGGTTTTGGAAAATTTTCTTTTAATTTGGCTGTTTGCTAATGCATATAAATTGTTAAAGGGTCAATTTGGTGGCCACCTGAGGAATAATTTGCTGCCTGGGTTGAGTGACCAATTGGCTATTGAGTCACCTCCGGATTTAGTCGGACCGCAAATCCGATATGAATTAGCTCAAAGAATGGTGAATTACTTCAGACTGGGTAGTTTGGGAACAGAATATTGGGAATCAAATCAAAGGTATATTTACTTTTTAAATTATTAAAACAAACTGAATTTAACCATGTTATTTATTAAGGTGGTTGACGACCCACTCGAGGATAGACAAAAGCATGTCAGAAATGCTACCAATCAACAACCAACTGGATCACCAAGGAGTGTCACTTGACTATCTACCAATTCTCCGGGAACTAGGCAAGTGTGAACAAACCTCTACCAGGTCTTCTCGGAGGAGCTCCATAAACTGTTTGCAGAGCATAGGAATGCAACCTGACCTGTTTGTCATAGAGGCGCTTCCTTTTGTACTTTCATGAGTGTATCAATATCATAATTATCGTGAGCTGTGCCCGATTTATTTTAATAAATGTGGACAATTAACTTCTACTAAGTAAAGATTAAATGATATTAACATTAAAAGATCCACAGGCTTAACTTAAAACGAAAAGTACCATTTTTATTTTCAAACTCCGTGAGTTAATGTTTTAATTAATATACATCTCTTCATTTACTAAGCAAAGTGGGGAATCAACAATTATTTTTTTTATCTACAATTTGCCAGGGAAGCGGTCTTCGGCCACTTGAGTGTCCCACTTCTCAATCCAGGCGTTTGGGCACATGCTCCTGTACACCTTCCTGAAGTACTCGCACGGGGCGTAGTCCTCACCCTTCACTCGCCTGCAACGGTGGAAGTCTACATAGCTTTGGTAGCAGTACCTATCAAACAGAAAAGACAATTATCAAACCTCGACTTCAAATTATTAATTATATTGAAAAATTGTTTCAAAATTCCACAAGACTGTTTTAAAAAAAAAAAAAAAAAAATTGATGTAAATTAATTTCTTATCTATGGTCAGAGCACAATGTGCCTTCATTTTACTAATCTGGTAAAAGAAACGATTCAAAAATTGACAGATAATTTTTCAAAGTGAATGAATCGGGTTTTGTTTGATTTGTTTTAGAATAAAAAACCATTTCTGCAACGAGGAAAATCCTATTCATTCATTTTTAATTTCTTTGATCATCTCAACTTCTTCAAGAAGATAATTTTTCATTATCTTAAATCATTTTTCATAAAAACTTGCATACCTAGTCTGGTTGGTGTTGGGAAAACGGGGGTCGAAGGGGGCCGTTTCCAACTTGGTAGCAGACATGACAGCTTCGGGCATTCTGCAAGAGCGTAGTAGTTACATATTATTTATGAAATAAATTAAAATACTGTCCCAAAAGCGACATAACCACACAATCAGTCAATTTTCCTCTTTGAAGAACCAGCAATTGTAAGTGTCCACTTTCACTTAATTAACCTTAGTGTGCAATAATTGATAATTTTGCGAGTATACATTAATGTGAGACATTCATCGGAAAACACTTCGTTGATTTTTTTTTTAAGTAATAATTGTTTTATGTTCACGTATTATTTTTCATTGATTTTATTTGACGAGAGGCCGATTCTTGCCCTCCTCTTCGCAGGTGGAGCTCTGGTACTTTTTTACTTCGGCCATGTAGGCCGACCAGGCGTCCTTGGAGGGCGCGTTGCCCTGACCCTCCTCGCCCTCGTTCTTCTGCTTTTTCACCTGTCCGGTGGGCAACACTCGGCCGCCCCTTCTTTTGCCCACAGACACGGGGGGCGGCTTCTCGGCGTCGTCTAACAATGAGACGGACGATGAGGAGGAGGAAGCTGGAATATTAGGGGACTTTGAGTCCTCGGGCTTCTGCTCCTTCTTGGCCGCCTCCTCCTGCATTTTCTTGAACATCTCCAAGAAGCTGCCATCGTTCTTGAAGGCATTCTTCTTGGCCTCTTTCTGCTCTTCGGCCTTGGACGGGCCCTCCTGCTGTTTGTCTTTGTCCGACGAGGACATCCTCTCTCATAGACGGCGGGGAGTACCTGTGATAGAACATACTTGGCCGTATGAATTCTCAGTCTTAGAAATTAGGTACGGTGCGGAGAGAGCATTGTTACATTTTTTTTAGAAAATCCGCCACGAATGTTTTCTTAGGGAAACCCAAATTATTTATGCACACTTAAAAAATGCTGGTCTTTCAAACAGAAAAATTTTGGACCCGTTACAACCAACGGGTCTGAGTTTTTAGAGGCAAAGTCTGCTTTGGCACACAAATCGATAGCCCTCAAGGGCACAAGAGTTTAACGTGGTTTAGAGCTGCTGTAGAAAGCAGATGACAATAATAATAGGTTAAACAGAAGAAACTTGATCTTAAGTCAGCTACGGTTACAAGTTTTACGCGAAATTACGAGTGATTAGTGGATATTTGGGCAAAAATTGACAAGGACCCTACCTTCAGACCGAGTAAAATGGCCGGTCTACAAATACGAGAGGAAAAACAAATGGCGATCGCTCGGATCGATATCCGGCATTAAAACGCGGCAAATTTTCTTGTAACTCGGGAATTTACGCAAACGCTTTTCATAAAAAAATCTAAATTAGTAATTGTTGTAAATTTTGTCTGAATTGTTTTATAATGTTATCATTGATCGTAGATCAAATCATGATGTACAATTTGTTTTGTCATCAGGTCCTAAAATTTAATTTTACGTTCATCTTAATTTTTATTAAGAGGTTAAAGATTTTATTTATTTTTAAGAGAATTCTGCTTTCGTTTTATTTATAAATTATTAGATTATTGACAGATTACAGAACTATGTGCACGTAAATTTATTTCCTTTATTAGATTTTCTTATAAAAATATAACATTTTAGTAGAATTATGATATATGGTGGGAATAATTATCTTAATAGTAAATACAAACGGTTTATAAGTAAACCCCTCCTGGCCTGGCTGCCTCAATTTTTCTCCTGGACATAAAATAGTGTGGCTATGTGGCTAATCTCAGCATTGAAATCTGATTATGAGATTGTACATATTGATGGTCTCCAATTCCAAACATATTATCAACAAACATTAAGTAATTGTTCATTGTGGCTGTGGCGTCATTCAAATCAGACTAAAACTTAGGCAATTCATATAAATGCTAATAATTAAATTAAGTCAAGTCCAACAAGGAAAAAGCACAGCGAGAGCAAAATAGGACATAGTTTCTTACATACACTAAGAGAATGAAGTTGATTAGTTAAAAATATTTTATGAATGATTTTAGTTTTCAATTTGAAAATCATTATTTTTTAGGCTGCGCCACTCTCTTCCTGTATTTCTTAATATGTGCACTACAATTGAGAGTGGAAGAGTGCGTTTTTTTAAATTATACAAAAAATTCAGTCGTTGGGTCCATGGCATGAAATATATAATTCTCTGAACGCCCTTGTTAGGTCTGGAGCAACTTCATCCCTCTTAAAACAAGCAAATGAAAATAATAGCTGGGCTGCTAACTATAAAATTAAGCCAAAAATGCTGAAGTATGTTCATTTCAAAAAAGGCTATCGCTGCAGTTTGTTTCTGGAAGTAGCTTGGACACTGGACGAGGCATCCTTGACCCACTGAGTGCAAGTGTTCTTGATGACGTCCCAGGCCATTCCCTGAGAACGGACAGTTGGATGGATTTTCTTCGGTTTCAAGAACTTCACAAATCTCCGCAACTCAGAGAAAGACGAGTGCTCACTGTAAGGTATGCCTACATATTTACACAAAGTTAGATCTGTCAAAGCACAAAAACATGAAAACTTACCAATAATTGTGATGTTTCCACTTTTATCCTCTTTGTAAGCTTCAGCACGTTTTGCACTGTGCTGCCAACCAGTTGGTCGGAACGCCACTAATTCAGAAAATCTTTGTTTCTTTTTGTTCATTTGACTCAGATAGTTGCTCAGGTACTGAAATAAAATCAATATATAAAGGACAAAAATCAATATTAATTTTAATGTACCGTATAGCTAATGCTTCCATTTGGCACAACATGGATGGTTGCTTCTTCTGGATTTTCGGCCATGAGATCCAAGATTTGAGAGTTTTCAAGTTGCTTCAATATCCGCCTCTTTGGTGTGTTAGCAAAGAACTTCAAATTGAAATTTTTGGCTATTTCCAAGAACACTTTCTCTTTGCCTGGAATCAAGCCAGACGTGATAAAATTATTATGATGAATCCGTCAGCAAAATATTACCAATGGTATACGAGCCACAGACAAAAAGGCACTTTTCACCAGACTTCAGATGCTTCTCCTCGGCCAGAGAAACAACTCTTTGCAGAATCTCCTCTTGCGAATCAAAGTCGTACATTGGATTGCAGTAGCTGAAGAGGGTCATTTTGAAATAATACCTGGGTAATATTGACATAAAATAATTATTACGTTGTGTCAAGATGCAAGTGATGAATCTCGATGTTCCAAAAGGAAGGGTAGGATTCCATATTAGGAGAAAAGCGGAAGTCTCCTGTGTGAACAATATTTGTTCCGTCCAACAGTTGGAAAAGGAACATAATAGAGCCAGGGCAGCTGCAAATTTAAGTTTAGATTTGCTATGCTTGATAAATGAGCAGCTTACTGATTGGCATCTAGAGCTGTAACTTTCACTTTATCGACCACAATAGTTTCATCGAGCTGGAGAGTTCTGATCTGGTTAACCCGAAGTTTAAATTGCTGTATGACTAATCGGGCTGGAATTTAAAAAAGTTAAAGTTTTAGAAATAAAATTTGTAAGTGGCAAGCCACACCTGTGATTGGACTGCAATAAATGATTCCTGTAAAATGCTTGGTCAGTCCGATATAATGGTCGTAGTGGAAATGACTAAGGAAGTAATATTTTACAAGTGGAATTTTGCCATGGTTGAAGGCGTCGACAGCAAAGGAAGTGTCTTTGATGAGCTTCCAGTATGGCACTTTACGAGTTGTGGTTTCCAGTGATGACGTAGAGGAAGTCGAGGAAAAAGAGCTGACTGAAGAAGCATCACTGCTAACTTGTCTGGTCATAATAGGAATTGAAGCCCATTTTTCTTTAGCTAAAATTTTTTGTTCTTATTTAAATTAAAAAACAAACAAAATTAATTAAACTCTCACCTTCTTTTTGCTTCTGAAAAAATGTCTGACAAAGAAAATAAAAATTAGAAAATTAATATCAAGGAATCCAACAGCTTACCTCTTTGTCCTGAATTTGTAAAATCATGCTTTTGCTGCACTTGCAAATTGTGCGTTTCACACCTGGGCAGTCGTCACAATTCTCGTCTCCAATCCAACCATTCTCGTCAGCAAGCAGCTATGTGAAATTCGAATGAAACCATTTATTTTTATATAAATAAAATACCTACATTTAACATTTCTCCATTAGCCTTGACTGTCACAGATATTTTGTCTTTATCGCAAGAGCAGGCTTTGTTGACACCCTCTTGCTCATCAGAATCATCAGTGGCCTCTTCGAAATCAACACTCTCCCGAACTACGCCTGAATTTTTCCTTTGGCCTTTTGCTCTACTCACGGACGCAGATTCATCTCTGTCTCCAGTCGTAAGGTATTCAGCAAACAAGTCAGGCTCACTCTCATTGTCGGAATCAGACAGGAAGGGATTGTCGTTGGACACCCTCTTTGAATTTGTCGAGACCGACCTGAAATCGACTGCAACCTCTTGTTGGATGACGACAGGGTTTGACACAGAAGCCTGTGCTTGTCTGATGATTTCAACCTGAATAGACGAGCCAGATTCGTCAGCATCGCTCCTCAGTTTGGCTAGCAAGGTGTGTCTGAAATCAAGGTAGTGGGTCCTCACTCTGGACTTGCAGTCCTTGCCATCATAACATTCTGCAAAAAGTAAGAAAACAAATGAATTAAACAATCTCCCCTTAACAAATGTATTGGCTTAATCAAGTACCTGGACTGTCAATTGGCACTTCACATTTCTTCACGTGGTCCCATTCTGAAATCTTGATGCAAATTAAAGGCAGCTGACAAACTTTGCAAAAGCCCTTGGCGTCGAAGGATTTCATGGGAGACACAGTCATGTTGGACTTTGCAGGGCTTGGCCCTGTTTTCTTTCTTGGTGTTTTTACTGCTGCTCGTTTTTTAGGAGACTTTGAAGGTGTACTTGTGGTGACTGTTTCCTTTGATTCTTTAGTCTCCTCAGTATCATCCTCTTTGAGAATGGCCAAGACAGATTTTGGAGATTTGAGCTCATTTATTGATCGAATCTTTAATCTCGGGCGTTTCGCAGGAGAAAATTTGTTCTCGTTTGCATCATTCATCAATGACAAACCAGATGGACCTGAACAATAATTTCAATGGTTGAATTAATAAAAAAAAAAAAAAAAAAAAATACAAATTCAGACATCAAATTTAAATATACAATTTATCAATCATAAAAAATCCTCACCAGGCTGAGGGTTGTTGAAGAGGGACTTTTTGCAGCCATTGTTGTTTTTCTCTGTAGCAGGAGCATCAATAGCATTGGTTTTCTTTGGCATATTTAGACTGCTCCTATTGACAGACAGTCCTTTGGGCTGAGGTGGCATTAGGGTTGGAGGCTCGACCATTGATTGTGTCTCATTTTGCTCTGGTTCGTTTGTCCGTCGCCAGTTAAGACTCATTTTCCTGTTAGTGATGGACAACCTGCTGGAGGATGACCTGACGGACTGATTGCTCGACATGAGATGTCGAGACGGCTTCGGCGCAAAATCACTCCCGTCATATTCCATGATTGAGCTTCAGTGCATACGGCTGTCGGATCAACTTGGAAGGAAAAGTCCTCTGTGAAAAATTAATTGGGTTCATTCATATCTGTAATGTAAGGGGCATAGTTACCGAGTTTGAGAGTAAAAAAAAATGATAAAACTGATAAAAAAAAGGTGTTACATACAAGGAATTTTTTCTTTGAAAAATGTAATCGCATTAAGTGGCTATTAAAAGGAATTTGATAACGTCATTAGTTATCTCTCACCCTGGACTGGGCGCACAATCGCGAGGCCCGCGCGTCAATTTCCAATGATGACTTTACAAATGTCGTTGATGTTTTACATTCGGTGAAGGTCTGCGCCGATCAATTTTTATATAACTGCAAAAGAAATAAACGTTTGTGTTGATTTCCTTGCCAAAATTACACCCTATTGTGCTAATGATGCAACCTCGTTTCTTCAAAACGTGGGTCGATCTTTTAACTTGCCATTCTGCTGTTGTTTTTCTCAAGGCCGTCGTCAAGCTGTTGCCGAACGAAACGTAAAAGGACCAATCAGGACTCGATGTTTGCTTGGTTGGTGGATTTGATTGGTTGTTTTGTATTTCGCGCACACGAAGCGACACTAGAGACACGTGGTGGCCAAATATTTTTTGTGACTTTGGACGAGTGGGTGTGGTTAAAAGGTGTTCGTGTTCATAACAAAAACAAAACCTCGACAACAAAAACTTTGCAAATCCAGTTTCAAGTAGCAGAAGTTGCAGAAATTGCAGAAAAACGGCTTTGAATACTGCAACAATGATGCCCCTTAAAGGTATGCAAAAGTGGTTGCTTTCCACAAGGAAATAAATATGTATTATGATACATTATATTATGATTCAAAACTAATTTGTTCATAAACTGTAATTTCAGGAGTAGGTGAGAGTGATGACCAAAACAAAATGAGGTTCCAGGTATATTTTCACGAATGCAGTAATTAATTAGTATTTATAAGATTTATACTCATTGAAGGTTGAGCTTGAGTTTGTACAGTGCCTAGCCAATCCAAACTATCTCAACTTCTTGGCTCAGAGAGGATATCTCAAGGAAAACGCATTTATCAATTATCTCAAGTACCTGCTCTACTGGCGAGAACCTGAATATGCTAGGTAAAATATCTTCACCTCTTTATTTTATAATGTACTAATATGCGTGAATTTTTCAGGTATTTGAAATACCCTACATGTTTGTACTTTTTGGAGCTGCTGCAATACGAGCATTTCCGAGCTGAACTAGGCAAGGCGCAGTGCGCAAAGTTCATTGATGATCAGCAGATTTTATTGTGGCAACATTACACCCGAAGAAGAAGCAGACTGATGGAGATGGCAGCGCAGCGAGCAATGGTTCCCGACGGACCTCACACAAACGGTCAAGCAAGCAATTCAAAATGACTTTTCTTTTTTATAATTATATGATAATATACATAATATATATTCATATTATCTTTAAATAAATTTATCCTTCAATTAAAACATTAAAATTTTTTATTGTTCTTTTTATATTATTATTGAAGTTTGTTGCGCAGCTAGACGTTGCAATTTCACACAAAGCAAAAATAATGGCCTCTTTCCTTGACTTTCCCAACTGCAAATAATGATGCCAAGAAAAACAGCACAAACAGTAAGTCGACTGCAATACAAATAAAAATTAGTGTAGTGTAGCGCCGTATTTTTCTATGATAGAATATTTTTAGCATAACTATTCAGCAACATTTTAATTTTTATTATCAATAAAATGAGAAAAAGTATCAGTGATTTTAATATCTGTTGTTCTTCTATCTCCAAGATTATCGAAAATTTTTAATTAATTACGATTCTCCAAAAGTTTTCTCAACATTGAAAGGTATTATGCATAAAATACAAAATTAACGACCATTTAATGCCTTTTTTAAGTTTATTGGTTTTGCGACACATAAAACTTACTGCGACTCACAGAATAGGATAAAAGCATTGTTTGGGCCAGAAAGGAATCTATTTATCAAAAAATAATATTTATACAAAATTCCTTTTTCCCATGAGACTTAAAAACATTTTCATTATTCTCACTTATCTCTTTTCACCCACAAACTCGAGAAAGCTTGCCGAAATGCATTGATGGGTTTCCACAATGACCATCGACTATCAGAACCAATTGATGAGCTCGCAGAAAAATACGAGCTGCAGTCTGGAGCTGAAGATGTATTACTGCTCTTAATGGGAAATGAAGCTGGCTTCTCATCCTTCTCTGCAGCTTCTAAAAAGTGTACATACTCTAATCTAAATTATGAACTTTATCAACAATAGTTGCTCACCTCCTTGTTTATCTCGATAGTACTGACCCACTACCTGTTCATTGGAATAAAAAAGAGAATCAAGAAGATTGAGTTATCAAAACATAAGAAAATATTTTAAGTTAAATTACTTCTTTGCACCGAATTTCCAAAGCCATGGATTTGCAACCTCCACAAACTTTCAGGGCCAAACCTGCTGGGAAATTGTCACAATCCTCCAAACTGAACTGTGTGTAAAATTAAAAACATTAGTGAATTTTATTTAAACAAAATTTATATAAAAACTCACATCAAAACATTGCCCTTTCCATTTAATTTTCACGGAGAGTTTATCTTTGTCAGAGGCACAGGAACTGCCTGAACTTGGTTGCCCCTCTTCCAGAAGTTCAGCAGCAGTTTCCACAAAATCGTCCTTGTTGATTGCACCAAAATCAGGAGGCAAATATGGGGAGTGTTCAAAATCGGAATCCAGAAATGGGTTTTCTGACACCTTTGTGGAATAAGTGGACACTGCTGCTAATTCAAATGGCATGCCTTGTGGTGCACAAGCAGGAGTCTCTAGGCTGCCATCAATTTCAATCTGTACGGGCTTCCTCCGCTTGCTGGATGAACTTGTCGATTGTTCACAATTGTTTCGAAATTTTGCCAGCCAGGTGTGTTTAAATTCTGAGTAGTGAGCCCTTACTCGACACTTGCAATTTAGGCCATCATAACATTCTGTTTCTGAAAAAAAAATCAATTGCAAACAAATCACGTAGTTATTTTTTTCATTTAACATTTGCATTTGGTGGGGTACATAAAAATAAATAAAAAATGTGAGAATAAAAAAAAAATGGTAGTAACGGACTTTGCAATTTACTTTTGGTTTATCTAAGTTTGCTCAAAAAAATAAAAAATAAAGGCGCCGATATGAAAATTTATAATTACCAAATGAATCCTCGGAAACTTCACATGTCCTGACATGCTCCGACACTTCAGAATCTTTGATGCAAATGAAAGGCAGCTGGCAAACTCTGCAGAAGCCTTTGGCCTCAAGTTCACTGGATTTCGGAAGATAACTTTTCTTTTCATTTCTGATGGTTTTTTTCCTTCTCGTGGTCGGAGTGTTGAATTCTTCACTGCTTTCGTCTTTTCGTCCTCCAGTCTCGCTTTCGGTAGAAACTTTGGCAGCAAATTTTGGGCGTTTGCTTGATGATGAAGAAATCCCATTTTCATCGGTCAGCAATTTCCAGCCAGCAGTTGGTACTGAAAGAGCTGAAGTTAATATAAGAAAAAAAAAACGAAAAAAATAATGAACCTCTTTCATTTCGAGTTTTATCAACATTGGACTTTTTGCCGTAAGTACCAATTTTATCATGCCTTGACAACAGGCTGCTGGATTTTATGACTAGGCACTTAAATTGAGGCTCGGATGGAGTTTCCTCCTGCTGTACATGCGATTGTTCAGTCCCTCTGCGCAATCCAAGTTTTCTTCTTATGGACAATCGACTTCTGTTGCTACGTTCAAATGTTTGGGAAAGCTTTGGTGCAAAATCGGTTCCAACATAGTCCATTATATTTAACTTGAGTGCTAGTGCTCGATTTGGATGACAAAATCCTTCTGTAAAATTTAAAAAAAATCCAACATTAGCTGTATGTTTGATGCACAATGTAAAATTATAATTGTGCAATTTAACAAACTTTTAAATTATCATTTATTAAGAAACATTTCTCCTCATTTATTTGATCTATAAAAGGAAAATATGAAGTTTTGTTAATATTTTAATCAGGCATTTCTCATCCTGAGACAATCTAAAAAAACATGCAGTTTCAATTTTTTTAGTCGATTTCTCCTTTTGGCCCAGAGGGCATCACAAAAATTCACAATAATATTATATGCATGCAATACATAATTTGCTATTTTTTGTCCGCAGACGTTATAAAGTGTGTGTGTTTTAGAGCCGTATTATTTATTATAGCTCGTTATAGCTATAATAAATAATAGCCTAGGCTACATATGATTTATATACTTTCCAGGCCAGTTGCAAAAAATAAGCCCGCTTTATCTAAAAATGGTAAAATTGCAATATAATATAAAAATTATTTATGATTCATACCTACGCACAAAATTCTTGCAATGAACAAATGAACCCTCCAGCTTAGCGAGCGATCATGCGTCATGTGCAGCGTGCAGACTCCGGAGCCTCGCCACTTCGCCAGACCAAGAGTCCAAGCAACAAGAGCCGACGAATTTAGACATTATTAAACAAGACATAAGAGACGACAGGACTGACAAGAGCCGATTGGATATCTTGCGCGCGTTTACTTTGCGCTACACCCCCGAAATCTCCTCTCTCGGGCAAGTACAGAAACTTCAGAATTCAGAACCCCCCACCAGATGTCCACGCCCATCATATCCACCGATATCCACCATAAAAGTAAACATAATTTAATTATTATGTAATTACAAGAAACTTACCCAATATCAAGAACGAAAATAACAAAACGCGCTGATAAGAGAATAATTTGCAGCCTTTTTAGTAATCAACCCTTATTAAATTTTGTGGTTATCATTTTATTTATGTAATAAATTTATATTTTAGTTAATGTAATACATACATTTTATACACCACACAGTATTAATTTAATATTTCTGTTGTGATTGATAACAGGCCCATATCAACATGGATTTCTCCACAACTATGGAAATATTTGTAAGCAACTACACACTTATTGATAATGAAATATACGAACTTTGGGTTGAAGGTGTTTCAGGTATAATTTTTTTTTAATTAAAAAATATTTAAAAGGCATTAAAATTTGGTATTACATTTTACAGCCATAGAGGCAGTTTGCCAATTGAAAGGAAAAGCTCTCCTCCAGCAAGGTTCTAATGTGGAAATGCTGCAGAGTGAAATCGAGGACCACTATCGGACATACAGCCTGCTCGAACGGCTGCTTCACAACCCAGTCAAAATCAAGGACCACCAGCTAGAATTCCAAATTGAACCTCAAATCATGAGCATGCTCATACAAAGGTCTCACAAATGTGTATTTTAAAAAAAAATATGTTAATTCATAACCTTTTTGTTCAGATATTACAAATTCGATGATGCTGTTTACCGAGACATTCTTGGTAAAAAGTTGTCTGCCAGAAACAGGAAGGATTTGGATGACTTGAGTGAGAGAACAGGAATAAATATCCTTTCTTGCAGGTGAAATTTTTACTTTTATTATCAAAATTTGAAAGATTTAATTTCTATATTTGCAGACGACAGTTCGATAATGCCAAACGAGTGTTCAAAGTGGTCGAAGAGATGCCAGGATTAGTTGTTCAGAATATAACTGACAATTTTGCTCTCGATAAGGACCTTGCAAAGTAAAATTGAATTCTTTTTTACTTTTGTAAAGAAGTTCTGAAATTAATTTATATTTTTAGAAGTTACGCCGCAGTCGTGTTCTTAGGCAGCCTTCGTTTTGATTGTTCAAAACGGAAACTCCAGTATTTATCCTTCCACGATTTGAGCCACTGCGCCCATGCCATCATGGCAAACTGGACTTGCAAGGAGCAGGGCCCTGAGCAAGATGACACTGAATTTGATAGAGAGTTTCTGCTCGATCTCAAAGACTTGCGCGTCATGCTAGACAAGGACCGGGAGCACAAGCAGTAATATTTTAGTTTTTAAATCAGAAATTTTATTCATGGTAATTTTTTTAGTCTGGTTTGCACTAAGGTCCGTCCACAGCTATTGGAAAAAATATACGTGGACGTGGAGAACAACTTCCGAACCTACACCAGAGCGATTTTGGGAATTTCATGCGGACTCCACAGGAGTCGAGAGATGAGATCCCTGTTTGTGGATTTGGTCGAGAAGTGTCTTGAGCCGTGGTATGCTGCACATTGGTCCAGAGCAGACTTGTCTATTTTCCTTTCCGCATACACTCAGTCTGCGTTGGAAATGGACGCATTGAGGTAAAAATTTTAAATTGTTTTTTTTTAACGTTTTTAATATTGTTGGATCAATTTTAGGGAGGTTGAACTGAAGCAATCGTGGGAGAGGTACATGAATGTCCTATCAAACTGTCTGATATTCATGCACAAGGACAAAAAGGACAAGAAATAATTTTGATTTGTATTCCCATCTTCCTAAAACAGTAGACTCTTGTGTAAACTTATAGACTTAAACAGACTTAAAGCAGAATATCTTATTTAAAATGTAATATTAGTCCATGTTGATTTTTTTTTAATTTTATATGATTCAGTTAAGCAAAAATCTAGTCTAAATTTTGTGGAAAGAAAATTTCATTTAAATAACAAAATGAGTTAAGTTGTTTTCAATAAAAGTATACTTCTTAAGTTTTATTGGTTTTTCTTTAGCTTTGACTTTCCAAATTTGTTCTCGCCAGATTTTCTCTTCACGCTCCTAACCAAATTGGAAATTTCCAAGCTCATAGTCGGCCTTTTTTCTTCTTTCTGCGGCGTGCTCTGGAATTAAAATAATAAATTTACGCTCTAGCAAAAGTTAAATTAAATTCAGACCTGCTCAGGATTTCCTCGTCGTTTTAACTTTTCATTAACAAGAGCCTGAGTTCCTTTGGTTGATTTAAAGCTAGGGTTGGATGGGTCAATGTTGAAGTGGTGTGATGTGAACAATGCAGTGAAACGAGGATCTTCCACATCAACCTATTTAGATATAATTTAATTGCAAATATAAGCTCCAGTTCCTCAATATACCTGAAAGTCATCATCTGTTTGCGCCTTTTTAGGAACACGGGTGTTAAAGTTGAAATGCCTTTCATTGTCTCCATCCATCATCAACAGCTCAAGCTCAGCCTAGTAAAAATAATTGATCTATCTTTGATAATTTATTAACTTCTATAATTTACCCTTTTCTTTTCATCCACTACTTCTTCTTTTTTCAAACTCTTCTTTCCCTTTCCCTTCTTCTTTTTACTTTTTGGCTCATTGTCCATCATGAGTTCTCGCTTAATATCCTCTGCGTCTGAAGGCAATTCGTCGTCGCTGAATGGCACACCCTCAACTATTTCCTCTTCACTGTCATCAGAAGCATCAGCTTTAGCTTTCCTGGCCAACTGCTTCTGCTTTTTCTTCTCCTTCTTTTTCTGCATCAGTTCTTCGAAAGGTGTCAAAGCACCCAGACCAGACTCCTTCCTCAGTTTTTCTGCCGCCTTCTCGTCAACCTTGCTTTGCAGATCGACACCCCAGGTGATCTCCATTTCTTTGTTGTTGTCTTCCTTTTCATCTTCTTGCAGCAGTGCTTTGTACACATCAGCACTCTTTTTCTCTAGAATCAAGAAATTTAATAGTTAATTCTGCAATAAAATTAATTTTTAGATTTTTTGTATACCATTGTCGGACTCGTCGTCAGTGCTTGAGGCCAAATAAGTCTTGATGACATCCTCATCCAGTTCTTTGTCCTTATTTGCCCACACCCTCCTATTAATGCCAGTTCTCCTTGGGTCCGTCTCGTCCCAAGTGAGTTCAAAATTTGATCGAGTTAGAGCTCCTGTAGTGAAGAACTGAGGAACATATTTTCCAGCCTCAGGAAGGGTATCACATTCATCTCTTGGCTCCTGAAATAAATTGTGGTTATGGTTGAAAAACAAAATTGATTTCAATGTACTTCGTCAAAAGTCAAGTCATCTGGGATGAACCTCAAATCCACCTTGGTGGAAGTGCTCTCAAATTCCATTCCATCACACTCGCTATAAACGTGAGACGCTGTGGCCACCGAGTCAAAAATTACGACTGCGTAGAAATACTTCAACCGACGCAACTCGTACTTCCGCAATTTCTCCATGTCAAAATTGTCCTCGCCTGTTTCATCTGCGGTGATTTCTGACAACTCCCTAGGACCCGACACTTCTTCCTCTTTCATGCACTGTTTACCGAACTCAGATTGGAAAACCTGTCGGAATTGTTTTTAGAAACATGTTCTTTTTTTCAATATCACTTCGGTAACACACCATGACTTTTTCTATGGAGCCACCAGCAGGAAGGAATGAGTTTAAGAGGAGCATTAAGTCTTCGGATCTGACTCTGGTCCAGTCCATATTGCAAACGGCCAGGCGATAAGAAGCTTCTTCGGTCCTCTCAGCATCTTTGTCAAGTTCTCCCCACTCGTGTTCCAATTCCTACAAAACCAATTTCAGTGTCAAGCTGCACAATTTGAAAAGCGATTTTTACCTCAAATTCATCGCCTTCTTCTTCACTGGATTCATCATCTGATGAGGAATCACTGCAGATTTGCCCAACTCCTCGTGCATAATCTGTCGAGAGGTCCTTCAGTTTTTGGCGCACCTCGCTGGTAACTAATTTTTTCTCGGCTTTTCCTAATTCCAGGGCTCTTTCATTATCTTCATTTTCCTCTTCTTCGTCCTCATCATCCTCCTGGAGTATTAAAATTTTGTTCGGTTTGCCTTTAAAATTGTAGGAAAAAAGAAATACATACCTTTGATGAGTCGGATTCCTCTTCTGATTCTTCATCTTTCTCTGGACGTTTAACTTCCACTTTTTTAGATTTCTAAAAAAATTGAAATAAAATAAATGTGGCCAAAATTTGAAAGCTATGGCATTTTACATCGACTTTTTTCTGTGCAGTTTTCTCCTCCGCCTCACTGTCATCGTCCTCTGAAGACGACGTCAACTCGTAATATTTTTTGTAATTTTCTGTACTGGCATAATTCACTGGACGACCTCTTTTATCCACAACGCTCTTTACTTTAAACTTCGAATCCTGAAAATTTTTAAAGTTTTTATTTGGGTGCAAATTAAAGAAAATAAAAAAAACCTGGAACATCGACTGGAAGCGTTTGTCGATTTTGACTTTTCGGTCCTTCTGCGGCAGGCGTCTGAATTTCGGATCCGAAGCGACATGTTTGAACCTCTCGTCCTTCTGCATGTTTTGAGAATCAATTTGCGCAAATCTACCTCGTTTTTGTGCAAAAATTTCGCAAAATCAATGACAAAACTACAGCACACGCTAAATTCACGTGCGTTTGTTGCGTTTACCTGAGAAGGGGGCGTGGTCGCGAAGGACCGAAAGAAAATCTCCTTGAAAAATTCCTCAGCAGTCACAGCTGAAAATGCATGTACGCAGTCGCTTCTCTTTTTGTCGCTAGGCGAGTGGTGAACTTTTCAGCCTGAATTCGCCGAATTTCGTGGCAGGTTGGTCGAACGAGTCGGCAGGTGGTCGAAGCGGGACGCAGACACGCAAATTGTGAGCCGATCGAATTGTCTTCACGCGAATTCGGAGCACAAAACTTCACCGTGGCGAGCGAACGCATTGTAGAAGGCATGGCAGACAGTGCCAGCGAGAGCGACTCGAGTTCCATCGACGGCGGCGGGCCGATCATGATGCCCCCGTCGCCCGTGACCCGTGAGCAGCTGCACAAGCGGATCGAGTCGCTGCAGCAGCAGAACAGGGTCCTCAAGGTAGAGCTCGAGACGTACAAGTTGAGGGTCAAGGCCCTGCAGGAGGAGAACCGGAATTTGAGACAGGCCTCCGTCATTATCGTGAGTTGGCTCTTTTCCGATGATTTTTTTTGTCAATTATTTTCGTTCGTGATTTCTAGCAAGCGCGGGCTGAGCAGGAAGAGGAGTACATCAGCAACACCCTGCTGAAGAAAATCCAGGCGTTGAAAAAGGAAAAGGAGACCCTTGCGCATCACTACGAGCAGGAGGAGGAGTGCCTCACCAACGACCTGTCTCGCAAGCTCAACCAGGTTTGTTTTAGATCAGTTTTCTGTCTGGTCCTCCAAAGTGGAAAGTGGGCCTTATGATGGTCAAAAAAGAATAATAAGTGCAGCCTAAATTAAATAATGGCATTAGAAATCTGTTGAATAGTCATGTGTCGTGACCCCTTTTAAAAAATACGATTCATGATTGCTCTTTATAATTTCTCGCTTTAAATTTTGCGGAATATAAACATGCATTAATTAGCCCAACTTTAATTGATAAGAGCCATGATTAAAGAAATAAAATATATGCCAATTTTTATATCAGAATTACGCGGACGACGGCCCTAAATTGTCTTTTTTAGTAGTAAAACTTTCAATATATCAATTCTGGATAAATTTAAATTATTCTCAATATCCCAGATTAAGTTAATTCGAAAACTACAGTAAAAGTTCAATGTTCTATTATATCTAAAATAAAATAAACAATTACAAAAATTTATATTTAGATGATTGTTTAAAAGTGGCAAAACACTTTAAAAGGTCTAGTTTTTTCCCTGAATAGAACTTTTGAATTGACTGAGTTCACATGCCGAGAAGTATATATAATTGACCTCGCACATTGCTCTTAAAAGTGGTGCCCGTCATTTGCATAAACATTCCATATTCAATTCTGCCGCCTTTGAATTGCAAATGATCAATTCGAACGCGGCTGTGAAATATGAAAAAAAGCTTTCTGTCGAGAACAAAGTTGACGTAATTTTTCGTCAATTTGCAGCTACGCCAGGAGAAGTGCCGCCTGGAACAAACTTTGGAACAGGAGCAGGAGTGCTTGGTCAACAAGCTGATGAGAAAGATTGAAAAGCTTGAGGCCGAAACCTTAGCCAAGCAGTCCAACCTGGAGCAGCTGCGCAGAGAAAAAGTTGAGTTGGAGAACACCCTGGAACAAGAGCAAGAAGCTCTTGTCAATCGCCTGTGGAAAAGGATGGACAAACTGGAAGCCGAAAAAAGGTTTGTCTATAATTGAAAATTACTAAATGTTCACTTTATTAAAATCATAAGGAAAATTATTATTGTAAAATTAATGCAAAAATTACTTTAATTTAAAACTAATAAAAAAAATCAATCATAGTAATTGAACTTAAATTTAAAATTAAAAGCAGAAAATTTTTAAATGGCATTAATGAATCATTGATGTAAGACGTTTGCTAGTTGAAAATCCATACTTCAATTTTTGTCTAAATTTGAGCGGAAATAATAATTATAATAAAATTAAAAAAACGTATATTTTTTATTTTTTTTTTAACTATTGAAATTTAATCAAAATTATTTGTTTAGAACACTTCAAATTAAGCTGGATCAGCCCGTGTCAGACCCTACCTCACCGAGGGACATAAACAACGGGGACACAGCTGCTAACCTGAGTTCGCACATTCAAACTCTGAGATCTGAAGTGGTTCGATTAAAAAATCTTCTCTCCATCCACCAACAAGAACGTAGGGATTACCGAAATCTCAGTTAACACTTTGTTTGAAAAAATTTATTCACAGATACTGAAAAAATGCAGCGTTATGCCACGGAGGAGCGAAACATTCGTGAGGAGAATCTGCGTCTGCAACGCAAGCTGCAGCTGGAGATGGACAGACGGGAGGCGCTTTGCCGCCACCTGTCCGAATCCGAGTCGAGTTTGGAAATGGAGGAGGAACGCCATTACAATGAGGCCATAATCGTCGGGGTGGCTGGTGGCAATCAGGCTGCAGCACCTCCAGGTGTCCGGCCCCGCAGAGTTTCCAGCCCAGTCCCTTATCCTTCGCCCAGCTCATCTCGCCCTCTCAGTCCAGGTAAATAAAAGATGAATAAACAAAGCGAAATTAAACATAGGTTTCTTTATTCTTTTTATATAAGTTTTTTTTTATCTTTTTTATTTTTATTTTTTTTTAAAATCTTTTATGACAAATATTTCAAAATAAAAATTTGAATGCGTTTTTTGCAGGTATTGGTGGTTTGAGCAACACCGGCCGTTGCTTTGCATGTGGTCAGCAGTCACCCTTTCCACCTAACACAAATCTCTCGTCCTCACCACCACATCACCCCAGTTCAGGAACACCAGGGAATCAGCTCAATGTAGTTATTGTTATTTAGTAATTTAATTTTGCTGATTGATTTTCTCCTTCTCTGCAGCCACGTGTTCCGAGGGAAAGGTTCGTGAAGCCAGCTGTGCCTCCAGCAAGCCCTGGGTCTGCAGCTCCGACCTTATCTGTCACTTCTCCGCACTCTCCTATGGACATCTCGAGGAGTTAAACAGCAGACCAATTGTACGCTTCCTTTACTTGGCCTTGCTAGTCTTATTGCGAGAAAGAGAAAAAAAATCTGCTGCTTGATTGTGTGTCCTTTCTTCTAATCTCAATCAAGTGTTCGCACAATTTATATAATTTCTGCCCTCAATTTTTGGAAAACAAAAAAAGCAAGATGGTCTGGCCTGTTCAAAAGGCCCGTTTCGACCGGTGATAGGATTCGAGTGAATCGGAGCACTATATTATATGCTTTAAGATTATTTTTACTAGATCTAAATGAAAATCACAAACTTGTTGATGAGGTATTTTGGTGTCCCAATCGAATGAATACACAATAATAATATTAACGAATCTTATTACTCGATGCGCGGTGCCTCCTGTGTGTAAATAAGATTAATTTGTCTCTAAGACTTCTCGCAAGGAGCGTCCATTCCATTTTGTTAAACTTGATTAATTAATCTTGCTGTTAGATCAGACGTTTAAATTAGTGGTTCAGTCACTGTGATTCGACAAGGGCACCTATTTATATCTGTGCTCGACACAAAGATAAACTCCAGGTGGGGAAAATCGACAATGCTCTGCCGCAAAGAGTAGTTTTCTCCACAAAATATTAACTAAGTAATTAGAGGCACATAAAAATATTATATATTAGGCTACAATCCTGCTTCAAATATAGGGTCTGTTTCCCTTCCACTCGCCGAGTAGGTTGATATCAAAAATAACTAGTGAAAAGTTTATTCCACCGGCTCTGCAGACTCCGGATAATATCTTGTATTCTGATGCCTAAAGTATTACGTACACGTTGACAACAATTCAAACACATTGGAAAATCCACCTTGGCTATAATACTATGTGTAAAATTGAAAATTCACATTTATGGTGCTTTCCCTGCCTTCGTTTGCGGGACTTGTGTATTTTACTATGTAGATCCGTGTCTTAGCAGAAAATCAGGAGGACGAAAACAACTTCTATTGAAAATGGGTGTGTGCATCTTACTGCAATACAATAATGTGTAATCCATTTTTGTTGAATGTGCTGGCGAATTTTTGTGAGAAGCCAAGTCCAGTTAGATGGTTTTAAAGATGTTGATTTGTCAAGGAAATGCCAAAACATATTGATCTGTCGAAAGAGCTTGAATATTGTAAAAAGGCGCTTACACTGTAGCAGTACATAAATATTTTCAGATAAGTAAGACTTAATTGGGATTCGGGAATACCACCAGTTGTAATAGGTTGTTGCTTCACGGCTTTCTTCGTATGGATATAACCACATAATTATTTTCTTTTGTCTAATAGTAACTCGAACTGGTTGATTTTTGACGCAGTACATACACTTGCCCTTCCTCAAAACTGTTACGAGCCTTAAATGTAGGCAAAATTAATTAACCAGATGCAGATTTGTCATCATCTCTGTCTAATCATTCGTTTCGCTGTAGCATCACCGACAAGAAGAAGTATTTCCTTAAGTTTTGTTACTTTTTTTCACTCTAGGGGTAATCTCAGTTTTCGTTAAAAATTAAAACGCGCACTAGCTCCTTAATGAATATGGCAGTTGACTCCGATTTTTAGTTTTTAATGATTGAAGAAGAATGTACTTTAATGTTTGTGCGCACCTAGCACAATTTGTTGCGTTTGATTTAATTTCTTGCATGTCAACATTCAGTTGAATTCTATTTTTTACTACTGAATGATGTATCTACTACTAATGTATGTCAAGAAAGAAATAAAAATCAATACCAACCCTAAATTTATTCAAATAATTTTTCCCAAAACTAAAAAAGAAACCAATATTGATTCTCATTCTGACCTGCTCAAAAAAGTAAATTGAAGATAAACAGCAGCACAAAATAAAACGGTAAATATTTGAGAAAGGTCCGCGCTGAGATTGGCCAGATATTACATACAAATTTTATTTTTCCCATTTGCAGAAGTTTTAAAATTTTGAATGATGAAATTAAAAAGTCGGAATTTTTACTAAAAATAAAAATTGAAAATACAATCGAATACTATTGTATTGTTATGTTTGTTTACCTCAAAAATAATTAGCTATTTTAAAACTGACGAGTTTGGCCATAGTCAAGTTCGACCTTCAATAAAGTAAAGAAAAGATCTGAATCTCTTTTTTTTTGCATTAGAAAGTTGAGCAATCAAAGAAAATCAAACATTTAAACAACACCCACTCATTATGTTCATCAAAAATAGCTTATGTTGATTTTTTTATGTGAATAAGTCATTGTCGAATCTTCCAGCTATCAGCCGGAAACGGCTCAAATTTTGCTGAAAAAGCGCATCTTTATTCATCGCAGTCAAAGAGAGTCACCTTGGGGCCTGAGCGCAGAGCAAATTTATGGCATTAGAGATGGTCAGGGCATTGTTTGGCCGCAAGTGGCTCAAGGTGCACCGAGACAGGGAATAACACATCTAATTGTTTCCTGCTAATTGAATATGTATGCGGCCGCCGCGCAAGCAGCATTTCCTCCAAACGCGCTTGCTCGTGAAAATGCATCAAATGCTGCTGATATGGATTGAATTGTTTGCGTCACTCTCTGCAGATTATGCAAAAGTTTGAAACAATCATTGTGTCGGAGTGCATTATAATTAACAAAAAAATTACACAATTTTCGTTTGAAATTTTTTATTAAATGAACGTATAGAATATATACTTTTTAGGTCAATGGAACAAACTCTATTCTTATAATGGTTCATATTTATCCATGCAACTTTTTTATTACCAATTATAGACCTCAATTTTCAAAATTTCTTGTGGGGACGGCGCCGGCAACAATGAAAAAGAATGCATAGATCTATACCAAATTATTAAATTAGATTTTTTTTGGTAAAATCTTTTAAAATGGAATTTATTTGAAGCAGCTTGAAACTTAGTTGAAGAATTAATTTTAGGCTAAACCAAAAATATTATTGTACTAAAATTGGCAGAAAAGCCTTTTAACTTACTATTCCCAGGAAAAGGTTTTCTTTTAGAAAAATGGCCGTATCAATTCTCTTGGGCATAATTTGCGAATAATAGAACTTGTTGCTTAATATATCAAATTTATTTTAAAGTTTTTGGGTGAAAACAGATGAAAATATTAGATGATTTATTAAAAATTTTGATAAAATTTTGATCTGGGAAGAGACTCCACGTTGTGCATCTAATTCTAACAATAATTGAAAATGGCAATTTGCTTTAATTATTTTTAGAATTTCCTAATAAATAATCAGACTTTGTCTTGATAAAAATGTGAATATTCAACAAATTCCAAAACTAAAAAAAAAATCAGTTAAATATTTAGCCGAAACGATAAGAGTAATAGGAAGAAGACATTAAAACGAGGAAAAGAGTATTTAAGGAGTACCGGAGAATACCTGTCTCTGATTAATTAAGCAAAACGCGCAATTATAAACCTTCAGTCGGCTCGTGTTGTGTGTGTGAGTGTATTTTTCCAAGTTCAATGATAAACCCACCAGAAATTAAATTGCGAGAATAAATTAGCGGTGCGCGCGCGTAAAGTCTGCGGTTTCGGCGGTGAGATGAACGCACTGCTAGTTTGCTGGGAGGTCGTTCGCGGGTGCTCTTTTGCTTCGCGATTGTATTTCAAATCACACATCCGCAAAGCATTCATTTATTTTATCTCCCACCCTGCGTCTTACTATAAAAGCTGCGGATCCCTCCTCAGCACCACTCAAAAAGTGGATAAATCCTGACAGAGAAAATTCCTTCTTCAAGTGTTTGTTCGTGAATTTGTGCAATATGGTAAAATTTGTTATTCCTTTCGAGTGGTTGAAATTTGCTAAAAAAAAAAAATGTGCGTTCGTCAGTTTTTAGTGTTTTTTTGCGCCGTGTGTCTGGGTTTATCGACAACCCTGGCGCAGGTCCCAGATGCCGACGGTAACACGGGACCTGACCCGAGGAAAATCTACGACTTCAACTTCCAAGCTCCGACGCATGGACAAAGAGTGGCATCGGACATCAATGGAGATGTGAGAGGCAGATACTTTTACACGGATGATATGGGCAAGTTTTTTCAACTTTTTCATTTCATACAAAAATGAGGAAAAAATTAAGAAAGGGAAGAATTGGAAAAAATTTCAGTAGACGAAAAGTGGAAGACGAGTTTTTACCTTGATTTTTGTAAACAAAATAATATAAAACAATTGAAACAATTTGTTCCACAAATAAAAGTATTTTCGATAAAAATTTTTGATTGATCTCCGTTTATTTTTGCACTTCTGAAAAGAAAAAAATTGATTTAGATTAATTTTTTTGAATTACAATTCAGGTATTCAGAGAACCGTTGATTACACGGCGGGCAAAGACACCGGTTTTGTTGTGCAAAACGACACCCCCGACCCCAACCCCGCCAACGAGGCCTCTTACTACAAACAGAGCAGACCTGGAGCCGCCTTCGGCACCTATGAGGGCACCAGGGGCTACCTGAGCTCGAAACTCAACGGCGACGGGTCGTACAACTTCAAACTGAGGTGCGTCTCTCACGCTTCATTAGTCAGCCGCCTGCGAAGTCCGACTTAGGCAACCGTGCACGCTCGCACGATCTGCCGGCTGCATAGCTTCTTTCCTCACTTGAAATTTATTTGTCTCAGTTCGCCCCACCAGAGTCGCTCGGAGAACAAGGACGTGTTTGGCAGGGTGCAGGGCGAGTACAAGTATCTGGACACGGACGGAAAAATGCACTTTGTCCAGTACGAGGCCGGCCCTGACATTGGCTACAGGGTTCTGAACACAAACGACGGCAAACCGACTCCAGTCGCCGCCGCCTCGACCACGCAAACACGTAGAGTTTTAATTATCTGAAAATTTAATTTTATTTTTAGGGGATTTTTTAATAAAATAGGTTACGCTGAAGCTCGGTCTGGACGTGCCTACACCTTGCCGGACGAAGTTTTGGAAGGAGCGTATTCGGAATATTACGGTTCAAAACGGCTGAGCGAGAGTGCAGTCAAAGTGAAGAATCACGGAGAGAATACAGGCAAGGAGAACAGCGGTGATAAGGAAAAGTCCGTGAAAATCGCTTGGAGCCCCATCTTAAAAAAACCAACTGGTTTGGAGGGAAAGTTTTTCAAAAGTAATTTTTTTTTAATGATTAAATGATTTAAAATATAATTTTTATTAGGATAAAATTCCGAAACTGAGGAAGAAACTTCAATTCTTGAAATATTAGTTTTCAATTTAAATACAACGTTTTTTAATCAAATTATATGATAATTTTTAAAATTTAATTCAATTTAAACATTTATTGTTGTCGCCCCGTTTCAGAATTACACATTTAGTTTCCCCTTGAAACATAATTAATTAAATTTATTAAATATAAATATAATTAATAAAAAATATTAAATTGATTGTTCTCTTTTTAAAATTTTAGATTCGGCCGAAGAATACGAGCGCGCGCCGTCAGCAGATGCTGTTGATTTCTTCAGCGGTGAAGATCAGGGAGACTACGACTTTTCAAATGGAAAGCAACAGAAGCGAAAAAGTCCCTTCATAATTACTGTGCCCGAGCCTGTATTTGCAGCTGCAACCACACAAGTATTTGATCAGCACCCTTTCGCTCCTCTCAGCCCGCAAGAGCAAAGTGCTGTGAACAACCTCAAGGACTACACGACTGCTGTGATTAGAGAGCAATACAGAGTTGAGGTATTAAAAAACATAAGAAAAATAAATATCCAACGTATTAAATTGAAATAATTTCAGGATTTACCAGATTCGCGAGTGAGGCAGGACGACGTCAATCAAAACTATGCTGCTTCAAATTTCGCCTCAAGACGCTGGTAAAAGATAAAATTTAAGTTTAAGGAAACGACAAGGCTCAAGTTTTGTACCGCGTAAGAAATAAATAAACGCATTCAGCATCGAACCACTACTATTAGGATAGTTAATTTTAGAGAAACGAAAAAAAAGCACAAAACATTTTCAATTCGCACGCAGGCATTCAGGAGAGGGCGAATCGCTGGTCAACAACTTTGACATTGTGCACCTGAGGAGTCGCCTTTCACCTCACACGCCACGTCTGGCCCAGGTCATCTCACTCGACTAGATACTCGTCAGCGCGTGAAAAGCAAGACAAAGCGCTTTGTAATCCTCAATCATGTGTCATCTTCATGAACCTTTTTACGAAATAAATATTTACATAATTTATTCGAATGAAATAATCTTAGTTTTTTTATCTTTATCCAATAATAAATAATAAGAAATTTAATTTCTTCGGATGTATATTACACGGTAATTGCTCAATTGTCGAATTAATCCCTTGGAAATAATGAAGTTTAGAATTATTGCTTACTTTTTCATTGCTACATTTTTAAGGTGTATTGATACAAATTATCTTTTGCACGCTACCGCAGAGTGAACCTTTTTGATGAAATAATTTTTAATTGTGGGATCAGAATTATATTGCATTGTCACCAGCATCGCTTAATTTCTTTAAATTATAGCACTGTATAGTAAACAAATATCTGCAATTAATTGCACCTTGCAATTGACTTAATCCACACAGATGGTGAGTGGCGGCGATTAAGGAGGTGTAAAATTTATGTTTTTATTGCATATAAAGAGTTAGACCGGCAATAATAATTTTTAGCGACTATCAAAATTGAACATAAAACAAAAATTTATGACGGCAATTCAAAAATATCGATGTACAAAATGTGGGGCGCTTCAGTATAAAAAGCGGTCCATTTTCTGGAGAAGGCACCACATCTTCACTGCAGACAAACGGACTAAGGTAAGAAGAAACGCTTGATTCAATTCTTCCATTGGTAATATATTGACATAATTTTTCATTTAGAAATGCAACGTTACGTGGCCACCACAGTGCTACTGGCAGCTCTGGTCATCAATGGCCAAGCTGCACCTCAGGCCAGGCCTCTCGTTCCTGGTCAGACGCTCCCGGGCTTTATTAATGTTCCCTCTCTGAAGCCAGCAGAACCTGAATACGAATCAAGGGCTCCAGCTCCTGGACAAGTCGCCCCGGCCCCCTGCATTATTGTATACCCTGATGTTCTCCCTAGTGAAATTTCTCGCCCTGAGACCAGGCCCCTCGAGCCACCAGCATTCACTCCTGAAACCATCCCTGGAGTGATTTCTCGCCCTCAGACCAAGCCTCTGTTGCCCCCTGTTGCGGCTCCTGAGCTCCTTCCCGGATTCGTTGGACGTCCCCAGACCAGGCCCCTCGAGCCACCAGCATTCACTCCCGAAACCATCCCTGGAGTGATTTCTCGCCCTGAGACCAGGCCTCTGCTGCCCCCTGCTTTCAACCCAGAGCTTCTACCAGGATTCGTTGGACGTCCCGAGACCAGGCCCCTCGAGCCACCAGCATTCACTCCCGAAACCATCCCTGGAGTGATTTCTCGCCCTGAGACCAGGCCTCTGCTGCCCCCTGCTTTCAACCCAGAGCTTCTGCCAGGATTCGTTGGACGTCCCGAGACCAGGCCCCTCGAGCCACCAGCATTCACTCCCGAAACCATCCCTGGAGTGATTTCTCGCCCTGAGACCAGGCCTCTGCTGCCCCCTGCTTTCAACCCAGAGCTTCTGCCAGGATTCGTTGGACGTCCCGAGACCAGGCCCCTCGAGCCACCAGCATTCACTCCCGAAACCATCCCTGGAGTGATTTCTCGCCCTGAGACCAGGCCTCTGCTTCCCCCTGCTTTCAACCCAGAGCTTCTGCCAGGATTCGTTGGGCGCCCCGAGACCAGGCCCCTCGAGCCACCAACATTCACTCCCGAAACCATCCCTGGAGTGATTTCTCGCCCTGAGACCAGGCCTCTGCTGCCCCCTGCTTTCAACCCAGAGCTTCTGCCAGGATTCGTTGGGCGCCCCGAGACCAGGCCCCTCGAGCCACCAACATTTACTCCCGAAACCATCCCTGGAGTGATTTCTCGCCCTGAGACCAGGCCTCTGCTGCCCCCTGCTTTCAACCCAGAGCTTCTGCCAGGATTCGTTGGGCGCCCCGAGACCAGGCCCCTCGAGCCACCAGCATTCACTCCCGAAACCATCCCTGGAGTGATTTCTCGCCCTGAGACCAGGCCTCTGCTTCCCCCTGCTTTCAACCCAGAGCTTCTGCCAGGATTCGTTGGGCGCCCCGAGACCAGGCCCCTCGAGCCACCAGCATTCACTCCCGAAACCATCCCTGGAGTGATTTCTCGCCCTCAGACCAAGCCTCTATTGCCACCAGCTGCTACCCCTGAGCTCCTTCCTGGACTTGTTGGCCGCCCCGAAACCAGGCCCTTGATCCCTGAAATTGTCCCTGAGGTCGTTGTCCCTTGCTCAGGCTTTGCCGTTATGCCTGGACAAGTGCCTTCTCTTCCTCAAGCCAAACCACTGGAGCCTGAACAAGCTATCCCTCGTCCCAATCCTGGATTCGCTGTGAGGCCTATCCTTCGTCCCGTTTACTAATGAATACAATTAAACACATAATTATACTGAAGGTATCATATCTGTTTTTTTTAAAAATGAGCGTAATAAAAATAAAAAGTCTTGCAGTGTGAACTTTGGATTTCTTACTTCTTAACATATTATTTTACAACAGAATTAACTTAGCTCTATATTAATTTATATTGCTATAATTTCATGCATTAAATTTAATATTAATTATCCTTGCGTTAAAGTCAACAAAGAAAATTTGAAAAATTTACACCATGGAAAATATTGGATTTTTTGACGCAAATCTATATTTTGAGGGACTAACAGCAACGTCTAATAGGCATGTTGTAAAATTAAGGTCTTTTCCCATACTCATGGAGTTTGAAAGGATTTGATTGAGTTTTTCTTATATAATACGGATCTCATTTGCAATGTTGTCTTTACAAATGCATATTTTAGATCATTATAAGCTTAAAATGTAATTTTGGGAGTTAAAATTCCACGCTGCGAAGAAAAATGAAATTCTTAATAAATTCGTCTACGTTAATGAACCAGAAATAAAGCAGTACGCTATATTTTCAAGGTATATATTTACTTAAACCTACATTTTGAAATAAAAAATTTTGGCTTTCGTGGATTTTTTGACGCAAAATAACTATATTTTGAGGGACTAACATTCAACGTCTAATAGGCATGTTGTAAAATTAAGGTCTTTTCCCATACTCATGGAGTTTGACAAGATTTGATTGAGTTTTTCTTATATAATAATGATGTTATTTGCACAGTTGTCTTTACAAATGCATATTTTAGATCATTAAAAGCTTAAAATGTAATTTTGGGAGTTAAAATTCCACTCTGCGAAGAAAAATGAAATTCTTAATAAATTCGTCTACGTTAATGAACCAGAAATAAAGCAGTACGCTATATTTTCAAGGTATAAATTTACTTAAACCTACATTTTGAAATAAAAAATTTTGGCTTTCGTGGATTTTTTGTCGCAAAATAACTATATTTTGAGGGACTAACATTCAACGTCTAATAGGCATGTTGTAAAATAAAGGTCTTTTCCCATACTCATGGAGTTTGAAAGGATTTGATTAAGTTTTTCTTATATAATAATGATGTTATTTGCAAAGTTGTCTTTACAAATGCATATTTTAGATCATTATAAGCTTAAAATGTAATTTTGGGAGTTAAAATTCCACGCTGCGAAGAAAAATGAAATTCTTAATAAATTCGTCTACGTTAATGAATCAGAAATAATGCAGTAAGCTATATTTTCAAGGTATAAATTTACTTAAACCTACATTTTGAAAAAAAAATTTTGGCTTTCGTGGATTTTTTGACGCAAAATAACTATATTTTGAGGGACTAACATTCAACGTCTAATAGGCATGTTGTAAAATTAAGGTCTTTTCCCATACTCATGGAGTTTGAAAGGATTTGATTGAGTTTTTCTTATATAATACGGATCTCATTTGCAATGTTGTCTTTACAAATGCATATTTTAGATCATTATAAGCTTAAAATGTAATTTTGGGAGTTAAAATTCCACGCTGCGAAGAAAAATGAAATTCTTAATAAATTCGTCTACGTTAATGAACCAGAAATAAAGCAGTACGCTATATTTTCAAGGTATATATTTACTTAAACCTACATTTTGAAATAAAAAATTTTGGCTTTCGTGGATTTTTTGACGCAAAATAACTATATTTTGAGGGACTAACATTCAACGTCTAATAGGCATGTTGTAAAATTAAGGTCTTTTCCCATACTCATGGAGTTTGACAAGATTTGATTGAGTTTTTCTTATATAATAATGATGTTATTTGCAAAGTTGTCTTTACAAATGCATATTTTAGATCATTAAAAGCTTAAAATGTAATTTTGGGAGTTAAAATTCCACTCTGCGAAGAAAAATGAAATTCTTAATAAATTCGTCTACGTTAATGAACCAGAAATAAAGCAGTACGCTATATTTTCAAGGTATAAATTTACTTAAACCTACATTTTGAAATAAAAAATTTTGGCTTTCGTGGATTTTTTGTCGCAAAATAACTATATTTTGAGGGACTAACATTCAACGTCTAATAGGCATGTTGTAAAATTAAGGTCTTTTCCCATACTCATGGAGTTTGAAAGGATTTGATTGAGTTTTTCTTATATAATACGGATCTCATTTGCAATGTTGTCTTTACAAATGCATATTTTAGATCATTATAAGCTTAAAATGTAATTTTGGGAGTTAAAATTCCACGCTGCGAAGAAAAATGAAATTCTTAATAAATTCGTCTACGTTAATGAACCAGAAATAAAGCAGTACGCTATATTTTCAAGGTATAAATTTACTTAAACCTACATTTTGAAATAAAAAATTTTGGCTTTCGTGGATTTTTTGACGCAAAATAACTATATTTTGAGGGACTAACATTCAACGTCTAATAGGCATGTTGTAAAATTAAGGTCTTTTCCCATACTCATGGAGTTTGACAAGATTTGATTGAGTTTTTCTTATATAATACGGATGTTATTTGCAAAGTTGTCTTTACAAATGCATATTTTAGATCATTAAAAGCTTAAAATGTAATTTTGGGAGTTAAAATTCCACGCTGCGAAGAAAAATGAAATTCTTAATAAATTCGTCTACGTTAATGAACCAGAAATAAAGCGGTACGCTATATTTTCAAGGTATAAATTTACTTAAACCTACATTTTGAAATAAAAAATTTTGGGTTTCGTGGATTTTTTGACGCAAAATAACTATATTTTTAGGGACTAACATTCAACGTCTAATAGGCAAGTTGTAAAATTAAGGTCTTTTCCCATACTCAAGGAGTTTGACAAGATTTGATTGAGTTTTTCTTATATAATATGGATCGTATTTGCAAAGTTGTCTGTACAAGTGCATTTTTTAGATCATTTACAGCTTTAAATATAATTTTGGGAGTTAAAAGTCCACGCTGCGCAGAAGTTTATTGTATGGGACGCAAAGTTTAATAAAAAATTGATGAGAGACAAATGAGACAAGTCTTGATTATTATTATTAATTTGTCCAATTGTGGCGTTGAAGTTTTTAAATAAAAATCAATAATAAAATGAAAAATTAACATATTCATTATACCAACGACGTGGTTTTTCAGTTTTTATCACACAGAGCAAATAAGGGGGATACAGCTACAAATTTAGCATAAACTCACAGCATTCGTTCCCATGTGTCATTATTTAAAATATGTACCAAACAATAATATACTTATCCAAATTAATCAATTTTTAATTTTTCCACTGGAATTTTGTGTATACTAAACACCATTAATGAACGGCTGGAAAAAACTGTATGAAAAAAATTAATAATCATTACGTTATATCCACATCAGTTTTGATAATATGAAAGAAGGTTATCGTGCGGCTGCTGATAATTTGATCCCAGGTTCATCAAGTTCGAGGCATTTGAGATTTACACGTCCGCACTCTGTATCTGACTGTTTGTAGAGCAGGTAAGCAGCTTTGTGATTATAATTTTACAATAAAAAATAAAAAAATTACTATTTTAGGCAGAAACGATGGGCTTATTTTTCTTAATATTTGGTTTACTTGCATCACATGCAAGCGCATCGTCAGGTGATTTGATATAATTATTTTGAATTGATCAATATTTTGAGAGCATATTTTGCAAAAAGACACTTCTATTATATTTCTTTTTAAATAGTGTCTATCAAAAATGCGAAGACCTGTGAATCGCTGGGATTTTCTGGTGCAGAGACTTGCACTGTTGTCCGTGGATTTTCTGGTTTAAAGAGCTATGAGGAGCCGAGGGGCTCAAATAGACCTAATTCGATGATCTACGTGGCTGTCTTGGACGAAAACGAATTTTCAGCAGGCAGTGATGAAATTTTCCAGCTCTCGACGACAACGGTAAAATTGATACTTTATAATATGATGATAAGAGAATATAAAATATATTTTCAGACCGATATTAGTATTTCGCCAAAAGTGAGTTCAACCGGAATTTTGAACCGGGTACAAATTTACAACTACCCTGGAGAAAATGTGCCTCGATTCGTTAGGTTGAATGGGGAGCTTCTTAGACGCGGCCACATCCACTATCACAGAGATTTAAAAGTGAGATACTAGAAAAGTTTCTATTGTTAAAATTTAAATTGAATTAATTAAAAAGATGCTCGAATTACTGGAGCTCAATATTCCCCTTGACCAAACCACCCACTTGACCCTCTCGAGGAACGACAGAGCCGGGGACCAGATTGAATGCGCCGTGTCATACAACCGTAAATTTAAATAAAAAAACTTAATTACTGCAGTACATTTTGATAATCACTTTTAGAACGCAACCCGGACTACTCGATCCCGCAAAGTGCTTGTTTCTCGCCGTGCACTTGGGACGGCAGCAATTGCTGGATGCCTGATTTTACAAGCTACGGCTACGTTGTGGCCGGTGCCGCAACAAACACGTCCGCTTCCATTACCATTCCTCTGAGGAAATTCGGATCTGCTTTATATGGAATGGCTGTGGACAACATCGCCGTTGACATAACCATTTTGACAGAAAATTCAGTCCGAATCAGAGTAATAATTAGATTTTGCTGTCATAAAATTCTTTTTTAATTAAAAAATTTAATAGTTCTACGATCCGGTTAATCAAAGATACGAAGTGCCAATTAACATCAACAATGCCCCACCTGAGAGGGCCATCTCAACAAATGAATTCGATGTCATTTACCCTGAGCAGGAAGGCTCGGTATTTTTCTTACGGATAGTTAGAAAATCTACTGGGACAGTCATGTAATTAATTAATCCATTTTTTCCTTTTCTAAATATTATTAATAATTAATAATTGATGATTGTGAACAGGCACTTCAAAAATTAAAATTAAAAACTAAATTAAATTAATTTATTAAAATTACAAATTTAATTTTAAAATTTTTCAAAATTTTTATATTGAATTATTTAAATTTCGTTGTAGTATAAAAAAATTAATGAAATTATAAATATTTTCATTTCAGAAGTGTTTTGATGGTAAATTTAATCCTCTTATCTAACAGATTCGACACCTCCATATCTGGAATCACTTTCGAGGACCAATTGTTGAGTTTGGCTATCAGGCTGCCCTCGCGAAACGTTTATGGATTGGGCGAAAGTTATCATCCAACGTTCCGCCGCGAGTTGGACGACTCGACTTGGCCACTCTGGGCGAGAGACGAGCCACCAAATCCTTTTGTAATAATTTTTCTTATCAATCTTATCACACAAAATTTCCCATGTTTGCTAAAAGCTCTTAACATTATATAAAGGTTTAACAGAATTAAATTTGATAAGAGCAAAATTAATCATTATGTCATATTATGGCATCGGCACCACTTTGAATTTAATAATATGCAAATGATAATTTCAGGCCAAAACTAGTTTGTATGGAACTCACCCTTATTACTCGGTCATTGAAGCCGACGGAAATGCGCACGGGGTGCTGCTTTACAACAGCAATGCGCAGGGTATACAAAAAATTGATTTATAACAATTGCAAAATGAATGAAAAATTCAACTTGAAACGATTAATAATAATTTACCTGCACATTGGCGATTTCAGAGTACATTCTGCAGTCGGGCGCTCCTGCCGTCGTTTTCAGGACAATTGGAGGAGTTCTCGATTTGTACGTGATGACTGGCCCAAAACCCGAGGACGTCACGCGGCAGTACACTTCTCTTGTCGGACGGTCCTTCCTGCCGCCGTACTGGTCATTCGGCTTCCAACTCTCTCGTTACGGCTACAACAATTTGCAAAACATGAAAGACGCCATCGCTAGGACCAAAAGCTGCAACATTCCAATTGTAATATTTTTTAAATAATGTTTCTCTGCAGTAAAATTTCCTTATTCAAATTTAATTTAGGACGTTTTTTACGGAGATATTGACACAATGGACCAACAAGCGGACTTCACAATCGACCCGGTCAATTTTGTTGGCCTCCCCGAATATGTGGATGAGCAGAGGGCTCTTGGCATGCGTTACGTGCCGATCATCGACCCTGCCATTCCTGGAAACCGCGCAGGCTATGACACATACGAAAGGGGTCTCAGGGCGGACGCTTACATTACCACGGCGGAAGGAAACATTCTTTTTGGAAATGTAAATTTAAAAATAAAAAACGATCCAAAAGAACAAATAATTTAAAAGAAAGTACATTTCGAATGGAGACTTTTGGATCGTCCTAATGATTAATAATTAATATTTTCTAATTAACAAAAATAATACCATTTTTTAATAATAAAAATGTGTGCAGGTGTGGCCGCCAGAGCCGGTAGCTTTCCCCGATTTCTTCCGCACCGGCACACTGAACTGGTGGATCGACGAAATTACGCGTTTTTACCAAGTACTCAGATTTGATGGCCTCTGGATTGTATGAAATTTAAAATTAGAAAGAATGTTGATGTGAAATCTAAATTTCAGGATATGAACGAACCTTCTAATTTCAACACAAACATTCCTGACCCCGAGGGCGATTACACGCTTTCCTGCCCCGCGAGCATATATGATGACCCTCCTTACGTTCCAAGTATAATTTTTAATTAAACTAATTATTGAATTTGTTTGAAACTTCACGAGATGATCATGCAAGTGAAGAACTCGGGCGGGCGTTGAAAGAAATTGTTTTTATTAAAATACAAATTTTTTATTTTTTTTTTTTTTATAAAACAATTTCTTAAAACAAGGAATAAGCCCAAGTTCTTCACCTCCATCATAATAATTGAATCAAATTGAATGAAAATTAATTATCATTTTTTTTTTAATTTAAAGAGGCTGGTCGACTTGGCCCCACCGACAGGCTGAATGACAAAACGATTTGCTTGACAACCACGCAAGGCGACAATGGAATTTTCAGGCATTACGATGTACACAACTTATACGGCTATTCAGAAACCATTCCCACCTCACGGTGAGACAAAAGTTGAAATTAATTGAAATAAACTAAACAAAAAAATGTGTTAGTTTCAACGGAAAATCAATTTATTTATAAAAAAATTATATATTTTTAATGCTTAAATACTCGCAGTGCTCTCCAGTCGGCAACCAACAGGAGAGGGTTGGTTTTCACTCGCTCCAGTTTCGTGGGCAGCGGAATTCTCGGCGGTCACTGGACCGGAGACAATTACGGCTACTGGGATCATATGCAGTATTCAGTTGTTGGTAAAGGGGCGAAATCGAGATAAGTTTCATTCAAACAACAAGTTTAATTCAAGGTTTGCTGGACTTTAACATTTTTGGTCTGCCGTACGTTGGTGCCGATATCTGTGGCTTCTTTGGCGACTCGGAAGAGCGTTTGTGCGAGAGATGGCAAGAGCTTGGAGCATTTTATCCATTTTCCAGAAATCACAACACCATAGGTAAATGTGCAGAAGTTCTCCAATGCAAATTAGGAAGAATTAAAAATAAATACTTTATATTAAAAGTAACTTGCCATGCCAAATCTTTCAGATTTGGAAATGCAAAAAATTAAAATAATAATTTGCGAGTCTCATATGCAAAATTGCAAATTTTAAAGTTTCCCGATTTCCGATTTTCACTTCCGAATTTGCCAAACCTGAATTCACAAATTTTCCAACCTGGGGAATTTAAATGAACTGATTCTAATTTTAATTTATTTTAATAAAGTAATTTAAATTATCAGGCACGCTTGATCAGGACCCGTGCACGTGGCCGGCAACTGTTGGCGAGTCTACAAGGAAAGCCATGAACATCAGGTACACCCTTCTGCCCTTTTTCTACACCTCGTTCTACCGAGCCAATCAGGGCATCGACGGAACCGTGATCAGATCTTTAGCTTGGGAGTGAGTTAAAAAAAATTGCAGAAAAGGAAAGAATTTGTGAAATAAAATGTATTAGATTCACGAGTGACCAAGAAACGTGGAACATTGACCGGCAGTTCTTGTGGCGCGACTCGCTTTTGGTCAGTCCGGCTCTTGATATCGGCGCGCTCACAGTGACCGCGTACTTCCCTGCTGGAAATTGGTTCGACTATTACACGGTAAAAATAAAATTCAAATCAAGTAGTAAAATGCAATGTAAATAATTTTAAATTCGAATAATTGATAAATTTGAAATCTTTTTTTCAGGGTGAAAAAATTACTTCAATCGGCCAGTACATGCTGCTTGACGCGCCCTACGATTTCATCCCCTTGCATGTGAGGAGTGGTCGCATTTTGCCCACCCAGGAGCCGGCAAACAACACGGTCTTCAGCAGACAAAACGCGTTCGGTCTGATTGTGGCCCTGGACGCAACCCGCAACGCCGTCGGCGACCTTTTCTGGGACGACGGCGAGTCCATCGACACCGTGGCCGGCGGCACCTACCACTACAGCACCTTAAATTTCGCCCAGGTTTGAGAAATTACTTATTATATAAAAAGAAAATAGAGTAAAAAATTTTTAATTGGACGAAGCTTGTTGCAAAGTAAAAAAAATGAAACAATTATAGGGCAAGTGATCTCAAAAGGCGACCAGCTGTCTTTTATTTTTCTTTGCAATGACGTTTGCTCGGTTTTCAATTTTTCATGAAAGTCAAAATGGAAAAGAGGGTGATTGAAAAATAAATTTTAAGGACACATTGACTCAAACCGTGGACCACGCGTATCCTGCAGCCCTGCAAGGGCTTCTGCTGGACAAAATCGAGGTTTTGGGCAACAACGGCCAAGTGCCCACTGGTGTCACCGGCGACATCAGTATCGATGCTTCAATCGCCTACGACCCAACATACGACAAAGTCATCCTTACCGGTGCAGCTATTCCAATGGGACTGCCCTTTTCAATAACCTTTACTTACTGAAATTCCACCAAAAACTGTAAAATTTGAGGTTAAAAATAAATGTATTTTGATTAAAAATTTAATTTTTGAACAAAAGTGCGTGTGAGAAGCAATTCTGGCGCTCTTTGCATTGGAGTTAAAGGGTTACTCGTCGCGTTTTAGTACAGTCCGTTTTCAGCAGGTGGCCTAGCAGCTCGATAGCGGTTGCGTAACCTTGAAAGTAAATATTTTAGGGGCTTCGTTAAAGCCGGCTTGAAAGTTGTTCTTTCACCTTTGGCGTTGCCACCTAGCAGTCGAACGCGCTCTCCAATCCACAGGTAACAAAATAAGTGAGTATCATTTAAATGGGCGCATCTCTCTTATTTTAAATTTAGAAAGCTCAAAATTCTTTTGAATCTATTGTTCACTTGCTCGTAGAATTAAAATTTGAATTTATATATCAATGGATCAAATTAAATAAAGAGTAATTATTCAAAATTGAAACAGAAACTTATATGGAATAAGGAATTAATTAATTTTTTCAGTTTTTGCTTTTGGCGAACAATTTGTTGCTTCTTTATCTGCCCCTTTTTACTGCCAGCTTGAGTATTGAAAATTATCTCTCAATAAAAAAACACGGGCGTGTGGGAATATCCAGCGCGCGTACCGTGGCCTCCTCATAAACTGGTCTCTCCAGGCGCCGACTACTTGTTCTTTATCTACGTCTTGATTCCCACAGTGCATTTATATTTTACATAATTGAGCGCGACGAAATCAGTGACTGAAACGGAAACTCTTTCTTTTCAGGCCAAAATGCCACTCAAGTTGTACTCGGTGTCCGACAGTCCTCCCAGCATGGCCGTCAAGATGGCCTTGGTGACCCTCAACGTGCCCCATGAGGTCGTTAACGTCGACTTCATGAAGGGAGAACACCGCACCGACGAATACGCAAAGGTGCAATAGAAAGAAATATGTTTTTGGAAAAAAGTATTAAAATGAAATTGAATTTTTAGAAAAATCCCCAAAAGGAGGTTCCGGTGCTTGACGATGACGGATTTTATCTCAGTGAAAGGTTTATTTTAAATAATAATTTGTAAATTATTTTTTAATTGCATTAAAATGTTTAGTGTGGCGATGATGCAGTACATTTGCGACAAGTACGCGCCTGACAACCAACTGTACCCAAAGGACCCGCAGAAACGAGCTTTGGTTAACCACAGGCTTGTCTTCAACATCTCCACGCTCTACAAATTTGTCATCGAATACACGGTTGGTTGTAAAAATAAATTCAAAGAAGAATACTTTGTTGAATGCCAAAATTTCAGTTTGGTCCCGTGTTTGTTGGATATCCGCGAACCGAGGAGCACAAGAAGAAGGCGGAAAATGCTCTGTCTGTCTTTGAAACGTACCAAAAGCGCCAAAGCACCAAATATGCTGCAGGAGGTACAAATTAAATTAATTTTTATGAATTAAAATTTTATATTTTTTAAATGTTGTTTATAATATAAAGAAAATTTATTTAATTAATTGATTAATAATTATTATATAAATTTAAATAAAAAATATTAAAAAATAGTTTTTTTTATATAATTAATTATTATTATTATTTTTTATTAGATTTATTTGTAAAAATTGTTGAATCCTCCTCTTTACATTTAATTATAATCTAAATACGTTTTTTTTTTTATGTATTAAATTTAATAATTATTTTTTGTGTAAAACTGATTTCAACATAAAATTAATTAATCTTCTGTACATTAAATTGCAGATAATTTGACCATCGCCGATTTGAGTCTGGTCACCGGCATTTTCTGCCTGGAGGCGATTGACTTTGACCTTTCGCCCTATCCCACGGTCGCTGCGTGGTACGCCAACTTCAAGTCCGAGCAACCTGAACTGTGGGCAATCTCGAAGGTGGCGATGGACGAGCTGCACCACTTTTATCTCAACCCGCCCAACTTGTCCGCTGCTTAAGTAAATAACGCCGCAATGCTGACGGATTTACATGCATACAATGAGCGAAGCGCGCGAGCTATTTTCGGATGTGCATGAACTTCTCGGAGGAAGAACTGTTTTAGAATGTCATTTTTCGGGGTGCTCCAATGAACTTGAAAAGAAAATATTCAACTAAATTAACAAGAAAATGTCCATTATGGATATATAAAAGCTCAGTATTTTTAAATAAAATTTTGTATTATTGAAGCCAATTCATCGCATTAATTAATTATTATAATTTTCTAACAGATATGTTAAGTATTGTAAACATTGAAATTTCCTTTTTTTTCTGAAGGATTAATGGTAGTGTAAATAGTTTTGCTGACGATTAATATCAAGAATGAAAAATCTCTTTGAACATTTTTAGATGAAGGAACAAAAAAAAAGTAAAGATCGAGAAGATTATTTCGCAGAGCTCCAGATTCTGATTAAGATCATGCCGTAAAGTTTCTCAGTGTTTGATGTTTCTTGTCAATATTTTTATTTTTGTCAGAAGAAAAAATAGGTTTTAGAAATAACTTCTTGCATAATTTTCATATTATGGAGAAGCGAAAGACAGGTGGAATGCGTGAATAGGGAATCCTGCGCGCCGATCTTTCCAATTAATGGTCTAAATTTATAATGCGTGCACACTACGCGTGGATTAACCCTCGAGGATGTGTGCGCGCGCGCGCGCCCAACTTCATCTTTATATATATTTACACTCGAAGGTAGGGCTGCTCTAAATTTGAGTCTCACAAAACTGACTGAGGGGAACGTTCGGTTTACACTTGGTGGCGTGCCAATTGAGCCGCCAGTCGCGAGCAAACACCAACTGCGGACGCCCATGGACGCGTCCGACGAAATGTTCCGGCAGGATGACGAGTTCCTCGAGTACCTCATGTCGCTGCCCAAACCGCAGGAGGAGCAGCGACCCCTCAGCCAGGCCGCCCCCGCCGACTCCAAGACCTCCCTGGAGGCGCCCTCGAAGGTCAGCCGGACGCAATTTGACTTAAGCGAGTCAAGGTTTAGGACTTGAAAGCGCAAATATTAAAAAGAAAATTAAATGGGAATAAAATTAAAAAAAATTATATGATTGTTTTTTTTTCAATATGAATTTTTGTGCAAAACTTTGTCAAACCAACAAAAATAATAATACCATTAACAATTTCAAAAGAATTACAAAAAATTGACTGAACTAGTTTTGAGAAATATTCCGACTTATTTTTTTCCTATTAATTTGAATAGGTTGGATTTGATCACTTGGACAACTTGTGCAAGTTGATGGAGCAACTGGGTGACCTGAAGGAACAAAACAACAAACTGCAGAGACGCGTGCAGTACCTGGAAGATTTGCGAGCCCTGCAGGAAATGCACAAGCAACTGTTGGCTCAAACGCAAAACTCGCAAGAAAGCCTGCTGGACAAGAAAAAAGAGGACGCAGAAACTTTGGAAACGTTTGAGGATCTGGACCGGCAGCACTCGGAGGAATTAGAAGACGGGACTCTCCCCACCAAAGCCAAAGTGTCAAAGTGGACGCGCGTCAAAGAAGCATTCAGGTTTGAGAATTTGTTAAATTATTATTGTTAAAAAACGTTACGTTTTTTTTAAAAAGATAAGAAACCTTTATGATTTGGAATGAATTTATTAGAATAATTTAATATTTTTTCTTTAATACCTAACAAATTTGTATTTTTAAATGGAGATAGTGGCACACAATGTAATTAATTCATCATCTTTATTTCCCTTCCTTTCAATTTCTGTCTCATAAATTTTATGTTTCTCTTATAACTTTGATGAATTGTAATAAACTTTATTAAAAACTACAAATCGCATATTGGCGCCTAAAAATAAATTTCATAATTTGAACTCCAGGTGGGAAAAAGCGCAAATCGAACCTCAAGAATCAAGATCGCAGGACAGTGGAATTGGCCTCTGTCCGGACAGGACGGGCCACGTGCTTCAAGCGTCAGTGGAAAGCCGTGATATCAGTGTTGGTGCGGAAGAATCAGTGCTACTGTGCTCAAGTCAGTTACTCAGCTCGTCTTCGTCCTCCAATGAGGATCTTTTGGACATCGAACTCAACTTCACAGCACTCAGCGAGGCGACAAACACATTTATAGAAAGTAAGTACAAAATGACTTTACATGCAAGTCAAATTCTGGTATTTTAATTAAAAAAAAATAATAATTTAAAAAAATTTTCATAAAAAAATTGAATTAAAAATAAAATTAATATAAAATTTTCATTAAAAAGGTAATTTTATCTTTTTTTTACGTTATTATGCTAATTTTTTTTAAACTATTTAATAAGTTAATTTTAAATGCGTCATTCAAAGTAAAATCTACTTTTCAATTTTAAGACAATAATATGTATCTGAACTTTTTTCATTATTTTTTATTAATGCAACGAATGCATAATTTACAAATTATGATTGCTTATTTAAAATTGCATTTTTCTTCTTCATATTTCTGGTCTGCAGCATTTTACAGTTTAAATAATTTTGGGAAATTTGAGTTGCGCTGGAGTATATAATTTTCTACAGATTCAAGCTTTGCTAAAAAAAGTTAACGATCCAGACCAAATTAACGGAGGCTGGGTCTATTTTGGCCCCTTTTTTATGGTCTTTGCAAGTTCGGACCGCGAACTTGGGGCTGGCTACCCACGCGGCCTTCGCTTGGATCCACTTGTGTAGTATAAACTATTTTATTACCAAATCGCCGCGTGACAAATCCCCGATTTGCTGGCCGCGACCGCCCCGAAAGTCGCGCACGTAATTGCGGCAGCTGGGCGCGTCGCTCTCATTTTCGGATTTTGGGTTAACGAAATCATCGCGCGAGCAAAAGTGCAAATCTTTTCAACGCCGCAGTTGTAAATAAATACAGAGCGCTAAACTTAGAACTGATTTCCACTCTCGGGGCGGCGTCGTCTCCAGAGAAGAATAAAAAATGCGCCGCGAGTTTGCAAGAAAAATTCTTCACTTGCTCGCGGGGTCCTCGCCGGATAATTTTTAATGCAGGAAGCCGCCACCGTTTCTCGTACAGCCGGTGGACAGGAATAAAGTATCATCATCTGCCAAAAATATACTTATATAAACGGGCAGAGCCGCGGTTTAAAATAACGCCTTGTTAGCGCACAAGTCAAAATAAATATCACAAGTGGGCGCGCGTTTGCGATCGTTCCTTTATTTTTTAAAAATGTTTCTCGTGAAAACAAATCTATTTAGCACGTATATTTGCCGTTTGGCCCAGATTAAAAATATTTATTTGCAAATATTTGTTTTTCGAGAGGGCGCCGCATTTTATGGCTTTTCCAACAAGACGTCGCGGTTCAAACTCATTTCGCAGGCAGTAAATCTCTCGGACGCAAAAATACATCCAGAGCATGAACGTGTCAGTTGCCGAACTATTTTGGGCGATTCTCGCGCCCGTAATTAGAAAGCGTGCAATTTGTTTGCAAAGTAGTTTCCCCCGAGGGCTTTTCGCTTTGACAAAAAGCGCGTGGATAATCGGCCGGTGTCAATCGTGCTTCGGATGCCTGTTTAATGGGCTTTTAAAAATAGAGTTAGTCTCACTTGCGTTCAGCAAGACACGTGGATTGGCCCTCGAGAAATGACAGGTGACTTGACACTTCAGTGAAGAGAGCGCACTGTCAGTCCTTCTCCACCACACGAACAAAAAATAAAGCACCTGTTGTGTGCAAAATTGTTATTTCTCCATTATATACATGAATGAATAATATATCGGTCAATTAATTTCTCATTAAATTGAAAAATTTTAAAATATGTATAAAAATTTGATATTTAATCAATTTCACAAATAAATAAATAATTATGAATATTAATAAAAAATATTGCCTAAATTTCTGTTCATAGGAATAAAATTTTCAAATATTTATCCTGTAGCGTGCCCAGAGAGTGCGAAAAGTATTTAATTTAATTTAAAAAAAGACAATGGAAGATGAAAATTATATAATACAAATATGCAATTCCTCGTCTTTAAAATTAAGTTTGTATATAATTTTTAAAGATATCTAAAAATGTGTTTAATTTTTAACAAATTTAATTAACACATATTATTTTTTAATTTAATTATTTTTTATATTTTTTGTTTTTATTGAGTTTTTTAAACATTTTATTAACAATTAAAACTTTTTATAGACTAAAATTATTACTATTACGAATTTTCTCTTCTAAATATATGCTAATTTACCATAGCGTAATTGCACATTTTTTATATTATACCATGCACGTTATCAACTCTAATGGAGACAAAATAATTTACACTTCATTCTCACATTCCATTACATCATAAAGTTATAATAAAATATTACATTATTTAATAAATTAAAATATAAAATAAAAACTATGTTCAAATTAATATCCAGAGTCTTCGGAATTGAGACAACCATCAGAGCAACTCATGTGCCGGTCGACGTCGCCGACCGACTTGGAAACGGAGCGGCGCAGCAAATCGACAGACAGCACCCACGAGGAGTCTGGCTTGACCAAACTGGAGAAAAAAGCGGGACTGAAGACGCCGTGGAGCAAAGTGAAAAACATCATTCAAACGCGCCGCGGCAGTCTGAAGAGGAGGACGGTGCCCGGCTTTGCCAGACTGAGTGACGACGAGCTCGAGGACGAGCCTCTTTGGCAGAGGGAGCACCACAGGTTTCGGGCCGAGCACCAGCACAAGAAACTGCCCGTGCTCACCCTCACCATGCCGTCCACCGAAGAGGAAAACGCCGAAAACGCTTTTGCAGCTTGCCAGCCGAGGAAAGAACCCTTCCAGAGAAAGGTAAATTTATTTAATTTACATATGAAACGGATTTAAAGAATAAACTCGGTGTTAATTAAATTTTGTGTTCACTGACAGATTTCACAAGTTTTTTCTTCATTCGATTTGAATTTTCTTTTTTTCTTCAATAACTTTTAATTTTAAATTATATTGTAAGATTTTTTGTGGAGAAATTTTAATTTTTCAGATTTCGGCACCAAGAAGTGGCAGTTTGGGAGTTTCGCCGCCCGTCGCAAGAAGGCCTTCGAAATGGACCAAAGTTAAGAAGGCGTTTTTGACCTCACGGAGATATGACGAGGCACCTAACGCCATTTCAATGCCAAGCAGCCCCCAAGCTGGAGGCTTCAAGTTTTCCCAGCACGATGACATCAAGGTTATTGTAATTCCAAATGTTAATGTCACTGCATTTTGGTATATATTTTTAAATTATCTATTTAACTTTCCAATCAAAGGGAGCGAGAAGAAAAAGCACCTCTGGAGACATGGAGCGGCCAGACAGGTTAACCGAAGACGCAAATCACTATCACTTGTCACCGCAGTTTCGCAAAAGATTGCTCGAGTGGCAAATAAGAAGAGCGATTTCAGGTAAACGCATAAAATAATTGATTCATAATAAATAATCAAAATTGTGTAACTAAAAAATTTGATCAGGCAAAGCAGCACCTCAAGAGGAGGACGATTTGCACCGAGAATTACCCGAAGAGTTTGCCCGGAAATTAGAGGAGTGGAAGAAAATAAAAGAGGGGAAGCTGAGTCCAAGACTGAGCAGGAAAGACTCGGAAAAGGTCAAAGTGGGGCAAAAGGAAAAGCAGCTGCAGTGGTTGGAGAAGGAGTTGGGCAAAGTGGAGAGAGAGAAGCAGAGACTGGAGCGCGAGCGCGAGAAGTTCCTGGAACGAGAGGCGAGACTGGAGAGGATGCGCAGGGCCATGTACCCTGGCGAAGGTCGCGACGGCCCTGAGCAGGAGGTGCTCATCCAGACCTCGACCGGTTTCTTCCGTTTCCACGGCATTTCCGAGCAGTTCACCAAGAAACTGTTCGAGTGGGAGCAGCAAAGAGGAATCGCCCCCGAAGCCTCGACCTTCGCCCTTTTGGACCCCAAATACCACCCTGAGGGCGAGGCGGAGGGTGGAAATCTCATCAGGTGCAAGTCTGTGGGAAGTGTGGCCGAACAAACAACCGCCTCAAGCTTGATAGTACAAAGTCAGCCTTCCAGTTTGTCTTTGAATGACGTTGAGGCGCTCGAGGCGGAATTGGAAGGTTCGAGGAAATGAAAATCGATGAAAATGATCAGAAATTTTAGAATTTTATACTTATTTTTCATGCAACAATAAATAGAAGAATTTTTTTCATCATAATTAATTTCTATTTTATAAAATTATAATTTTTATTTTTAAATTACCTATTTTCTTTGTAAGTTTTAGTAAATATTCAATTAAATTTTTACATTTCTTGCAGAGAATCTTAATTTAAAAAAATATGACATACGAAACCTTTTTTAACACTGATCCATTATATAATTATCATGATTTGTTATATAAACATTTTTTATAAATTTTAATTAATTTTATTTTTATTTCAGAAAACAGAATGTCATCGGAGCCAAGATTAAGGGCGGATAGTTTCAATAGGGCCAGGACAGACAGCAGGTCAAAGCCACGTTCGCGGTCAAACAGCAAATCAAGGCCGAGGCCTCCGATTGGACGGCCACCGATCGCCGTTCAGGACGTTCCAAGTGCTGTGATCGTGGACGTGGAGGCCACTGTAGAGGTTACGGCCCCGTTGAGGTCCATTCCATGCATTCAGCCCGAAGTGCCGCAATGGAGCACGGCCGAGCAGGAAAAAATGACGCTGACGCAGTAAATAAGATCAAAGTAACAAAATCTACTAATTAATTAAATAAAAAACTGTGAAGAGAGGACATTTGCACGAGTGAAGGCCAGATTCACATCAAAAGAGCAGACTCGGTACGAAGCTCGAGCAGTCACCAGTTGTTGGAGGAAAATATGAAGTTGCTCGCTGAACTAAAGGAGAAGGAGGCGATATGCAGGTACGCAACCGGCCGAGCTGTGCTGTTCAGCGGCACAGCATGCACCAGTCAAAAGTGAAAGAAATGCCGTTTTTTCGATTAAATTACTAATGATATTGCAATAAAAATGTGTGATTGAATAAAATTTTAGGCAATTGGAGTTGGAAATCGAACAAATTGAGAGGAAAATGCACGACGTATCTCACACGCAACAAAAACAATTAGGTTTGTTTAAAAGATATTCCTAATTTAATAAAAAAATCTATAAAAAATCATTTTTTTAGAAAGGCTTCGGAGAGAGGAAAGAGACACAGACGGTAAACGAATTTTTTTTTTTAAATTTTAATTATAATAATTAAATTTCAGTCCGGTATGAGGAGCCTTGCGAGGACAGGGTGCAACGGCTGAGGCGGAGCGTGGTCGATTTGGGCGCTCGGAGGGAGAGACTGCAAATGCAAACGCAGGCCCTTCAAGTATTATAAATTCGCTCTAGGTCCATTGAGAGCTATTAATTTATTTTCAAAGGACTCGTTCGAGGAAGCGTCACAGCAACAAGCGTCGCTGGCACAAAGCCTAATGGACCACATGCGGCTGCTGAAACAGGGTGTTGAGGAGGAGGCGGCCGCTTGTCCACCCCAGTTTCGCCTGGACAGCGCCTACGTCGACCCTGTGGCCAAGGTGGAAGCTCTCTCGGCCCAACTCATCATTCTGGCAAGTAGATAGTAAAAAAATTGGAAATTTTCATTGAAAAGTAAACCAGGCTGAAAAACTGGAAAAGGCGCTGAGTTCGCGGAACCAACGCGAAGTGCCCACCAGGACAACCGACCTGCACACGTCGGCCTCGCTGGGTTGCCTAAGCCAAAGGAGCTACGAACAGACGTCGTCCCCTCGCCGCAGCAGGGTGATTCATCAGAAGCAAAGCTCGCAGGAACTCGCCGAACTGCCGCACTTGCTGACCAGCAAAGTTCTCGAGTTGCAGCAAGGACTGAACAAAATTTGTGCAGCTTCGAAAGGTCGATATAGAGTAATTTTTTAGTAATTCATTATTAACTAAGATTAAATTTTGATACAGAGGCTGAAACTACAACAAGTCCTGAGCGAGAGACAAATACAGAGGTAAAAAATTATAAAAATATTTTTACTAAAAGGAAAATTGATACAGAATTGGTTGATAATGAATTTTACACTTATTGTTAGCGCTTGAGATGAATTTTTGCCTTTTTATGAGATTTCACATGTTAAAAATAAGGCATTTCAGGGGGATGTGGGGTACCAAATAATATAAAGATTTTGATACAAAGTTTTTGTTACTTTAAATAATGTTTTCACAAAAAGATTATAAGTGATTTGTAACAAAATAGGTAATTTTATTTGGAATAATATTTCTTCAAATAGAAAAGAAAAAATAGATGGATTTTAGCGATACTTTTCAGTGAAAAACGGTAAATTTATTTATCATGATTTATTAGGCTTAACAATTAATGCACAATCAATGATTTTCCACAAACCTTCGAAAATTATGATAAAATTGAGCTTCATTGTACTTTGTATAAGTCCATAAAAATTATTATAATTATTATTGTTTATTTGTAAAAAAAATTTGCATCACATTGTTTGAATTTAATTGTTGAACACAAATTTATTTTAAAATGGAATTGTTGGACAAGACGGCACCACTACTAGCGTTATTATAATTATTTGTTTTTGCATAGTTAATTGTTATTGTAGTTGTTTATTTATCTACATTGTTACAAATTCGATGTTTAATTTCATAATTAGTCACCTCTTATTATAAAGTATTCTAGTTTTTATTATTTAATTTTTTTGTACAACTTTTATTGACGATACCAGACAATACAAATTGTATTTCATTAGGACGAAGACAGTGAATCTCCGACAGCAACCTTTGTCGTGCGACTGAACAGGCCGCAAGCACCGCCACCTGAAGAAATGCCCTCGTCTCCGCAGGCGTTCTGGCGGCGCGTCCAGGTGCAGAGCGAGCGTTCCAGCAGCACCAGTTCCTCATCAAGCGAATTCGGCAAATCCGACGGATCCTACTCGAACGAAGTTTTGGCCGCCCTGGAACGCAAGAGCACTTCGCAGGAGCACCCTCCGCTGGACGACCTGAGCGAAACGAAACCGCCCTCGGGTCGCCCGGACGATTCGTCCGAGTTTGAACCTCGCACGCCTGTGAGGAACTGCAGCCTGAAGAGGAGCAAAAACTTCCGCACCGAAAGCAGAGAGACTTGGAAACAACAGCAATTCGTCACTTCCGTTTCGCCCTCGGTGACGACGACGGAGGCGAGCAAACTGAAAACGAGGAGGGTGTCGGACACCCACGTGGCCTACCGGAGTCAAGAGGGACCGAGCGTGATCGTTCCGACGACGAGGAAAATCTTTTCCCCGGTCCAGAGTACGAACGACTCGATCATAGGGTATGTGGTGAGCGAAAGCAGCAGTTCCTCTTCAGACCAGAGACAACAGGACGTGCCACCTTGGAGGAGAGTTCGCGACTCGCAATCGGCCTCGCCGGCCCTGCCGCGGAAAATGCTGTGCAGTTCTCCTGAGAGTTCTCCCCTGAGACCTCGACGCCTTTTGGGCGACGGCGCGCTGCCGCCACCCTTCCCAAGGTCGCCGACGCCCTGCAGGAAGAACGCCAACGGTGAGCCAAAGGTGACGTCTCCAAGCATCAAACAAATGGTGGCCAAGTACAACCAGCGCGGCAACGGCGCCGAGCCGAGGGCGTCGACCCCGGTGTGGAGGTCGCCCGTTTTGGAGCGGAGGGACGGCCAGGTCAAGGCGCAGATGACCAAGTACCAGGACGACATTAAAAAGGCGCTCCAGGACGGATTCACAGGTGCTCGGTGGAGGAAGAGCGTGCAAAAGTCAGCTAGCGCCGGCGCCATCAGGTAATTTTTAATTTATTTTAATCAAAACTTGACTTAATTTTGGACGATTTTTTAAATTCTTTTGAATTGCGTGTTCTTGAAATTTGAAGCGCTCGGCAAAAAAGACTTAAAAATGTTTTGTTTGCAAATCAGTGCTTTTTGTTAATATTTAAAATTTAGGAGTTAAAAGAAGGGGAGTAATTAATTTTTGCTTAAATATGGAGTTTTCTTAAAATGCATAAATTGCATTATTATAAATTTACTACACAACACAAATATTATCAACAATCAATTTTACAGTCCTAATTGGTACTAATAATAATAATTGAGTGCATTTATTGTTGTTGTTTATTTGACCAAATTGTAATTCATTAAAAACTAGAAAATTAAATAAATAAAATTTATTACTTCTTATATTAAATAATTATTTTGCTTTAATATATTTTATAATTTTTTTTATTTCAGATAATAAATAAATGATATTATAATTTATTTAATTTTTAACTAATTTTGGTATTATCAATTTCAAATACATAAAAGTGAAATATTGATTAATTTAACGTTTCTTTAAAAATTATGACATTTACTTTAAATTTTGTGATCACTGTCAATTCAATAATCAAAATTTAAAGTACAGTAGTGTACTTAACTCTTTTGAAAATATTGTTTGAATTGAGTAATATAATTATTCATCCATCCTAATTATTAAAATTTTAAGATCTCCTCAAACTCACGAACCGCAAGAACCACCACCACTGCTGAAATCCTCAAGCGCCGGTCTGATCAAGTGTCCCGTGGCGCTGACCGTTGAGCCTTTAGAATCTCAACCACCATCTACATTGACACCCCCTCCTCCGTCCAGAAAGCACTTTGAGTTGCCCAAACTGGAAATCAAAGTTGAAAGCGACTTGCCACCACTGAAGGATCCTCCACCGTCGCCCCTGGACGAGTCCATCGACCAAACTCTGAAAGAGTACCGCAAAAAACCAGCCAGTCCTCAACTGGTAAGTTTTTTTTAATAAAAATTCCAAACGGAATATAATTCTGAAACATTAAAACTCAATTTAATGCATCAGACTTTATATGAATTTTTCTGTCCGTGTTTAATTACAGAAAAAGCATAACCTGATCTCTGATATTTTCTGCTGTTATTAAAATTAGAAAATTAACACACAATCTGAAAGTTAATTTTCTTCTAATTTAAATTTAAATCTATTTTTTCAAAAGTTAAATTGTTATGAAATCCTATTTAATTAATCAAGGAAATTATAATTTTTTTATTTTAATTTCAGTTGGGTAATCCAAGGGTTCACCGAGCACCCTGTTTACGCGCCTTGAAACTGAAACGAGCCAGAGAAGAGTTCCTGTCTCGCGGCCCTGGCAGCATCAGTGCCTCTCTGGGCGAACCTGGCTGCAGGTTGAGTCAGGCGAGCGCGGGCAGTGGCTCGAGCTACGAAGATCTGTTGCTCGGCGGCAACGAGGGCATCACCAAGTCGGCCAGCGCCGGCATGATCAACGTGGAGGCGAGCACCTTCCACCGGCTGGCGGCAGCACCGTCGACCACCCTGGAGGCCAGCAAGAGCGTGTCGGACATGAAGCCGGTGCGCAAGTCGTCCGGCTCGCTGCTCTTCGGATTCTCCAGTTTGGCCTCGAAGTTCCGAAAGGTGCGGTTGCGCAAGAAGGAGCACCAGTGTCTCAGCACCGTGTCCCAGTTGTGCAGGCAGTCGTTGCTGGTGGACCTGAACGTGGACAAAAGGACCCTGCCGTCCACCAGCACCAGAGACTCGTCGCCGTCCAACCTGACCAACTCGGAAAGCAAGAGTTGTCCGAATTCACCAGAATGGATGAGGAAGAACTTGAAACGATGAATTTAACGCAAACGAACTGACCAGATTTTAACAAAGGATTAAATTAAATTGTGTAAAAACTTTAATAAAAATAAGCCAAAATGCCAAAAAGATTTTATTTAGTTCTTCTTTGTAGCAAAAAAGTCTTTAAAATTTCGAAAATTTAATATTTTGATCAATAATTTGATCTCTAAAGGATGAATGATTTTAAAATTAAGCAAGACAATTTTTATTAATTTTTCAAATATAAATCCGCAATTAAGCATGTAAAGCTATAGGGATTATAACCAAGCAAATGAGCAGTTAATTAATCCAAGTTGTTAAATTCTCTCACTCCGGATTAAAAAACAGAATTAATTTGAAAAAAAGGGCAGTGCTTAAATTATAACATCTTCTTATCTGCAAATCTTTCTTGGAGGATCAATTTAAAAATTTTTCCAAACCAAATTGAAAAAAAAAATAAATATTGAATTAAAAAATATTAAAAACTAAATTAAAAGTTTTGTCACAAAAAAGTGTAAAACCTAATTAAAACAATTAAAAAAAGACATAATCAGAGTCTAAACAAATTTTGATAGCTAACGTCATGAATTTAATTGGAAAGGTCGGAAAATCAATTTTCGACAGTTCAAATTATGTAGCTTATTAATTAGAATATCAGCGAAAATCTCAAATAATAAATGACCTTATTGTTAATTAAATTCTCTATGGTTCTCTACCATTAATTGCCATTAATTTATTTGATTATTCAGTTCATGTAAGAATTTTATAAAATTAAAAAAAAAATTATTAAAAGCGAGAGAAATTTATATTTCATTGGAAACGCTTTACTGGAGATCAGAGATTTGATCTGTTGGGGAGAAAAAACATTCGATAAACATTTCAAATTTAATCAGGGTCTAGAAATCGACGTGATGGCTAATTGCGAGACTAGAGATCAGGAAATTCGCCGACATTACATGCAATTAACGAAGGCCGCGTGTCAATATTTGTATATTCACAGTGAGATTCGCATCGCAAATTATAGTTCACACAAGAGAGAGAGAAAGGATGAAATAAGCCGCGCGTTGATTGTTGATCAATCAATCGACGGGCCGCCTATTAAATGAACTGCGTCTGGCGGTGAGAAAGGGTTCGCCGCAGACGATTACAAATGGATTGACCCTGAAAATGGATTCTCGCCTAAAAGTGTGAAAATATTGTCCGACTAATGACTAAGCATTTGTTATTCAAGCTTTTGTGGAATCTAATTGTTTTCTCCTGAGAAGTGGGCGTTTCGAAGACGCGGTGAGACTCAAGGATTCGTGAATGCGTGAAAAAATACATAATCATTATAAGGGTTAAACTGATTTTTCTATAAAGAGAAGGTCAGTTTTCTTGAAAAGGTGGTGAGATTAAAAAAAAAGTTAATCAAATGCGGGAAACATGAATTTAAAAATCAAAGTTTGAATATCAGCATTTTTATGTTTCCTTTTTTCTAACCTTAATTAAATTGAATTACAATTAACTGAAGGAAAATTTATTTATAAGAACTGTTTTATTTGAATTTAATTAAGTTTTTTAGAAACTACTTCCGTCATAAAGTTAGGGACAACAGTCAACAGCTAAATTAACAAAAAAATATATATAATTAAAACTGTATTTTATAATTAATAAATTGTCAATGACACTTTTTGCTTACAAAAAAGACTAAACTCTGAAAATTTCATATTAAAAATTAGATTATAAAATACAAAATAGTAATTAAAAAAAAATGAAAATATCTAAAAATTAATAATTTTTAATTTATTTAAATTTAAATCATTTAGTTTATACAACCTTACAGCAGAATTTTTTTTGAAACTTATTTGGTAAAAATTTGAGGTTTGGAAGATCTGGAGCAATTTGGAAAGGAAACCGACTCGCATTTCCTGTTTCCATTCCTGCTCGAAATGTATGGTTCGAATGCACCCTTCTGCAGGTCAATCAGGGCCACGAGTAATGAGACCGCCCACAGCCACGGAAGATAAACCACCGAGCGGCGGCTCGAAAAATTGAAAGAGTTGATGGCAAAGTCATTAAACCTTTGCTAGGGTTTGTCGTGCGCGCGGCTACCTTTGCTCAGGTAGACGAATCATTAGGATTTCGCATAAGTTTCAATTATCCACGGAGCAGTGTGTGTCGTTGATAGGTTCAGGCGGACTATTATATACGCATCTATGGGAGGTCCGACCCCTCTCTTGCTACTCCACAAATGGGTCGAGGAAATTGAAATCAACGAGAAAAAGAAAGAAAGGGAGAGAGACACACACGTGGAATGAAAGAATTATTGTTATTATTTTAGGCATGCCTTGTAATTTAATAATTTAAAATGTATTATACGCGATTCGGCAAAAGGATTTATCTCGTGGCGCGCGCTTTTCAATCCCGCTAATGGATTTTCGCTCTGCGGCGCGACCTTTTTTCTCTTTTTTAAAATGCACGAAGGGATAACATTAGATGTGTTGTTGTTTTGCCTATTTCATGCCTGATTCGATAGAATTTCACAACGACGTCGCAATAAAATAAATTTCTTACCAGCTAATTCAAGCTTGATAAGTTAAAGAGAAAAATATTCATAACTCACCAAAGATGTTGGAGATTTCTATAGTTTCCATTGTTCCTTTGCTATCAAGATCTGAAACAAAATAGAAATTGTTGAAAAAATGAGTATTAAAATGATTTAATTTCTTGCATTTTCATGAAATAGGGGTTTAAATTAAAACTGAAACTCATAGCAAGGCCGTTTTGCTTGATGATAAAAAAGATTTTTTTCCAATGCGGACCTCTTCAAATTCTACCTTTACTCATAAACATTTTTATTCATCGTAACTAACAATAAGAGTCACTTTTTTCCCGTTGGAAAAGTCAGAACTATTTTAATAAGGGTGCATTATCTAGTTTAAAGTAACATTTTTAATTTTCATGAAAAAATTTTACTGGTTTAAATTATCCACAATGGTCAAAATAGGTTTTATTTTTGGAATCTTTGATATTTAGCTGTCAAATTTCTCAGGCTAGGAAAATCGCTCATATTTAGATTCTCCCAGGAAATTCTGATTCAATCAGTGTATTCGCGCAATTATTTTCAATCGTCAGGTTTTCTATACAAATTAACAAACCCCTGATTTCGGAAAATTAATTTTGCAAACATAGCAAGATAATTTTTTTTTTAAATTTATCCCACAAAAATTGTAAACATAATAAATTTTCTTTATTGCAGAGGCGAGGCAATTTCCCACGGGGGCGCCGATGGTAATTGCCTCTCGCAAGTTGTGAAAATAAAATACCACCCCGATTGTGTTTCCGTCAAGAGCAGGAATTATTATTACACGCGGGCAATCGAGAGGCGCGCGTTGTGGCATGACTTCGCGGTCACTCCTCGTGGCAGGTAAAATAAAATATTGTTATTTGAACAACTTAATGACTTTCTGATAGTCAAACGCAACGAAATTCAATGGGTGCTGCTGAAGAAGTAAGGTCTCGATCAAAATACACATAATCGGGCTAGACGTGCGGGCTAAGCCGCGGTGATTGAGATATTCCATGTGTACAAACACTCACAATGACCCTCGATTTTGTGCTGATTCACGTGCTCGTCACAATCGAATAAAGGGGGTGAAATTCGAGTTGAATGGGAAAAAGAGGAGAGTCAGCCGCAGACGTCTCTGTCAAAAGAAGAGATCTTTTCATTCTCTCTGCCAACGCAATTTACGCCTTTTCGCCGTTTCCCTTTGACAAGTTGTTTTTTGTTGACTTGCTGATATTCTGATCAGATAGGATGTGTCAAATTATTTTCAAATATACACTTGATCAGATTGAAATCGTCAGATATAGTTTTAATTGAAAAGCATTTGATAAAATCAGATGTTTGCAGCTTCTGCTTATCCAATTAATTTTTCAATATTTTTTACAGAAGATTTTAATCAAAAGGTCAAGACACATTTTTTTTCAAAAAGCTTACTAAATATTTCTATGGTAGCAAATAAAAAAGAAAATATTGTAGTTTTAACAAATTTTTGTCAGATTTATTTGGTTTCATAAAAGTAAGCTAGTTTTTTTTTTTAATTTTAAATCTGTTATTGTCAATAATTTAAGGCATTTCTTGTCGATTTGATCGATTTAATGTGTACAAAAAAATTAAGCTAACATAGCATATTTGGTATTTGAGTGGTGTAAAAATATAAAAATTCTACCTATTCAAAAATCAGGTAACAAGATCGCGGTAAAAAGTGACATTATTTAGGAACTTTGGCATGATTAAGGAATAAATTTTTCAAAATATTTCAGTTTGCTCCCATTTTTTTTTTTTAATTGTTAATGCGTGACTGAGTTGCCTGAAATTCATGAAATTTCTAGATTTTTTTTTGTAGGAAATAGTAGAAAATAACAGATAATTTATAAATGCAATTTTGGAATTAAATTGAATTTTTCTCTAACTTTGGAATTTACACATTTTTTTTAGTTTGTAAAAATTTATAAATTTTTGTCAAATTAAATTGAAACATATAATTAAACCAGTTCCGAATTATGAAATAAGGTCTTCTTAATTTTCAACAACACTTTGGACCAGACAACCTCGGAAAAATTCAGTTTTTTTTTATTATTTCACATGACTTACGACTTGTCACCCAATACGGCCGCAGGTCAAGGCTAAGTGGCGCGATTACATGACAAATTAGTGCGGCAACAAATAATCAAAGGGTTGCGGTAGGTCGGGTTTCAAGACGCGGCGCGGCGGTGCGTGTCATCAGGCCTCCATCCGTTCCATGGAAAAAGCTGCGGCTGTTTTTACTAAGGCCGGATCTGTACCGCAATAAACACGCGAGGGATGAATAAAATTCAATTTCGGCGACACAAAGCTCGCGCGTTTTTAACGGTGCTTTAATTGCCGCCGATCATTGAATGTATCATTGTTCGCAGATTCATTCATGAGAGAAGAGATCATTAATCATATTAGGGCTGCCGTGCGCGGCAATAGGACAAAAAGTCAGAGCGTTTGTGCGGGGGCGCACAAAAATATTGACGCTCTCAGGGTGGGCCGTTCTAATTTTCTGTGATTTTCACCGCCGCCCTCGCTTG